ATTCTGTTTTTTGCTCTTTTTTTTTGCATCAGAGATTGAACCCAGGGGCGTTTAACCACTGAGCCATGTCTCCCAGCCCCTTTTTAAAAATTTTATTTAGGGGCTGGGATTGTGGCTCAGCGGTAGAGTGCTCACCTAGCACATGTGAGGCCCTGGGTTCGATCCTCAGCACCACATAAAAATAAAATATTGTGTCCAACTACAACTAAAAAATAAATACTTAAAAAAATAAAATAAAAAATTTTATTTAGAGACAGGGTCTCTCTGAGTTGCATAGGGCCTTGCTAAATTGCTGAGGCTGGCTTTGAACTTGTAGTCCTCCTGCCTCAGGGATTACAGGCATGTGCCACCATGGTTGGATAGGTTGCTGTTTTTTTTTTTTCATTTTTTCTTTTTTAAGTTAGGGAAGTTGTTTTCTGCAAATGATATGTAATGAGGTTTTTTAAAAAATATTTGTTTTTTAGCTGTACTTGGACACAATGCTGCTATAAACCTGGGAACATAAATCTCTTATTTATTTTTATGTGGTGCTGGGGATCGTACCCAGGGCCTCGCACGCGCTAGAGTGCTCTACTGCTGAGCCACAACCCAGCCCTGTAATGAGGCTTTTTATTGTGGTAAAATATACATGATACAAAATTGATTAACCATTTTTAAGTCTATATAGTGCAGTGGCATTAAGTACATTCACAATGCTATTACTATCACTACCATATATTTCCAGAACTTTTTCATCACCCCAAATAGAAGTTCTGTGCTTATAAACACATGTCCATTTCTGTTTCCCCTAGGCCCAAACACCTCCCATATGAATTTTCCAGAAACGGAATCACAGTATTTGTCTTTTTGTAAATGGCTTATTTAATTTATTTCACTTAGCCTAATGTCTTCAAGGTTAATCTGTTTTGTAGCGTGAATCAGAATTTCTTTCCATTTTAAGACTAATATTTCATTGTATGTGTATGCCACATTTTGTTTATCCATTCATCCATCAATAGACACTTGTGGGGGCTGGGGATATAGCTCAGTCAATTGAGTGCTTGCCTTGCATGCACAAGGCCCTGGGTTCAATCCCCAGTACCACACACACACACACACACACACACTCACAAAAATAGACACTTATGTTGCTTCTGCCTTTTGGCTATTGCGAATAACGCTGCTATAAACCTGGGAATATAAATCTCTTTTCAAGGTCCTGTTTTCAAGCTTTTTGGGTATACATCCAGAAGTGGAATTGCTGGATCATAGGGTAATTCTATAGCTGTTTTTTTTTTTTTTTTATAGGAACTACCATAGAAGAATTCCACAGCAATTATAGCATTTTATACTCCCAACAATCATGCACAAGGATTCCAACTTCTCTACATCCTCACCAGCATTTGTTGTTTTCTATTTTGTTTTGCTTTTTATAATAACCACTTCAATAACCACCCACCTCAGTGAGGTGAAGTGCTAGCTAATTATAGCACAGATTTGCATTTCTCTAGTGATAAGTGATGTTGGAAATATTTTCATGTACTTATTGGCCATTTATATTTCTCCTTTGGAACAATATCTATTTAAATCCTTTGACCAGTTTTTGTTTTATTTTTCTGTTTTCTATGTGTATGTGTGGGTGGATATGATTTTTTGATGGTTTGTTTGGCAGTAGTGGGGACTGAACTTGCTGCTTTGCCACTGAGCTACCTCTCCAGCCCTTTTAAAAATTTTTAGACAGGGTCTCAACTAAGTGGCTGAGGCTGGCTTTGAACTTGTGATCTTCCTGCCTTAGACTCCAAAGTTGCTGCAATTACAGGCATGTACCACTGCACCTGGCTTAGGCTTAGCTGTTTTTTAATGGGGGTAGTTCTGTTGTTGAGTTGTAGGTCTCTTTTGTGGGGGCTGGGGATATATCTGATAAAGGATATTAATCCTTTATCAGATATATAATTTGCAAATATTTTCTCCCACTCTGAGGGGTGCATTTTCATTTTGTTGATAGTGTCCTTTTTTTTTTTTTTTTTTTGGTACTGGGGATTAAACCCCGGGTATTCAACCACTGAGCCACATCCCTAGCCCTTTTTTATATTTTATTGAGAGACAGGGTCTTGATGAGCTGCTTAGGACTTCGCTAAATTGCTGAGGCTGACTTTGAACTTGTGATTCTACTGCCTCAGCCTCCTGAGCTGCTGGGATTATAGGCGTGCACCACCATGCCCAGTGACAGAGTCTTTTAATGCACAAAACAAATGTTTAATAGCCCACTAGCAGCATCTACAGATATGTCTAAATTTAATCTCAAGGACAATTCCTTGGGCAGCACAAAGAGCAAGATTCACAGCTGGCTTCCCAGGTTAGGGTTTTATAAGACCCCAACCTTCCTGAAAAGGCTGGTTGCCTAGAGAAGGCTTGATATACGGTCTTCTCCCCAGGGCCGTTGAGGTAGTCCCAATTCCCAGGCTATCAGTGAAGAAACAGAAGCCTTCATGGATTGTCACTGAAGCAGACAGAGCAGCAAAGATGCTGGGATCTTAAAAGGTGAGTAATTTTCCAAAGCTCTTCCATTTCCCCAACTGTAAACTGGAAGTGGGCCTCTGTGGGCACGAGGTTGGTGATAAAGGAGGCCCTAGGAGCCACATCACAAAGAAGTTGGAGGCACAGAGGACTTGGAGACCCAACCCTGGGCCCAGGCTCGTCAGGCCTCGACATTTACATGGACCTTCCCAGTTCCTTACATGTTCTCACCTCTGTCATGTCTTGAAACCGTGAAAAAAAAAAATCATACGTATATATTCTGCCTACGGTATACCATGTAACTTGGTGCAGTGGGGATGTTACTGGACTTGAAATTGATAGCTTTGGGTATAAAACTCAGTCCTGCCGTTCAACAACTTGAGTACCAGGCTAGGAACTTCGCATGGCTCACAACCTCAACTTGTAAAATGCAAACTGAATGGCAAGCTCAACGCTCCCCAAAGTCCCTATTTTGTCCAAAGCCTGGCACACAGCAGGTGCTCAATAAATATGGGCTGACTCTAAGGAGGTATCTGAGTCCCACAGAGGAGAATTGACTTCCACTGGCTCTGGCATTCAAGGAGAACCTCTCAGCAAGCAAATTTTACACCAAGTGCTCTACAGTCATTATCTTATTTCATTTTTGTTATATAGAAACAGTTTTTGAGAGGTTAAGAAATTTAATCAATCTCATGTGAGACTGAACACACAGATGATTTCCAAAGGCCTGATGCCCCCCTCCATCTTTTTATTAAAAACCTACAGAGGGTAGGCATGGTGGCACACACCTGAATTCCCAGCAGCTCTAGAGGACTGCAAATTTGAGGCTGGACTCAGCAACTTAGCAAGACCCTGTCTCAAAATAAAAAATAAAAAGGGATGGAGATGGGGCTGGGGTTGAGACTCAGTGATATAGCACTTGCCTCACAGGTGTGAGGCATTGGGTTCTATCCTCAGCACCGCATATAAATAAATGAATAAAAAAAAAAGACCATCAACAACTGAAAAAGGGGGGAGGGCTGGAGATGTTATTGGGAGGTAGAGTGCCCATGAATTTAATCTCCAGTAACACACACACACAAAGTTAAAAGCATAATTCAATAAATACCCATATACCCTTCTTCCAGGTTCAACAATTGCACATATGGCCACATTTACATTAGCATGCTTTCTCTAAACATATACATATCTTGAACTATATGTTTAAGGTGTGATAACTTTTCACCCATTATGTACTAAACGTGCCCCTCCATACGTTGAAACCTTGACTACTCCACAGAATCCTATTGGAGAAGGGGGCGGGGGGGAGCACAATGACTTAAATGAATTCATGATGGGATTAGTGCAATGATAAGAAAAGATACCACTATTGAGCTTGCACTAAGAGCATGCACCAAGGAAAAGGCCATGTGAGGATGAAACAAGAAAGCAGCTCACACACCCACCTCACCCACATCCAGGGAAAACCAGGAAGAGAGCCCTTACCAGGACCAGTGCATGCTGGCACCCTGATCTTGAACTTCCAGTATCCAGAACTGCGAGAAAATAAATTTCTGTTGTTTAAGCCACCACATCCATGGTATTCCACCACAGCCAGAGCAGACTAATACAACCTCTAAATACTGCCCTACATCTGCTAAGAATAAAGACATGATCACACCCCCCAAAAAGCAGCATATTCAACATCCAACACATATTTAAAATTTCCCAAAATTGTCTTCAGAATTCTATTTTCATAGCTGCTTTATGTTTTTTTTTTTTTTAACCAGGATCCAGCCAAGAGTCAAGGTCTTCATATTGTATCTAGAACAATCCCCCCCCCATACTTTCTCCCTCTCCCCCAGTCACCCACAATCTGAAGGGACCTGAAGAGCCCAGGCCACTTGCTTTATAAAATGTCTCACTTTTTACACATAGTTTGGTGTTTCCTCATGTTGCAGCTCAGGTACAGTTTTTTTGTTTGTTTGTGTGTTAAGAATTCCTTGTAGGAGTTGCTCCATACTGCGTCCCAGCAGGAGAGTGCTAGGTTGGAGAACCTGGTTAATTTAAGGTGATAAACGCGACCCGCTTGGAACCTCTTTACAAAATGAGGCGAGCCATCAACGTTCTCAGCTCCGCCCCTTCCCTTTAAAATACTGTCAAAACCAGCTGCGACGAGCTGGGGACATAGCTCAGTTGGTAGAGTGCTTGCCTCGCGTGCACAAGGCCCTGGGTTCAATCCCCAGCACCACCAAAAAAAAAAAAAACCCCCCAAAACAAACAAGCCCAAAAACCAGCTGCCACCCCCAGTAGAGGGCTCACCACCGGAAGTTCCCTCTCCCTTCCCATTCCTGCCGGTCTTCGCCCCGCCCCCTCTCTGCCCCGCCCCCGTCTAGCTTTGTCCCGGCCCATCCTAGCTGTCTGGTGGCCGGGCCCACTAAGCGGGCGGAACGGAAAGTATACTCCACTCCACATCGCCTGCCCGGGCTCTTAATCCAGGAGCACAAGGCGCCCAGGAGGACCCTGTTCGCAGTAGGCTTCCGGGCGCACGCTGTCGCCGCGCTCACACCGGAATTCCCGGTGCTGCGGCTGTCGGCGTCCGTGCGCACATCTCTGCCGCAGCCATGGGGATCTTGGAGAAGATCTCGGAGATCGAGAAAGAAATTGCTCGGACGCAGAAGAACAAGGGTGAGGGTCGGCCCGGAGTGGCCTCCCTTTTTGCCTACCTCAGTTTTTCTGTCTGTAAAATGGGGGAGGCCTCAGAGAAGTACTGCGGCCGCCCAGCGCGCCCGAGGCAGGGCCAGGTGGGATCGTGGTCCCAGTGCTCCTGACTAGAGAGTCCCCCATTGGATCTGATCAGTGCTAGACCAGGTGGCCGAGTGGAGAATTCCCTGGAGAGTTCGTAGTCTCCCCTCTTGTGCTGGGAAGTGCAAGGGAAGACCTCTCCCAAGAGCAGCCTCACCCTGCAGCCCCGAGCCAGTGAGGTATTGCAGGTAGTCAGGACTTGGAATCTGGAAGACCTGGGTTTGAACCCCAGTTCCACCGCCTACTAGCTCTGACACCCAGGAAAGTCATTTCCAAGTCATACCTTGGAGCCTCAAGGTCCCCATTTACAAATGGTGATAGTAATAACCCCCTGCTCCATCTCAGCTCCCAGATTAAGTTAAATTGGATAACATTTACAAAGTACTGAGCACAGGGTGAGCACCCAATGTTTAAAATAAATTTCCAACATAGATACCACATGAGGAAGCAAGAAATCTGGAGATTGAATAGGAGAGGGGAGGAGAGAAGAATGTGACACTGGGCGCAAGTGAGACTTGAGCTGGAAGGGTGTTACAGGTGAGGGGACACTGCTGAGGCAAAGGGATAGGAATTGAGGAATGCATGGTAGGACAGCAAGAACAGTCTAGATAAGGAGGATGCCAGGTAATGGGAGATGCAATTCCCTGGGCCAGTGCTGTGGGGTTCAGGTTTGCAGGAGCAGGAGGCAAGAAACCCAAGTCTCATTGACTGCCCTCCCTTGGCTCCATTTAGTCTGAAGGCTGAAGAGTTGTGGAGCTTCTATGATTCATTCATTCTGTAAATTGTTTCCTGAGCCTTTAAAGTGATGAACACACCAGGCACATCTCTGCCCTCACAGATCTGTCCCTTCTGTCATCGCCTGTAACCTAGGAATCAAATACACAAGATAATTTCAGTCACAGTAAATATGAAGACTAATCAGGGTAATATAGTGGAGTGGTGAGGGTATGGTGGGGACTGGGGATTGGGCCTGCTTAGGTGGAATGATAGAGAAGACCACAATGAAGTGGGTATTTGAGCTAAGGCCCCAAAGAAAAGAAGGAACCAGCCATGCAGGATCTGGAGGAAGACTGTTCATGATAAAAGGAACAACTAGTTCAGAGTCCCTAAGACAGGAATGAACTTTGAACATAACTCAAAAGGTCTGAGACTGGAGTACCGTGATGGGAAAGGAGGAATCCAATGATTTAGGGCTTCATGGGTCGTGGAAAAGACTCTGGGTAATGGGAGGTGGCTGAGAATGTTAAGCAGGGGAAAGCTAGTTTGATTTCTGTTTTAAAAGTTCCCTCTGGTTGCTGTGTGGAGTATCACCCCGTAAGGCCTGAAGAAAGTATCAGGAAGGCCTAGGGGAGGCTAGAGATGCTGCTGCTCTGGCCGTGGTAGACAGGGATATGCAAAGGTGACTGAGACCTACTCCTTCTCTTTAGAGGTGCTGGGAATTTTGTGATATAGGATGACAGGAAGGACCATAGGAACCTGACTGTTGCTAAATCCATATCTTAACCCTTTCATACTGCCATCAGTTCACTCATTCATTTGCTAAACTCTGCCTGAGTTCCAGGCTGAGGAAGCTTGGGGTGAAACTACCACAGTTCTGGCCATATCAGTCAGGGAAGTAAGAAATGAGATAGTTTCAAGTAGTCTAAGAGCAGTAAAGACAATAAACAGGATCATGAGGCTAAGACAAGCCTGAGGAGGGGTGGGGTTTACTGTGGATAATGACCAATTTTTATTGAGTACTCACTATGTGCTAAGTGGTGTTCTAGTGCTTTCTCTAAGCCTTACAGAAATCCAGCATGGTTGTTATTGCTAACATCCTTGTTTTTGCAGGTTAAGAGACTGATGTACAAGAAGATTAAGTAACTTTTCCCAAGTAAAACAGCCAGTAATAGTTGGGTGGAATTCTGAAGCACAGACTCTCAATCACCATTTGACATTACCCACTGAGGCCAGGCAGGAGAGGGCCCTTTGAGTTGCTCCTGGAATGGTAAAAAGGAGCCAGCTCTGGGAAGATCTGGTTGAAGTACAGGGAACAATGCATTCAAAGGTCATGCGGCAGGAATGAGGTCAGCTTGTTCAGAAAAGATAGTTGGAGAAGGAGCCAGGGGCTGGGTCACATGGGGTCCTGGTTCTCAGTCTCAACTAGAGTTCCCTCTATTAGATTTTTTGACATGTGAAATAAAGTTCCCCATTAATAATATAAGTTATGTACCCATAAAATTTGAAAAAAAAAATCAATATAATGTCCTAATAGTAATATAAAGAGGAGAAAAAAGGAAAATAATTTATGATGAAAATAAGTGTTATTTCACCATATGAATGCTGGAGTGCTGCTAAGGTACCAGGAAGTTATGATGAAACAAACTGAGGCACACACACCTCTGGGTAGAATCACCAGGGATGTGGCACCCACGGTGCAGACGAGCGCGGATGGATTGTGCTGGGCACTCATTGTCCCACAAGAGGTGTTGCCATGATAGCATGAAATCCCAGAATAATAAATTTCCAAATAAAGTGTGATTGCCAGGTATGGTGATATATGCCTGTAATCCCAGCGACTCAGGAGACTGAGGCAGGGGGATTGCAAGTGTGAAGCAAGCCTCAGCAATTTAGTGAGGCCCTAGGCAACTTAGTGAGACCCTGTCTCAAAATAAAAAATAAAAAAGGGCTGGGGATATGGCTCAGTGGTTAAGCACCCCTGGGTTCAATGCCCGGTGTCAAAACAAGAACAAAAATAAAGCATGATGCAGCCTTCCCCTTACTGTGCACAACAGTTATATTTCTGGGAATTCCAATATATATTAACACTGCCAAAGAAAAATGTCCTGTTTTTATGTGGCAGCAAAGTTAGGTTCTAGGCCCTGGGGATCCTAACCCAGGTTTCCCTTTGTGGATATCTTAGGGATATGACAAGTCAATCAGAGTGAACAGAATATATCTCTAGGATTTCCAGGATGCTCCCCAGGGAGCAGTGCTGCCTCCATTGAGAACCACTGACATGGGGGTGGACTCAACAAGAAGACTAGATCTTATTCTAAATGAGGTGAGAAGCCAAGAGATATTTTAAACAGAGTGGTGGCTTTTTCTTTCCTGATTTCCTTAGTGGTGATTGTTGTCTGGTTCTGATGTTCCCTGGCCATGTGTGGGGCTTCAGTTGACCCATCATCAGATTTGGAAATTCTGGATACCTACCTTCTGTCTTGCTTTGCTTCTTTTAGCCACCGAGTATCACCTTGGCCTGCTGAAAGCAAAACTTGCCAAGTATCGAGCCCAGCTCTTGGAACCATCCAAATCAGCCTCAACCAAAGGAGAAGGCTTCGATGTCATGAAGTCAGGTGATGCCCGAGTGGCACTGATTGGATTTCCCTCTGTGGGTAAGGTCAGTGATGGTCAGTGTGGGCCTTGGGGAGTGTATTAGTCAGCTTTTTGTCTTTGTGACAAAATACCTGAGTAAAAACTATTTAAAAGGAAATATTTTTGGCTCCTGATTTCAGAGGTTTCAGTCTATGATCACCTGACTCCATTGCTTTTAGGGTTTGGGTGAGGCAGAAACATTATAGTAGAAACATTATAGTGGTAGGGAAAAGCTGTTTGCTTCCTGGCAATTGGGAAGCAGAGAAAATGAGCAGAAAGGGCCAGGGACCAGATATAGTCCCCCAGGGACACAGTAGCCAAGGACCAATTCTCCAACTAGGTCCCACCTGTGCAGTTTCCCAGTAGGCCATTTAGCTGTGAATCCCTCAATGGATTAATCCAGTGGTGAGTTCAGAGCCCTCGTGGGATCCAGTTGCTTCCCAAAAGCCCCAACTCTGATCATTACTGCAGTGGGAACCTAACTTTCAATATAGAAGCCATTGAGGGATGTTCCAGATCTAAACCATAATAGGGAAGAAGGCAAGAGACCATCTTCAAACAGATGACCATTCAAGCCTCCCCATCACTGCCTCTCGGGGTTAGCCCCTGGGCCAGAGAAGACCCTACCTCCCCCTGCACTCGTCCCTCTCATTAGCAATCATCGGTCTCCCCCCTTATCCATCAGTGCAGATGTTTATTGAGTGTGTACCTTATGCTGGCACTATGCCAGGTCCTGGAGACAGGTCAGGGAACAAGTGAATTCTGTCCCTGCCCACACAGAACTCCCTTCTCCCCGAGGATGGAACCAAAGCAAGTGGTGAGCTGCAGCGGGCAGTGAAGTCCTGAGTTATGTCAGGGTGTGGGAAGACTTCTCTGATGAGTGGTTATCTGAACAGAGGCCTAAAGGAAGTGAGGGAGCTTGGAGAGCCCTAGGTGAGAACCTTCCAGGCAGAGGGAGGAGAGCAAGTCTGTTTGGTATGCTGGGATGGGAGAGTGGCTGGGTTTGAATGATCATCAGGGAGAGCAGAGGAGATTAATCAGAGAGGATGGGGGCTTTGGAGCTGTCAGAAGGATTTTGGCTTAGAGAGAAGAGTGATGTGGGCACCACTGCAGAGTTTTCTAAGAAAGAAGGTTTCTTCTAAAAAGTTGCTCGGTTTAGTGCTAAAATCCATATTGTTTTACATTGTATGTGGAGGGTGAGGTAAGTGTCGTTTCATGGTTTCAAGCAGAAAAGAAACATGATCCAAAAAGTTTTTACATTTCTTATTTTAGAATAGTCTTAAATTTACAGAAAAAATGGCAAAGATAGGTCAGGGAGTTCCTGTTGTACTCCACACCCAGTTTCCCTATTGTTAACATCTTGCACAAGGATTACACACTTGTCACGACTCCTGAATCATTGTCGACGTGTTCATTTTCAATTCAGGTCCTTATACAGGTTTCCTTACTTAACTTTCCCTACTGTGTGGATCCACATCACTTTTTTTTTTTAATGATAGTGGGGATTGAACCCAGGGGTGCTTAACCACTGAGACACATTCCCCACCCCTTTTTAAAACATTTTATTTAGAAACAGGGTCTTGCTAAGTTGCTGAGGTTGGCTTTGAACTTGCAGTCCTCCTGTCTCAGACTTCTGAGCCTCTGGGATTACAGGTGTGTGCTACCACACCTGGCCCCAAATAATATTTAACTGTCATGTCTCCCTAGACTCTTCTAGGCAGTTTCTTAGATTTATTTGACTTGATGACCTTGACCTTTGCAAAAAGTTGGGGTTTGTCGGGTGTTTTTCTTGTGCCTTTATCTGGGGTTCTGGTGTAGGGAGGAAGCCCACAGAAGTTAAGTGCTGTTTTCCTTCACGTTGTGTAAAGGGTTCATGCTGTCAACATGACTGACCAGTGTTGATGTTGACTTTGACCACCTGGCCCAGGTGGTGTGTTCAGGTTTCTGCACTGCAGAATCACTCTGTTTCCTTCCTCCTCTAGTACAGTAACACTTAAATGGGCAGGACTTCACCTTCTGGAGGGGGGAGAGTTACATAAATTTTTGGAATTGTTGTCTATAGGAGATTTCTCTCTTTTCTCCTGTTTATTTGTTATTTCTTAAATTTGTTTTGCTGCTGGGGATGGAACCTGGAGCCTGACACATGCTAAGCAGGTGCTCTACCGCTGAGCTCCACCCTCAGAGCCCCATTTATTGATTTTAGCACCTTTTTTATTGGTGTATTATGATTATACATAATAGTGAGGTTCATTGTGGCATATTTGTATATGCACATAACATAATTTCATTAGTTTCATTCTCTAGACATTTGTTTTACTCAGTCTTGATATCCGCATGGGCTTGTATTTACTTCTATGCCGTCTAATCCTTCCCTTACTGTTTTGTTGTTCAGATTGTTCTAGCTTTGGAGCTATTTCACTTGGCTTTGTGTGTGTGTGTGTGTGTGTGTGTGTGTGTGTGTGGTACTGGAGATGGAGCCCCAAGCCATGCCAGGCAAGCACTCTACCACTGAGCCTGCCTTCGTGGTTGGTTTTTTTTTTTTTTTTCCTCTTCATGTGGTGCTGAGGATTGAACCCAGTGCCTCACCCACGCTAGACAAGTGCTCTTCCACTGAGCTACAGCCCAGCCCCAGGACCCTGGCTTTTGGACGTATTCCTGTCATTGTGTTTCCCAGCACTTCCTCACTAACACCTCAGAATGCTCAAGGCTCACCTTACATGTTCTCTGTCCTACTGAAGAATCTGCTAGTTCTCCACAGAGCCATGGTTCCTTTTATTGGAGAACTGTGTATTAAAAACCAGATTCAGGGTACTGGCTTAACTTTTATGGGGATTGAACCCAGAGGCACTTTACCACTGAGCAACATCCCCAGGGGCTCGCTAAATTGCTTAGGACCTTACTCAGTTGCTGAAACTGGCCTCGAATTTGCAGTTCTCCTGCCTTGGCCTCCCAAGTAGCTGGGATTACACGTGCCACCACACCTGACTACTGACAAACTTTTTTTTTTTAATAATTTTATTTTATTTATTTATTGTTTTTATGTGGTGCTGAGCATCGAACCCAGGGCCTTGCATGTGCGAGGCAAGTGCTCTACCGCTGAGCCACAATCCCAGCCCCCTGACTAACTTTTTAACAGAATCATTGGCTGCTATATGGATGATAGGCAAGGGAAGGTAAAGAAAGGGTAGACACAAGGCCAGTAGGATGCTGCTCGAATGCAGGCCACATGAGCAATGATCAGGGCTTATATCAGGTGCCAGCGCGACTCCTGAGTCAGTTCACTGTAAACAGTGTGTAGAGCTCCTTCCTCTGGGCCAGGGATGGGAAGTGGGCCACAGCAGCCATTTCTTGAATGCTTGTTGCATGTGGGGGGTATACTGGCTGGATAGTGTTTTGTTACATTTGTTTTCTTGCCTGTTAAATTGGTATGTGCATCAGACAGAGAGAGAAATTGGTAAAAGCCTCTGTAGTTACTGAGGGCTGTGCCCTGGGATCTGGGTCCTATGGCAGATTCCACCTGCACTATTGGAAACATGGACTCTCCCATCATGGGAGGGCCCAGGCTTCTTACCACAAAGATCAGACAGGATTATACACTATCCCAAAGGTTGCCTCCAGAAGCATTGCTCAGTGTCTTGGCAGTGATCGCTCCCAGGACCATTATATCTTTCATATGCAGGACTGCTCACAGCCTTCCTGGGGCAAGAGCAAACTCTGGATCCTGGATTCACAAGTGCTATGGGGCCAGGAAGGCTTTCTGACGCATGTGGGGGACCCTTTAGAAATCAGGTACCCACCTTTATCTCAGACCTGAGGCCAAGGAACACAGGGGCCCCCCTGGTGCCTAATCCATCATTCAGAGCCAGAGGCGAGTCTCTCAGCTGAGCAATTATTTTTGAAACACCTACCCAAACCTATAGCCGGGAGCGAGGAAGGCTCTTCCTGCTGCCCACACCCACCCAGCAGGCCTTTCTCCCTGTGGGGACTCTCCTAGGAGACAGGAACAGGACTTCTCAGTGCATTGATCTTCTTTTTCTCCTAGTCCACCTTCCTGAGTCTGATGACCTCCACGGCCAGTGAAGCTGCATCCTATGAGTTCACCACTTTGACGTGTATCCCTGGGGTCATTGAGGTAAGTGGGGTGTGCCGGGCCCCAGGAGGGGAGAGAATGTGTGTTTGTTTGCACTTTTGCAGATACTTTTCATGTGTGTATAAGTAAGAGGGTGGACGCTCCTGCAGGGGGGCAAGCTCAGAGCTGAACTGCTTTGCTCTGAAATAGTGGCACTTCAGGGGACCCCAGAGATGCCCAGCTGGTCCTGGAACCCTGACTCATTCCGTGAGGCTGGCCAGCATATGGCAGCGCTGCCTGGTTCCCTTTAGTGCTCTGCTCTCCACACTGCCTCAGCTCTGGTCATTAACTACTGGCTGGCTCCATCCTTCTGTCTCTTGTAAAGCTTCAAAGCCTTGTGGGGTGCTTGCCTTGGGCAGCAAGTGCTTTGACTTTAAGTCTCCAAGGTGAAGGAGTCTCTTTGTGAAGGGTTGTTGTCATTAGCTATGAGTTTTATGGAACTAGATCTCAAGAGCCCTCTGAGGCAGTTCTTAATCTCCTAGGCTCTGGGCTGTGCCAAGCTGAGGTGAAAATGAGGCTCACAGGTGGCCATAGTTGGCATCTTTGTTTCCCATAAGCCCTGAGGTATAGAGCTGTCATAGGTGTCTCAGGGTCAAGCAGGCTCTTTGCATCAGTCAGCCATCCTTACCTTACATTGTTCTCTTCTGCTTTGTAGTACAAAGGTGCCAACATCCAGCTCTTGGACCTTCCTGGAATCATTGAAGGCGCAGCACAAGGTGTGAGGAGGGACAGGTGGGTGGGAGGGAGACAGTGGAGCTCTGACACTGATTGTTGGTTTCTGGAGGACTGTCATGGAGATCAACCTGGATCTCTGGTTATATTACCCTATTTTCTAGAAAGGACAGGCTCAGGTTTAAGTACTGGTGCATACTATCTCTGTGATCTCAGGCAAGTGATTGCCTCTATAAAATGAGCAGGCATTCGCAGCGTAGTTCTAAGGATTAAGTGAAGAAATGTTCATGAAGCTTCTAGCCTGGGCTTGCTACAAGGTAGGGGTGGGGAAAACAAGTCTGTCATTATCCTGCCACTCCACTAAAGTGGTGACTTTAAAACAAGTCTCCATGAGTAAAACAGCTTTGGACTGAGGAAGAATACCAGGAAAATTAAAGTGGCATGTGGCAAAGACCATGGTGGCTCTGTAAGGACAGGAGCTTGTGATATGATGGGCTGGGTGGAGGTCCTACGTATGTGGCTACACTTGCCAATGGGTAACCACCTCCCTTCCACCCATCCAGGGAAAGGTCGTGGCCGTCAAGTGATTGCTGTGGCGCGTACGGCTGATGTTGTCATCATGATGCTGGATGCCACCAAGGGAGAGGTGCAGAGGTCTGCGCGGTGGGGCAGGGGGGCAGGCTTACTTGTCTAGGGAGGGTCCCCTGCGTTCCTGGGCTCACGGTGGGTGCTCTGTGGGTCCTTGGCTCTCATATGGGAGTACTAGTGACTTCATCTCTAACCCAGCAGCACCCAGCCGGGATGTGCTATCCTCCGGGCTATGTCTAGATGGCACAGGATCATCTTGGGGCTGGGAAATAAGGAGCATGGCCTGGCTCTGGCTTCTTTCCACAGAGGTCTAGGTGCCCTGGTCACTGTCCAGAATCTGCCACAAGTCCAACCCAAGCAGCAGAAGTGTTGACCCTCCCCACAGCCTCTTGTCCAAGGGCACACTGGCCTACATCTGCCGCAGCAGACCCATGGGGGTCCTAAGGGCCAAAGCAGCACCTCACTTGGTTACTTCCCAGGACGTCATGCTGCTTGCCCGTGCATGGTGACTGCACACTGAGCCAGCCTCCCCTCTGACCATGACAGAAGGGTTTCACTACAGCTTTGGGGCATTGTATTGCTGGGGTCAAGGAGGGAGCTGGTTTCCATGTGGGTCCAAGGGGCTTCCTGGCTAATGTGCAGGCTGCAGAGCCTGCTCGTGGGCAGCCAGTGAGGGGCTCATGAAGCGCTCTGTCTAGGGGTCTGCTGGAGAAGGAGCTGGAGTCAGTGGGCATCCGCCTCAACAAGCACAAGCCCAACATCTACTTCAAGGTAGGCTTCTTTGTGACCAGGGCAATGACAGCTCTGGACTGCCTGAACCTTGGTGGAGGCCAAGAGATCGTTGCTATTACCTCTTCATCAGCAGCTCTCCCTGTTCCTCTCTCCTGCTCCAGCCCAAGAAAGGTGGTGGCATCTCCTTCAACTCAACAGTCACGCTGACCCAGTGTTCGGAGAAGCTTGTGCAGCTCATCCTGCATGAGTATAGTATCCTTCCCAAAGAGCGGTTGGGGCATCCTAGACAGAAGGCCACCTGGGATAGTGGATCACCGTTAACAACTCCTGAGCCATCTGAGCAGCCTCTGGAAAAGTTCCACCCAGACTTCATGAGCCTGCCAGGGCTTCCCCAAGCACCAAAGGAAGGCTTCCTGGCTCCTCATTGAGTTCTAGACACCCTGGTGGCCAGTGACATCTGGGAGAAAGATGAGATGTCATGGGACATCTGGGGGTTCCTGGCCTGGAGAAGCCTCAGGAAGGATCAGAGGCTATGTGCTGCATACCTGTTATCAGAAGCCTTGAGGACAAGTCAGGGCCTCAGGGGCAGTGTTGAGCTCAGCAGAGGGAGAACCCATAGTGTCAGATGTGATGACCAAGCGAGTTGTAAGCCCCTGGTCACCAAAGATGTGCAAGTAGGGGCAGAAAACCCCCAGAGGGAAAGTGCATGTGGAACAGACTGCGTCAGCCCAGCTTTCACACGATGCTCCTGGAAGGAAACCTAGAGATCCATCGGGATCCTAGAAGTACATTTCCCTGCTTCTTGACCACAAAGATTTAAATGGCTTATTGATTGAAATTTTTGCATATTATGGTTTGGGGTGAAAAATGAGAGGGCTCCTCAAGCTTTAAAATCTTTTAGAGGGCTGGGGTTGTGGCTCAGTGGTAGAGCACTTTCCCAGCATGTGTGAGCACTGGGTTCGATTCTCAGCACCGCATATAAATAAATAAATAAAGATCTATCAACACCTAAAAAATATTTTAAAAAATAAAATCTGTAGAACCTGCAAGCAGATCATGGCCAAGGCCCCTTCCAGCCAGCATGTTTTTTGCTTAGCTCTTTGGACACCTTTGGAGCTCTTGGGGTATGAGGGGCTGCTGGTGTACAAATTGCCCTTAATCTGAGTCCCTCAGAGATCTTCAATGCAGAGGTGCTTTTCCGAGAAGATTGCTCCCCAGATGAGTTCATCGATGTGATCGTGGGCAACCGGGTGTACATGCCCTGCCTGTATGTAAGTGGTACCAGTGCTCAGGGGTGCTCATGTGGGTGGAGTGCCCTGGCCTTGGGCCATGTGGCCTTTCCCCTGGTTGCCTTTCTTGAGCTCCTATGACCTTGCCTGGCTGCCACTGCTCTTGCCCTGGGCAGGCTCCTCGAGAGTTGCAGAGGGCTGGGGCTGTGCATATTCCTCCCCTGCCCTCTGCCTCAATTGCTGCTTCATTCTTACAGACATGGAGAGCTTGAAGCCAGGGCTATAGCCCAGCCATTCCTTTTTTGGGGGAGACTAGCCACTCCCAAGCCCCTGTACCCTTACCCATCTTTGAGGCAGCAGTGGGAGAGGGGGTGCTCAGGTGAGCAAGGATGAACCTGCAGGCAGGTAGATGTAAGATCCTTTCCTGCCCTGCTCTACTCCTTTTCTTCCCCACTACCCATCTCTACCTTTTCAATCTCAGGTGTATAACAAAATTGACCAGATCTCCATGGAAGAAGTGGACCGTCTGGCCCGGAAACCCAACAGTGTAGTCATCAGGTAAGGTGCTGACCTCCTGACACTGTGCTGTCTTTGCTCTGTGTTCCCGTCCCAACTGACAGGCCTGGAGGAAAAGTCAGGCACCTCTGGCTTCATTTGACTTCATGAAGTCCAGCCTCTCCTCCCAGAGGAGAGCTCTCTGTTCATGAGGCCCAGGAAACAATGCAAGTGCCTCAACTGCCACTGGTTGTTCTTGGCAACTGGGGGGCTCTGGGTAAGCAAGGATTTCAGCATTGAGGTTGAATGGCTAAGGGGCTTCTTAGCCTACTAATGAGCCAGTGTCCCCCAGAGCCCTGGTACAACCTCCTCTCCTGTGCTCTGGAAGTCATGGCTTATATCTGACCACAGCTCAAGGGGAAAAAGGAACTAAGCTCTCAGGTGGGCAAGGTCCATCCCTGGCCACCTGCTTCCTGCCCTTCTCTACAGGATGGGTCCCAGGGTGCTCCCCAAACTGGCTGCACTGTGCTTTTTACTCCCCAGCCCTGCCCTGCAGGGTTCCTCTTTGGGATGGATTAAGTACTTGACTTTGCTTTTTTCTGGCTCAGACCTGTCGTTCTGCAACTTCACAGTGAAGCCCAGCATGTGGGAGCAAGATGCTTAGGGACCAAGTCGGGGTGGCTGCTGCAAATGATGGATGAGGACCATTTCCTGGGACATTTCAGCCCCTGCAAAGAGCAATGTCCCATCCATAAGGCGGTCTCAGCTCCTCTCCCCCCTCTTACTATATCCCAGGTCCCTCAGGCCACGGAAGGACATGCTTATCCTCAGGGCATGAAAGGACATGCTTGTCCCCAGGGCACAAGAACAGAGCACACCTTTACCTGCTCATGCTCACAACAGTTCTCCAGAGGTTAGGATGCATTTGAGGTCACTCAGTCAAGTCAGGGTTCCCCACAGGTCCAGCTGCTTTCAGCCCCTGTGGGCTGCTCTGGTCCTTGGCAGCCACTCTTTCTTCTCAGGGTGATGTGAACTCTGCGTTCTCAGTCTCTGCCCATCATCCCATCTCAACCCAGTTCCAGTTAGTCTCTCATAACAGGCCTAAGCCAGGCACAGAGGCTGTGGGCTCTTCGTAGAGCATAGCCATACTGGCCTTAAGGGAGACACTGAACTCTGAGCATGATTGTCATTGGTAGCCAGGAGTACTTCAGGGAGACAGGCTAGTTTCCTCATGGGAGCTTGTAGGGCCATACTGGCCTTGGTGCCTGGCCAGCAGAGGTCATTCCAGTGAGAAGCCTCTGAGTCCCCTAGGCTGCTACCTGACTAGACCATTTCCTTTCCCTATAGCTGTGGCATGAAACTGAACCTGGACTACCTGCTGGAGATGCTTTGGGAGTACTTGGCCCTGACCTGCATCTATACCAAGAAGAGAGGACGTGAGTCTGGTGGGACTCAGCTTAAGAAATGACCGAGCTTCACCCTTCACACAGGGCTGCTAACCTGTACATGGTACCCAGAGATCCCAGTTCCAACCCTGGCTCAGATTGTCTCTCAGAGCAGGCCACTGCTCTCCATCCCAGCTGGTGGAGGCCTCTCTGTGAGCCTGAGTGGCAGAGAAAGCTGAGTGCTGGGGCTTCTAGTAGAGCCTGCCCTAGATCCCCACTGACCACAGCAGTCCCTGACCTCCTGACCTCCCTCTGCAGTGGCAGGCCCCACATCAGGAGCTTTGATTGTCTTCCTTGTGTCACACACATTGACAGGCCTGTGTCTGGGCATTTTTCCATCCTGACCTTGTTGATGAATGGAGAGCTACAGCTTCCCTGACTAGGCTCCAACAGCCACTCGCTTCCTGTCCATTCAGTCCAGATGCTCCAAGTGGCTCATCTTCTAAGTGCCATCCTGGCTGATGGGGTGGCAAACATATGAATCCTGGACTTTTGATTTTCTGTCATGGTCAGAGTTGTAGAAGATAGCACAAGGGTGTATCCTGAGAGTGTACTGGCTATTGGGGGCAAGGTTAGATAAGACCTGGGAGTCCAGAAGTGCCTCCACAGCATGGGCCACGACTGGTTGATATTCTCCCCCTATCTCCCCCTGCAGAGAGGCCAGACTTCACAGATGCCATCATTCTCCGGAAAGGGGCCTCTGTGGAGCATGTGGTGAGTTGAAATCTCCTTAAACAAGAGTGGGAGCTCTGTGGGTCCTGGGGTTCCATTCTGCCTGGGGTGCTCGCCTCGCCTGCTCTTGGATACGAAGGCAGGGTCTGGAGTTAGACGGGCCAGAGTTGAGTCCATGCTACCCCTCCCCACCTGCATGTCGGAGCTCTGCCTTTCTATATGGTGGGATGATGCTGTGGCTTCCCGAGCAGTTAGGAGGGTCACAGCAAATGGGGGGGAAATGTGTAAGGCTCTCAGAATTCCACCTGGCACAGGGTAGATGGCAGTGAACAGTGGTGCTGTCTCCCTACTTCTGGTGCTTCAGGCTCCTTGGGGCCATGGCTGTTGTCCTTTCTGGTGTTCAGTCCAAGACAGCTACTGCCCCTGGTATTCCTAGATTGTTAGAAGGTTTCTCTAGTGTGAGCCTGGGAGAGGCCTCGGACCTGCTTCTGTCCTCTTACCTGGTGGCAGACTGGCCATTTAGTCCCAAGCCTGGCCTGCCCTATCCGACTCCTCCGCCTGGGTGGCTTTGACTGCTTCCTTCTCTCAGCATGTGTTTACTGAGCATCAAAACTGAACACAGTAGCCCAGTCTTGCCAAAACGAGGGTCCTTTGGGGCCAGTAGGTGGCAAGCACCCAGTCCTAGAACTAAGCCATTGTACTTATGGGTAGTGGAGGTGGCACCGGGTCCGTACAGAGGTCAGGAAGGCATTTTGGAGGCGGCAACCTGAGCAGCCCTGTAGAGCAAGCTAGACTTCACAGTGAAGACTGGGGTGTGTATAGAGGATATCTTCTCTGGATCGTATTATGGAGGCAGGGGACCCTGTGAGACCCAGTTGTCCGTGTATTAGAAAGACACTGGTGGGTGGTCCTGCAGTCTGGTCTCCTGCATCTGTGAATTCAGCCCAAGGTCCCGGTGCTGGCCTCCAGGTGATGAGACAAGTGGGATCAGGTAAAAATCCTCAGGGCCTGGTTGTGAGGGTCAGCAAGCCAAGCAGGAACCATGGAGACTAAGAGTACCCACAAAAGGAGCTCCATGATGGAGGCTCCGTCCTACAGGCTTGTTCCTGAACCTCTAGCTGCTGTGTCCCCTGCCAGAAGCCCAGCAGGCTGTAGCAAATAGATGCTGGCCCTTTCTGGATTCTTCCTGCATTGCTGGGGAGTTTTTCCTACCTCATCAGGCCCAGCTGATTGCAAGAGAGGATGTGGGCTTTAGCCATGCCTGGGAGGAAGAATGGGACACCAGGAAGAGGACGGTGTGCCAGGCAACAGTAAAAGCAGGTTCAGAGGCCCCAGAGCAGGAGCAGAAGCCGAGAGCAGGGGCCAAGGTAGCAGACAACAGACCCAGGAGTGAGAACAAGTCAGCAGGCTGGGGATGGGCTTTGGGGGGCCTTCCCTTCACTGGCCACCTCCATTTTAGCTCATGCTCCCCACAGGTGACACCTGTCCCAGTTGCCACAGAATATAAGTAAATCTCCTGCCCTGCCCAGGCCTCTGCTTATATGCTGACCATAGTTAGACCTACGATCTTACCCCAGCTCCTGCCTCATTTTTCTCATCCAGGGATTACAGACCCACAGAGCCCTTGTAATCTACCTGGCCTGGACCCCTGTTGGTGAATTAATCCACTGATTAATAATCTGATCCACTCTCCTAATTTTTTCACCTCTGAAAATTCTTACCTTGTCTTGCACATGAGTTTTTGGGGAGAACCTCATATTTGAAGCATTAATACTTGGTCACCAGAATCAGCTAGCTTCCTGTATTAGCTCAGGAAATGTTATTGCAGGCCTGGGCCTGTAAAACTTGTAGGCACTTGGGAGGAGAAGTAATGTTGCAGTCTGTTCCCTGCCACCACCACTGTGCTGCCATCACAATGGCACCTGGTGGTCCACATTCTGGGGCAGTTGCTGGCTGCCTCTCCAAGGTCTCTTTCCAACTTCCTCGCTGCTAGGATTTCTGTGACCTTCCATCTGTACCCAGGAGTGTTGAGGAATGTAGGCTGCAGTGGGGGGATAGCGGAGCAGGGATGTGATATGTGGGATGTGCTGCAGGCCACAGCTAGAGCCAGCAAATATGAGAGACAGTGACCAAGCAGTTGTGGTTCCAAACTGAGGCTGATGTCCTGAAAAGCCACCCTGGCCCATTCTGAAGTAGCATCTGTCAGACTGTATTCAGGAGGGGCTGGCAGAGGGGCTGCAAAACTCAAAAGCCTTCCTACCAAACACTGCAGCTCTTTGGGCAGATCCAGGAGTGGGAATGTCAGATCCACTTGCAGCATGACTAGGAAGCCATGTGACATCCCTTGACTCAAGATCTCAGTTGCTGGAGTACCTACTGTGAGAATAGCTGCTGCCCAGCACATGCCCAGGATTGTGGGTAGACGGCTGAGCTCAGGTGGCCCCTTCGGTAGTACAAGGTGGCTAGCTGGTTGCTTTCCTATGACCTCAAGCCAGGGGTGGAGGGATGGCTGAGGCCTACCTCCCAGGGGTTGTGCCTAATCCTCTGGAAGCAACAAAAACGTTGAGTGCAGGAACTCACCTCTCTGATTCTCTCCTGTCTCTAGTGCCACCGCATCCACCGGTCACTCGCCAGCCAGTTCAAGTATGCCCTGGTGTGGGTGAGTCCAGGCGGAGGCGGGTGGGGATTTAGGTCCAGCGTTGCCCCTGGGTTAGGCTCAGAGCAGGACGTTTGCCCTCCTCCACACAGCATCCCCATCCTTTCATGTGGGGGCCGCTATGACTCTTCTGCTTTGTGGAGTGTGTAGACCCACCCAGCTTAGACATGGGCCATCCCCACCTCTGAGATCCCGGGAAAGTCAGACCACTGGGCATCTTGCTATCTGGGCATGTGGGGCTGCTGATGCCAAGGCCCCCACTTTACTCTGGCATTCAATCCCAGTACAACTCCAGCCTTGGCCAATCTAGAGGCTGACATGGTCCCTCTACCCCATCCCTACCCAGGGCACCAGCACCAAGTATAGCCCACAGCGAGTGGGCCTCACCCACACCATGGAACACGAGGATGTCATCCAGATTGTGAAGAAGTAGCAGCGCCTGCCAGCCTCGTCGCCTGAGAAGGTGTCCCCCCTGGGACACACAAAAGCCCAAACAGGAAAAACACAGATACATATGCCCCAGGAAAGGGTTCCCTCGAATTTCTGCTGTTTCCAGAAGCTTCTTCAGTAGGCAGATGATGAAGAATGTTGGGACAGAGGGGTGAGGTTGAGGGACTTGGGCTTTGTTGGGGACATTTCCCATGAGCCTGATCCCCCTGGTGGGTTTCCATGTTGGGAACTCGTAGCCTATATCCCTACCCCTGATCCCTGTTGGGCACTGAGGGAGCAAGTTACCTACTTACTCCCCAACCAGGGCCTAAAACTGGTGGCAGGCTCCATGCTGGTTGGGGAGATGGGTCCCTGAGGCTGTAGCTACTGTCAGGGTACCTTGTTCCCTCAGCTCCTGCCAGCTTCTCTGGTACTCCAGGAAAGGGCTTTCCTAGGACAAAAGCCCCATAAGTACCCCCCACATGGGGCTGTCCCCCCACATGGGGCTGTCCCATGGTGGAAACCAGATCACAACCTGAGTGGTCCTAAAGTGCCTCCCTTCCCAGGGCAGCCCCTGCCCAGCACAAACCCCAGGACCCTGCCCTGCACACCTGGGACTGATGAGTCTGGACTCTTGTTTTCTCTCTAAGCCCCTTGCTTTCCTATCTAAAATAAAGGAATAAAAGTTATTTCTGTTCAGACTAAAGGAAACTTCATAAACTTATTGGACTCTGTTGCCAGGTTGGGCAGGGGGCTAGGGGGCAGCAATGAACCTGGCAATCAGAGTGGGTATAGCCTGAGCCCTGTGGGAGCAGGCCCAAGCTTGTGGTGATGAGAGTGGGTCTTCCCAGGCCCAGGAGGATCAACCAAGGGCTGCAGAGCCCGGGAAGGCCCCTTTGGTAGTACAAGGTAGTTAGAGCTGGTTGCTTTCCTATGATCTCAAGCCAGGGATGGAGGGTGGCTGAGGCCTCCGCCTCCCCGGGGGTTGTGCCTGTCCTTGTGGAAGAAACAAAAATGCTGAGTGCACGGTGGCAGGGAGGGCTTCCCAGGGGAGGTGTGCCTTTTACAAGCTGACAGTCCTGTCCTGCTAGGAGCCGGGTAGAGAGTTCCTCCGGGGCCTCAAGCAGGCTGGAGTGTCAGGGAGCACTGCCCAGCTCTCCTGGCTGTTCCCGGCTCTCCTGTCAGCTGCTTGCTCCTTTCCAGAGACAAAACAGGAATAATAGACATCATTAAATATACATGGCGCCCCAGGCGGCTGGCGGGGTGGGCTGGGCCTCCCCTCTCACAACAGAGAGCTGCTCAGATGGGTCTGCCGTGCTCTTGGGGCCAGACACAAGACCCCCATTAGGCGGCATGCAGGCGGGGAGCAGGCCACGGGACCCAGGTAAGAGGATCCTGGCCCTGGGTCCTTGAAGTCTGCCACTGACCCTCGGGTCACAGGGGAGATTTGGGAAGGGGGCAGCCTCAGAATTGGGCCTTGGACCTAACTCCCTGTCTTCCTCTATAAGATCAGCACACTCCCCTCACAGACCCCTTTCATAATGGTAGAATGCCAAGATGGGTAAATGCTTGGCTCACCTCAGCCCCTTTCCCCTTGGTCTGGTCATGAGGACCCAAGGGAAGGATTCTGCCTGGGTGACAGTCATTCCTAGTCCTTGCCCTGTGGGTGGGTCCTCTGAAATCAGGGAGAGGTTGAGAAGGCTCTGAGCTCACAGGGTGTCCAGCCCAGTCCAGGCCTTGGATGGATACAGGCCCATTTTATCCCCCAAGCTGTCTGGGAGAGGGTGGGAGATGTAGTCAGAGGCTTGGGGTCCTCAGACAGTTGGTTCCTCCTGGTGGCCAGGCTGTTTCCTGGGCTCTCCCTGTGGATCAGTGCAGTCTCATGTTTTGTGTCCTGGGCCTTCTGGATCTATGATCAACATGATTGTACTATCTAAGCCTGAGTGAGATAGGGGTGCTGTGCACGATGGCCAGGTTGGTGTGACTCAGCCGCTCATAATGCCCTTAGGGCTGCAGAAGCCCCCAATAGGGGAGCACCCCAAGGTCCCCAACCCATGCTACCAGGATGAGCTCAAGGTTTGAGCCCTGCTCCTCTTAGCTGCCCTATTCTCCTCACTTAACGTCCCCTTGCAAACACAGGAGAAGACCTCATTCAGGTCTGTACTCAGGCTGCAGGACTACCCTCTGCCTCAGGTGGCATCCTGTTCTGGCTGTAGCATTCAAAGTGCAAAAGAGCCAAGGGAGCAAATGTCCCTCTGTCTGTCCAACGTCTGTGTGTTCATTCATTCTCCATGGCCCTTCCTCCCCAACTTAGATTCCACAATTTCTCATTTCAGAACCCTCCTTTGGCAAGGAACCCCAAACTCCTCTGTCCTGCTCAAGAACTGGGCACCTGGGCACCCCCTCCCAGCCCCCCAGGTGCCAACTGCCCAGATGCTGCACAGTAGCTCCTCCAAACCCCTCTGTTCCCACTCCTCCACTTGCTGTGGAGTCCTAGCTAGAAAACTCCTGCCTTCCCTGAAACACCCCGTGCTCATCTGTACCCCCTTCTCCCGCCATGAAGGAGGAGGCTGCCTCCCTGGGATCTCGCGCTCCATGGAGGGTTCATTCTCCTTCTCCCTCACCCTCAAGTCTCTCTATATCGTGTCTCGTTATCTTTTTTTCTCTCTCCCTCTCACCTTCTGTCCACTTGATTTGCCAGCTTATCTGTCCAGGTCAGGGCTTCTATGACAGAAAACCACAGGCCAGATGGTTTTAACAACAGAAAGTCATTTCTCACAGTTCTGAGGCTACACGGCTCAGGTAAGGAGCGGGCAGGGCAGGTGTCTCCTGAGGCCTGTCACCTTGGCTTCCAGTGGCTCCTTATCAGTGCATCCTGAGGAGGGTTCTTAGGGGGCTCCCCACCCTAAGGGCACCAGGAGCTGCTGAGTCACACCTGAGGACCTCCCACCAGAGCCCCAAGTGTCTTTCCACTACACCTCTCTGTTGTAATTTAGCTTCCCCAGGCTAACCCCAGGGCCAATCTCTTCACCTCACCCCTGGGCACACTCTAACATACCACCCAAATGGCTCCTGAGGCCAGGCATTGCTGAGCAGAAACCATTTTTAATCCATCTCTTCTTACCCTCAGCAGGCTCAACCCAGCTGACTGTGGCCTCTTCCCTGCCTCCTTGTCCCCCTCGCCCAGGGTCCTCTCCTCACTCTGTCCCTCTCCTTGGCAGCCCTCACCCCTGCCTGCATCTCACCTAATCTGCTGAATGTCTGTCCCTGCAAGTTCCAGTCCTGAGAACAAACCATCTCCTGACTCACTCCTGCATGGTGCTGCCCTTGCTCTGAACCGCTGCCTCCCAGAACAGACTTGTGCTTCCACATAGTTGTCCCCTCTGCTTCAGAGAACAGTTCTGCCCAAGTCAACACCAATCCTGCCTGGCTTGTACCCTTACCCCACCCCCTTCCAGCCCCTCCAGGCCAACCTGTTTTACCAGGTCCCAAATGTGTCTGCCACATTTTGTCACTTCTCTGTCCCAGCCAAGCCACTGGTCCCACGCCTTGCCTGCACTGTGCATCCCCTCCCAACCTTCCCACAGAGACCCTAGAACATTTTTCAAGACCATTTGATGAGAAGCAAAGGGAAGTCCCAGTTGCCAAATGTGTGGCCTCAGGCAACTTGCTAAACCTCTCTCTACCTGCTTCCTCAACTATAAAATGAGAAGAATCATTCCCACCTCAGGAATTTGTAATGAGTGCTGGATGGGCTGTGTGTGGCCTGCACTTCTGAACCCAGGCCCCGCAGGCAGCGACATGGACCCCATAGCTTCTTCTCTGTGGCTCTCTCAGCTGAGTCTCGAACATCTCTCATATCAAGCCCTTCATTGATAAAATAGGAAGAATTCCATTCTCACATATGTGAGAATCTAGTGAGATATTCCAGGAAAGCCTTCAGCACTGAACCTGACACAAAGCAAACACTTCGTAGTGTTAGTAATTTTTTTATTACTTCTAAAATGCAAATGCTTCCATGGCTTCCCACTACTAAAGGTATTAGGGACCAAAGCCTTGTCCCAGCCTCATAGGGCCAGCCCCTGCCTGCCATCCTGACTACTTTACATTCTATACATCCCTCTTCATCTGCTCTTGGGGGAGAGGCTCAGAGACATGGCCTAGGCAACTTTCACTGGCATATCAGAGACAGCACTGGTTGTCTTTGCACCTGTAGGAGACCAGCTGTGTCTCAGGCTTGTCCAGTGGTGGCTCAGTAAGGGCCCTCTGCCTCCAGAACTCCCGGCTGGAGTAGGCTGTGGAGTCAGCCCTGCCAAGCCCCTGCCTGCAGCCAGCACCCAGAGATTCTCCCCTCCTATGTGAGGACCCAAGTACCAAGAGCTCAGCAGGCAGGTGGGCCCAGCCAGGAGAGCAGCTCTGGATCCTTCAAGTCTGGGATCCCCCCTCCCTAGTCACATGGCCTTGAACAAATCACTCACTTTACCTCTTTGAGTCTGGGTTTCCTAATCTTTTTTTTTTTTTTATCCTTTCTTTTTTATTTTATCTTATTGGTACCAGGGATTGAACCTAGGGGTGCTTAACTATCAAACCACATCCCCAGCCCTTTTTATTTATTTATTTTGTCTATGGTCTCCGTAAGTTGCTGAGGCTGGCTTTGAACTTATGATCCTTCTGCCTTAGCCTCCCAAATCACTGGGATTACAGGCCTGTGCCACCATGCCAGGCTTGAGTTTCCTCATCTTGACAATGGAGGTGATAATAGTTCCTGTCTCAAGGCCTGTTCAGTGAGTCCCATGAGATCACTGTGCTAATATACCTGGCCAGGGCTTTAGGGCCAGGAGGGCTGGGGGGTGGGCAGGGGGCATTGGGGAGTGTCATATTCGGGCTCAGAAAAACCAACTTCTCTGTCCTTGTTCTCCTTCAAGTGAGCAGTGGCCACAGCCCAGAGAGTGGTGGGAAAGCAAGCAGCTTGGAAGGAGGTGACAGAGAATGGCTGTCCCTCTATCCCCTCAAAATCCATACTGCAGAAAGCTGACTCCCTGCATGCCCTTGCTCAGGAAGCTGCTCAGTCGCTCTGGTTTCCATCCACTGTCCTGTCCCCTCTGGATGGTTACCTGAAGCAGGAGCCATCAGCCTCTGGCACCATCTCTCTCAATGGCTGGTACCCTAATGGGCTCTTGAGAGTCTCCGGGAAGAACAGCAGGAACCAGAGGAGGAAGGTGAAGAGATGGAGACAGTGAGCAGAGGAGGAGAGGCAGACAAGGACAGAGGAAGGTCTCCCTGCTCCTTGCCTGCATCCAGGAAGACCTCTTGTCAACCCTGAAGTCACAGTTGAGCAGGCTAAGGCTCTGAAGCCACTCCCTGGAGGCATGAAGGTGACAAGGGGCAGAATGAGGGCCACGACCTCACTGCTTAGCTGTCTCCCATGCTGCCTTTTAAGCAACCAAAGCATTAGCATTGGGGCCTAACAGCTAAAACCAAGTTCAGTAAATAGGCAGCCTGGAATTGACTAGAGTCTGTCATCAATCATTCTGGATCCTGGATGTCCTGATCCGTGGGCAGAAGGAGGAGTGAGAGAAGGAAGAGAGATGAGGAACGGGAGGAAGAGAAGATGAGGATCGGGAGGAAGAGGTACCAGGGATTGAACCCATGGGCATTTAACCACTTAACCACATCCCCGGTCCTTTTTTTTTTTTTTTTTTTTTTCCTATTTTGAGACAGGTCTTGCTATGTTGTTTAGGGCCTCCATAAGTTGCTGAGGCTGGCTTTGAATTTGTGATCCTCCTGCCTTAGGCCTCTGAGTGGGTGGGATTTCAGGCATGTACCACCATACCCAGTTGTGAAGAAACAGTTCTGAGGCTTTGGACTCCAGAACTGCTATCCACAACATCCCAAGTTCTTTCCCATCTTCTTCTTCTAACAATCCACAACTCCTACCTCCCTTTTTTGGTGCCAGGGTTGGAGTCCAGAGCCTTGCACATGCTAAACATGGGTTTTACTACTAAGCCACACCCCTGCCCAGCTTCTGCCCCTTTTAGGGCAAATTTTCAAAATCAAGCCTAACTGGTCACCACCCAAGATGGTTGGCACATGGCCTTGGGTCAGATGCCCCAACTGTCAGAGAGGGCAGGGGTCCCATGACTACAGCTACTCAGCTAGAGAAGGAACAGAGAAGAATGGATAGAACTAGTTAGGGACATCAGCAAGGAACCACCACAAAGCCCCTTCCACCTCTTGAGCTACCGAGCAGTTCCACTGAATCTTGCTTCTTCCTGATACAGTTTATCATTCCCAATCTACAGATGAGGAAACCATGGCCCAAAGAGGGCAAAGGGCTCTCCTGAGGTCACACAGCCCATCAGTGACAGGGCTGGGAAACAGGCCTAGTCATCTTCTATTTCTATTCCTCTGCACCACTCCCTTCTCCATGGACTGTTGAGACACTCCACCTTTCCCTTCTCTGTGAGGCAGCAGCCCAGCTCTCCCCAATGCATTATTCAACTGCTGAGAGCCAGCTAGCTCCCATTACGTTGACCGCTGCCCTGGGGCAGCTGCCTTGCCCACTCCCCTCCTTTCTTGCATAAGACCTGAAAGATCCAAGGTTCCCTTCCAGGGTGGCTTGGTGGGCTTTGACCACCCCCATCATGGGCTAAGGAGATCTGGTTTCACTCTGGCTCAATGCAGGTGGGCTGGGTGGTCCAAGGCAGGTAGCATCCTCTCTTAGGGCTCAGAGACCAAAGCACTCTGCTTTGGGGGTTTAGTCAGCTGAGTCACAGGGAGGCCTGACCTGGGTCAGCACGGTTGTTGCCATGGCAATGCCAAAGCCAGGATGACCCCCCTCCCCCCAGCACAGGCCTCCCCAGGTTTCCCCTGTCCAGTAAACTACACCCACGCACTTTCCACTGCCACTGGAGGGTGAAACCCAAGGCGTCTCTAGAGGAGATGAATTATGGATCCACCCTCCCCGAATGCTGGCCCATCCCTCCCCAAACCATCCGCCAGTCCCGGCTGCCCAGAGACAGAGGAGGCCGGGTGTCCAGCTGCCAGCAGGAAACCTAGCAGATCCTTGTGTCTCCAAACCCCTGAACCTGTGATACCCGGCCCCAGGCGTGGTAGGAGCAGGAAGCGACCATGGCAAAGGAGGAAGATGAGGAGAAGAAAGCCAAGAAAGGAAAGAAGGGTAAGAAGGCCCCGGAGCCGGAGAAGCCCAAACGGAGCCTTAAGGGGACCTCCCGTCTATTCATGGGCTTCCGAGATCGAACGCCCAAGATCTCCAAGAAGGGCCAGTTCCGGAGCGCATCAGCTTTCTTCTGGGTCCTCCACACTGGCCCCCAGAAGACCAAACGCAAGAAGAAGGCCCGCACGGTGCTCAAGTCCACGTCCAAGCTCATGACGCAGATGCGCATGGGCAAAAAGAAGCGGGCGATGAAGGGGAAGAAGCCCTCTTTCATGGTGATCCGCTTCCCCGGACGTCGTGGGTACGGCCGTCTCCGGCCCCGGGCCCGGTCACTCAGCAAGGCATCCACGGCCATCAACTGGCTCACCAAGAAGTTCCTCCTCAAGAAGGCTGAGGAGTCGGGCAGTGAGCAAGCCACGCTGGACGCCTGGCTGCAGCGCTCGGGCTCCCGCGTGGGCTCCCGCAAGCTGCCCTTCCCATCGGGCGCAGAGATCCTGCGGCCCGGGGGCCGGCTCCGCAGATTCCCCCGCAGCCACAGCATCTACTCATCTGGGGAGCCCGTGGGCTTCCTGCCCTTCGAGGACGAGGCTCCGTTCCGGGGCTCGGGCTCCCGCAAGTCGCTGTATGGGCTCGAGGGCTTCCAGGACCTGGGCGAGTATTATGACTACCACCGCGAGGGCGACGACTACTATGACCAGCAATCGCTGTACCAATATGAGGAACAGGAGCCCTACCTGGCCGGCTACAGGCCCTACAGCCCAACCTGGCAGCCCTATGGCGAGCATTTCTATGGGTACCCACCTGAGGACCCCTATGACTACTACCACCCTGACTACTATGGTGGCTCCTTCTACCCAGGGTACGGCTATGGCTATGACGACTATGAACCCCCCTACGCACCCCCATCTGGGTATTCATCTCCTTATAGCTACCATGATGGGTTTGAGGGTGAGGCCTACCCATATAGCCACTACCTAGATCCCTATGCACCTTATGACATGCCATACCCACCCTATGACCTTCCGTACGATACCCCATATCCTGCACCCTACTTTGATCCGTATGGGGTCCCCTACACCGTCCCCGATGCTGAAGACATCTATGGAGGTGGAGATGAAGCCATCTATGCCCCCGAAGTGCCCTATCTTTATCCAGAGGAGCCGTCCTTTGCCTACCCCTGGGTCCCGCCACCTATACTGTCACCCCACAATCCATATGCCCACCCCATGGATGACATCGTGGAGCTGGAGGAGCCAGAGGAAGCAGGCGGGGAGCGGCAGAGCACCTCCTTCCGCCTACCCAGTGCAGCCTTCTTTGAGCAGCAAGGAATGGACAAGCAGGCCAGGTCCAAGCTGTCCTTCATCCGCAAGTTCCGCCTCTTCCCACGGCCGCAGGTGAAGCTGTTTGGAAAGGAGAAGCTGGAGGTGCCCCTGCCCCCATCCCTGGACATTCCACTGGGAGATGCAGATGAAGAGGAGGAGGAGGAGGAGATACCCCCAGTGCCCACCGTGCCCTATGCCCACCCTTACTGGGGCTTCCTTACACCTCGTCAGCGCAACCTCCAACGGGCCCTGTCGGCCTTTGGTGCCCACCGCGGCCTGAGCATCAGCCCTGATTTGGGTCGCCCGCCACCCCGCCCCGCCACCTCACTGGCACGTTTTCTCAAAAAGACACTATCAGAGAAGAAGCCCATTCCGCGGCTCAGGGGTAGCCAGAAGGCACGAGGGGCCAGCCCTGCAGTCCGGGAGGCGGCTTACAAACGCTTTGGCTACAAGCTGGCCGGCATGGACCCTGACCGGCCCAACACGCCCATCGTGCTGAGGAGGACCCAGCCACGGGCCCAAAACAACAACAATTCCCACCGCCCACCCTCGCCGGCACCCACGCCCCGGATACTTTCCCACTGGAGCAAGCTCGTCTCCCCTCCAACTTCCCGGAGGCCCCCCAGCCCTGGCCCACCGCCTGCCCCACCCTTCTCCCCAACACTCTCAGGCCTGCCCCGGCCAGCCTCCCCCTATGGCTCCCTCCGGCAACACCCACCACCCTGGGCCGCCCCAGCTCACGTGCCCCTAGCACCCCAGGCAAACTGGTGGGCCTTTGTGGAGCCCCCTCCTGTAAGCCGAGAGGTGCCCCCTGACCTGCTAGCCTTCCCTGTGCCCCGACCCTCATTCAGGGGTTCCCGCCACAGAGGGTCAGCCTTTGGCTTTCCTGGGACCTCCCCAGTGGCACCGAGAAGGTGGGCCTGGAGTCCCCTGCCTTCACCTCAGCCCTCCCTGAGGAACCTGCCAGGTCCAGGCTACCGCTCACCCTTGGGGCCCTTGTCCCCTCAGCTGTCTCTCCGTAGGGGCCCCTTCCAGCCGCCCTTCCCACCTCCACCTCACCGGCCTGGATCTCTGCGAGAGCCCCCAAAGCCACGACAACGACAAGCCTCCGGGCGCCTGGGCCCACCCCATTCACCAGTGCTGGGTTCACCCCGACTACCCCCACTGCCCCCTCTGCTGGGCCATGGCCCCCGGCACCGGTCCCTCAACCTGCCTTCACGCCTCTCTCACTCATGGCGGCGCCTCAGCGAGCCGCCCACCCGGGCTGTAAAGCCACAGGTGCGCGGGCCGTTCCACCTGCCACCAAGGGCCAGGTCTTGGAGAGCTGCTGCAGGGTCCCAGGAGCACCAGGAGAGTCAGCATGAACCTGAGGACTCCGAGACGCCCTGGATAGTGCCCCCGCTGGACCCCAGCTGGGACATAGATATGCCTCCCACCCAGCGCCCACCTTCGCCCTGGCCAGGAAGTGTGGGCAGCCTTCGCGGCTTTTCCAGGCCACCTCCTGTGCCTGAAAATCCCTTCCTGCAGTATGTGGGCCTGGTATCATCCACTGCTGCCCAGCCTGAAGGCCCAGCCTCTAACGCAACCAGCATCTTCCTGGGCAGACACCATGACCCAGGACCTGGACATCTCACCAAATCCGCTGGCCCTTGCCCTGAGAATCCTGAAGAAGCGGCCACCCCAGGAGAACCCCAACCATCAGCAGAGTCCAAGACCCTAACCCTAACACCTCCAAAGGATGCCCCCGCAGAGCACAAGGCATTACGGCTCAGCCTCTCATATCCACTGGCTATGTGTGACCAGACAAGGGCTACAGGGTCACTATGGCACCGCTCGAGGACACTGCCCAGACCCCTGGCTCCCTTGGCCCCTACTGGGGCCCCAGAACCCCTGCCCAAGGAGGGTGAGCGACCCCAGCCTCGATCTGGGCGTTTTGCCGTCGTCTTACCTCAGGTGCGGAAACTGAGCTCCTTCCAGCAAGGTAGGCCTGCTGCCCTGCATCCACCTGAACAACTGGCCCAGGACCCCCAGCATGGCCCAGAGCTCCGAGCCTGTGGTCTGCGCTGGTCCTGCCTCTGGCTGCCAGCAGATGCCCGCCGGCCCTGGCCACGAGTACAGGCCCAACCCCAGTGTCACCGCCTGGGCCTTGGAGCTGCTTGCCTGTCTCTCAGGGGCCCCTGGAAAGAAAATGGCCCTCAAAACTGTCAGAACAAGGTATGGAGTACAAGTCAAAGGGAGGGCATGGTAGTTCTGGCCTGGGAAGTGGGATAGGAAGTGACCTAGGGAGGCAGCCAGAGTCCAGTACGTCCTTGGCAAGCTGCTGCTTGCTTGGGCCTCTCGGTCATCTCCATCTGCAGTTGGGGAGAGGAGCCTGGGCCTCCCAAAGCCTCTGCAGAATGAAACAAGGGGAGGCCCAGCACAGGCACGCACAGCGTAGAGATGCAGGACACTGTTCCTCGGTGGATTTGGGGACGGGAGCTTTTCTGTCAATTTCTGCCTGGGACCTGGGTGTCCCTGTCTTGGCTCAATGTGAATGGCACATCTGGCTCCCAGCCATCCCTCAGAGGTTTGGGCCAAGCTGGGTGCAAAACTGCAGAACCCTGTTCCACCCCCATGGCCACGCACATGTCTTCCCACCTCCCACTGACCCTCCTGTCCCCCAGATTGGAGTCATCTTTCTCCTTGGGGCTCCTGTTGTCCTTTGATGGTCCCCTGGGCTGCAGGATTCTGGACTAAGAGAAGGTGGGGACTCAGGACACAAACTTCTAGCCTTCTTATTACAGAGGCCACACGGTGGATAGGGAGATGAGCCAGGAGACTGTCTGGGCCCGGGGTGGGGTGCCAAGCAGGCAGCCTCTCTGAAGAGTACCCGGCCTGAGTTTGGCTACCACACTCATGGCAGAACACGAGCCTGAAGCTGGGTGGCCCTCAGGGGGGCGGGTGGTCACTGGAGCCTCCCCCGGGACAGTATAGGCGGGGCAAGCAGGGACAGCAGGTGCTTCTCGGCCTCTGCAGACGGTGCCTAGTGGAGCGGGCAGCCAGCTGGGTCAGGCAATGGCAACGGGGGCAGCCTGGCTGCTGGGGGGGCCCTGGCCCCGGCGACGGGTTCCCCGTACCGTGTGGGCTGCAGCGTTGCGGGAGCGAGGCACAGGGCGCCTGGGGGTGAGGGGCAAGGATGCCTGGGCCCTCCTCACCCTGGAATACGTGAGTGACTGAATTATTCAGGGTCTGTGACTGCTGGCGAGCACATGGGCAGATGGGTGGGCTGGAGGCCAGGGCTGAAAGGGTGATACTGTGCCCTACTTAGCAGCCCAGCAGTGGTCACGCAGCACACAGAGCCCGTCCCGGTGTCCTCTTTCCTCACCTGCCCAGGGACGGGTACAACTGGGATCAGAATTGCAGAGTATGCGCACGTGTTCGCTCACAGTTCTGCAGAGCCTTGCAGTCCTGTGACATGTGTGGGCATCTGTGCAGCCAATGGAGGAAAGCAAGTGTATGTGGAGGTCTGAGCAGATGTGGTATCCATGGGGGCTGGGTTATTTGCTTACTCTCGGCATGTGTGCACCTACACATAAACAGAGATCCTGCAGCCCAAATGTGGTACTGGGACTTTCATTCTCAAGACCCCAAGGTTGGTGGGAGGCTGGCTGGGTGGCAGGAGGATCGAGAATTCAAAGCCAGACTTGGCAACTTAGCAAGGCCCTAAGCAACTCAGTGAGACATTGGGAATGTGGCTCAGTGGTTAAGTGCCCCTGGATTCGATCCCCAGTGCCAAAAATAAAAAATGAAAAAAAAAAAAAACCCAAGGTTGGGGGGCTGGGGCTGGGGCTTAGTGGTAGTGCCCTTGCCTGGCATGTGTGAGGCACTGGGTTCAATTCTCAGCACCGCATAGAAATAAATAAAATAAAAGCCTATCAACAACTAAAAAAATATTTAATAAAAAAAAATAAAATAAAAGACCCAAGGTTGGGAACTGTCCCAGTGATCCACCTACATGTTCATGACAAGTGGATGTTGAGAACCGGTCCCTGCATGTATGGTGGGTGCCCCCAGCTGAACTCCTCCGCATCCCACAAGACCACAGGTGCTCATGGGAGACATGACAGATGCAAAGACCACTGTGTTTGAATTACACAGGATGGGTGCCAGGGCATGATCCTGAGACAGTCCCCATCTTGGCTGTCCCAGAGGCTCCCTGCCTCAGGACACTGCATCAGGATACATGACCATGAAGTTGTCACACAAGTCAACACACAGGGTCTTCCAGCAAGAAGGGTGCTGGCACTGAGAGGGCTGAGTTTGGGAGGGGAATAGGAGAGTGTGGGTGTGTTTGTGTCCTTGGACGTGTATGTGCTCACTCCGTGGGGCAGGACGCTTGGAGCTCACAGGAGCACTAGTGGGAGAAATACGTGGGCACTGAGGTCAAGCACATATCCCTGTGTTGCACACAGGTTCCCTGAGCCACTGCATTTGGTGGCAAGGAGGCTTTCAGGAGCCCCTGGCCCGGCCCTGAGATTACGTCTCTGACAGTGCGAGCAGGTGCAAGGTCTGTCCAAGCCAGGGCACCCACGGGACGCCCTATAACCTGCCGACCCCATCCCCTCTCTTTCTCACAGATGCACTCCATCCGAAACCTGCCTTCCATGCGGTCCAACGAGCAGCGCAGGGAGGACGGAGTGGAGGACATGACCCAGCTAGAGTGAGTGGGCAGGGCCAGCTAGGGGTCACTGTGGGATCCCCACACTCTCAACCAGAGTGCCTGATATCCATCTCCCAGAACATTCTCAGAGCCTCTGTTTCCCCATCTGCAATGAAGTGTCCGCAAAGGCCAATGGGTGCACGTCGGAGCTCTGTGAAGTCAGACAGGCCTCAGTTCAAATCCCAGCCCCATCACTTACCAGCTGGGGGCGGCCCTTGGGCAAGTCACTCAGTTTCTCATCCACAGGAGCGGGGTGGGATGGCAGTCGTGAGAGCGGTGGTATGTTGGGGGTGCCTGATGCATGGATTAAATCATAATGTTATTATTTAATCACAGGAATTCAGTCCTCCTGGCTGCTGCCTTAGAGTGTCTCTCAAACCCCCGTGATGCAGACGATTAGCAATACCCATTGAATTGAGGCACAGCAAAGTGAAGTGACTTTCCCTGGGTCTCAAAGCTGGTTAATGTCAGAGACAGGACTTGAACTCAGGCCTGCCTGACCAGGACTGAGTGGGGAGGGGGCCCTTGCTAGTTCGGGTCCCAGGAACATTGACAGCTTTCCTCCATGTCTCCTTCTAGAGACCTCCAGGAAACCACGGTGCTGTCCAATCTCAAGACCAGATTTGAACGGAACCTCATCTACGTAAGTCCTGGGGCTGAGGCTGCCCCAGGTCCCCAGTTGGGAAGGCAGATGTCTTCTGGGGACCAGGTGGGAAGGACAGGTGTCTCCTGTTGGACTTGTGACCTCTGGTTTCAGCTAGAAGAGAATGCTAGAAGCCGGAATTCTAAAATCGAAAGTCCTAAAATGGTATTAAAAGAGTGAACCCCGGGAGCAGAGGCCTGGAGATAGGGAATCCAGAAACTGGTGACCCCTACCCCAGTGGATCCAGGGACCCGATGGACCAAGCCTCCAAAGTTCTAGAATCTCTAAACCTGGATCCCAGAAGTTGACCAGAGAACTTAAACCACAGTGCAGAAAGGCAGGGACACCCAGAGTGCTTTGGCCACCTCAGATCCTTCCCCATTCCCCAGTATGAAGCAGAACCTCCCGAAGCCTGGTGGGACCGTGAAGTGGGCGGTGGTCAACACGGCCACCCTAGTGGGATGGTGGCTACAGGGCTTGGCTCGTTCCATGCTCCTCAGCCTAAGCCTGTGTGGTGTGCTTGAGCTTCCAGTATTAAAACAGACCTTTAGAGGGTTCTAGATGGCAATACTAAAGCCAGGCAACCAGACATCTGCTCAACTGGAAAGGGGTCCCAGGCTCCCAGAGCGGGGGAGGGACGGCCATAGAGGGCCACAAAGAGCCATGCCCTGAGGCCAACATCTGTCAGCAGACGTACATCGGCAGCATCCTGGTTTCAGTGAACCCATACCGAATGTTCGGGATCTACGGTCCAGACCAGGTGCAGCAGTACCACGGGCGGGCCCTGGGAGAGAATCCTCCGTGAGTGTCTGCAGGACCTGGGGAGAGGGGCTGTCCTGGGGTTGCAAGTCACTGGCCTCCCCTCAGCCCTGGGTGGTGGCTCACAGGATTGGAAGGCCACCTGCTCAGCTCACAGTTTCTCCCCAGGCCTGACCACGGTCCTCTTTGGAAGCCACTGAGGCTCAGGATGGGGGTGGGTGCATGTCCCCCAGTGGGTGAAGGATGGACAGAATTGACGGCTTGCCTGGACAGAGATGCCCCCACGCACCCAACCCCTGGGAAATTTGGGAATGTGGGAGGCATGGGCTGGCCCCAGGGACACCTAGTGGTCTGTCTCCCCAGGCACCTCTTTGCGATTGCAAATCTCGCCTTCGCCAAAATGCTTGATGCCAAACAGAACCAGTGCATAATCATCAGGTGAGCTGGGCTGTAATCACACAGGGGACCGATGGGGGGGACTCCGAGCAACAGGTCTGCATCCAGCCCGACCTGCCGTAGGACCTGGGAAGATCAGTAGGCACCTCTGAGCTGGCTTCTGTCCATATCCCCTTCTTCACGGTGGGATGGGGAAGGACCCAGAGGAGACAGCAAACTGTCGCAACTGCTCTGCTCCCTTTGCCCGGTCAGTGGAGAGAGCGGCTCTGGCAAAACTGAGGCGACCAAGCTGATTCTGCGCTACCTGGCCGCCATGAACCAGAAACGGGATGTCATGCAGCAGGTGAGTCTGTCTGTCCATCTCTTGGTGGTCTGTCTTCCTGGCCTCCCCAGCTGAGCACTCCTTGCTGAGCATGCCCGAGTGCTCCCCAAGAGGCAAGGCTCCTCACCCTACTTGGGCCATGGGGAGGCTGAGTTCCAGAGGCATTGGGGCCATTTCGAGGGCTGCTCTTCAGGGGAGGCTTGGGGAAGGGAAAGTTTCCTCCCACCCCACACTTCTGTGTTTCCATGGCAACTGGAGGTTGGGGCAGCCTGGGTCAGAGTAGAGGCTGCACGGTGGCCTGGCCTCACCTTCCTTTGAGGTTCCATGGCCACCATTTTCTCCCATCCAGAGGCTGTTCGGACCCCAATGGTGAAGAAACAGGACAGGTTCAAGTGTAGGGATGGGCATGGGGTCAGGGAGGCAGTAGATACCAGGGAGTGGGTGTCAGACTCTGGGCATGGGCCTGTGTCATGTTAGAGTCTTTTTTTTTTTTAATATTTATTTTTTAGTTTTAGGTGGACACAATATTTTTACTCTACATTTATGTGGTGCTGAGGATCGAACCCAGTGCCTCATGCATGCTAGGCGAGTGCTCTACCACTGAGCCAAAACTCCAACCCCATGTTAGAGTCTTACTTACCAGGAAAATGCTGTGCTCTGAACCTGAGAATCTAAGAAGCTCATCCATTCCCTCCATAAAGGTTTATAGAGGACCTACTGTGTGCTGGGTGCTGGGGAGGAGGCAGAAGCAACTCAGACAAATGTTCACATGCTCATGTGAATTCCATTCTAGTAGAGGGAAAGAAAAAAATAGAACATATATATATACATATATGTATGTATATATGTAAATTATGTACATGTGTAAAGGCAGCGTGTTGGGGAGAAAAACGGTAAGGAAGAGGGTGAGGAGTGCTAGGGGTTGTCATTGTGAGCATGGTGGTCACAGAGTAGCCCTGAACGTGTCTGGGGGAAGAGTGAAGAGGTCACGGGAGGAGCATGTACAAGAGCCCAGAGGTCCGTGCTCAAGGGACAGCAAATCACCATCATGGAGTACAGGTGAGGGAGGAAAGGGGCTTGAGCCCAGCAGGTGGCAATGGGGTGGTGTGGAAGGCTGGGTCCAGGTGCAGGTAAAAGCCAGTCAGCCACGCTGAGAAGGACCTGAGAGAGGGAGATAGTGTAAGAGTGGCCCCAGGTGTCTGGCCTGGGCCCAGGCAGCACCAAGGTAGTCGGTCTGCACTGGAGCAGGTTTGCCAAGAACAAGGGCTCACTGGGGCATCCTCAGAGAGAAGGTGGGAATTTGGGGCTCCGGAGAAGATGTCTGGCCCAGCAGCTCAGACTCCAGCACCACAGTCTCTCAGACTTCCCCCAACTCTGGAGCCCACCCAGGTTTGCAGGTGACCACAGTGTCCCAGCCCATGGCAGCATGATCTCAGCAGGGTGATCTTGGGGCAGCGGATTGGAGCTCCTCAGTCCTCAGTGGGGAGTGGGTGGACCCAAGCTGTGCAGTCCAGCCTGGCTCCACCCATTCAGATGCATGCCTTGGCCTCCCACCCGGCCCTGGGCCTCCTGGTGGACAATCGGATCATCTCTTTGTTTCAGGCAGGGTTTTCAAAGCCTCTTTGGGTCAGACTTCTAGGAGAGCAGGCTAGGTGGGCCAGGCACCGTGCCAGGTCTGTGATCATGCCACAGCCTCTCGAAGCCCTGGGAAATAGGTACAACTGTGTCCATTTGCACAAGAGAAAACAGAGACCTGGGAGGGGAATGGACTTACCAGGGTCCCAAAGCAAGGTGGTAAAAGAGCTGGGATTTGCTGTCCTTGGCAGAGAACTACAGGGAAAATAAATGGGGGGATGGGACCTGACTGGGTCTGGGAGTTTCTATACTGGGCACCCACAACATGCCTGCCTGCTGTGTGACTACAGGGCTCTTTTCCCAGCCGTGGCTCTGCCCTGCTCACATCACCCAGATCTAGGTCAGTTTTATGCATGGCTATATTCTGAGTCTTAAGCAATGTCCTTATTTTGGCTCCACCCCAAATGATGATGGGCATCATCCCCAATCTCTCTCCCATTGGTCAGCAAGAGGATGCCATAATACTACATTCACACCTCCAAAGATTTCAGAAGTCTCGGGGCTCCTTCTCATCGGAACGGTTTTGGTCATGTGTCCTCACTGGACCCAATCATGTAGCCTGGGCAGTGCTGTGCCCAGATCGGCCAGGGTTTGGACCACACAGTCTTCATCCCTCCAATATTCACTCCCTCTAGCTGAGCCCGCTCCCTAGGCTGGGCTGGGCACACAGAGAATTGGAGAATCTTCTGATATTTCCAAGGGACTCCTAGACTTAGAGATAATGTAAAGCAATGCTCAGCTGGACTTTGACTCACTGAGGGCGTCCCTGACCCTCTCTGGAACTCAGACTGCTCTTCCATACAACGGGCACAGCAGGTCCTGGACTAAACAGTGCTGGGGATCTGGCAAACCCCCACCACCAAGACTACAGGTGTTATTTTCTGTGGTGACTCAGCTTTCTCTGCTTCTTCTCTAAGAATTCTTCCTGAGGAAGCAACTTAGCCAAAGAAAATGCCATATGAATGCCCTGAATATGGGTTTGTCATAGTGCTGCTGGGGACTCTCAGGGACTCTGGAGTTCCTAGACACATCATATAATATTCAGTTCCCTAATCTGCAAAATAGCAGTGATATTAGTACCGTTTTTTTTTTTTTTTCCGGGAGTGGGGGGAAGGTGGTACTGGTGATTGAACGCAGGGGTGTTTAACCACTGAGCAACATCCCCAGCCCTTTCTATTTTTTTTTATCTTGAGACAGGATCTTGTGTCTCACTAAGTTTCTTGGGGCCTCCCTAAGTTGCTGAGGCTGTCTTTGAATTCGCGATCCTCCTGCCTCAGCCTCCAGAGCTGCTGGGGTTATAGGCATGTGCCACCACCTCCAGCTCAGCAGATTTTTTTTTGAAGTCCCAGTATCTGCAAAGGACATGCATCAGTCTTACGCAAACACTGGGACTCCTCCTGGGCTGGGGATATAGCTCAGTGGTAGAGTGCTTGCCTTGCATGCACAAGGCCCTGGGTTCAATCCCCAACACCACCAAGAAAAATAAACAAACAAACACAGGGACTCAAGTGCACAAATAAGCCAAGTGAGGTGGTGCATGCCTGTAATCCCAGCAGCTCAGGAGTCTGAGGCAGGAGGATCTCGAGTTCAAAGCCAGCCTCAGCAACAGTGAGGCATTAAGCAACTCAGTGAGACCCTGTCTCTAAATAGAATACAAAAAAGGGCTGGGGATGTGGCTCAGTGGTTGAATGTCCCTGAGTTCAACCCCTGTATCCCTCCCCCTGCAAAAAAAAATAATACACAAGTAGATTCCTGTCTGGAGATAGATGATACCCAGGAAAACAGGCAAAATGACATGAGGGCTGGGGGCAGAGGTGGCCAGTTCTGTTAGTGACCAGCTTCTGTTTTTGTCCCTTGTTCCCTCCGTCACCGGCACTCCTGAAGATCAAGGTACTTGGAATGTGTGTGTGTGTGTGTGTACGCTCCTCATGGACAACAGGCAGAACGGGCAGGAAGAAGCATTCAAAGGCCTATCCTGAGCTGGGCTGGGGGACTGGTCAGGGGCTGCGGTGCGAGGGCCCCGGGAATGGAGGAGGGTAGCCCAGGGCTTGCCTGTGGGAGTCAACTGCGTGGAGCTGGTGGCACTGGGGAGACCCTGGGATCCTATAGGAACTCCACCTCTGGTCGCGCCTTACAGAGCAGGGTGCCTGGGGAGGCCGGTGCCTGGTTGTCCCCAGTCATGCCCCTCACCCAGACCCCCAAGACAGTGGCCCACCCCCCTGCTCCCACCTCTTCTCCCTGGGCTCAGATCCTGGAGGCAACACCCCTCCTGGAGTCCTTCGGCAATGCCAAAACCGTCAGGAACGATAACTCGAGCCGCTTCGGGAAGTTCGTGGAGATCTTTCTAGAAGGGTGAGTGGGACCATTGTGGGGCTAGCAGTACCCTCCGTGTCCCACACCAGCCCCCCCACCCCCGACATACCCACCACTGTTCCCCTCCCTCCTTGCTCCTTCCCTGGGAGCTGACTGTACTCCCCACCCCAGGGGCGTGATCTCTGGTGCCATAACCTCTCAGTACCTGCTCGAGAAATCCAGGATTGTGTTTCAGGTGAGCCAGCCCTTCCCACACCTGTGGGTCCTCGGAAGTGCTGAGTAGATACCGGGTTAATGAACACAAATGGCATATGGGTTGTACGGGTGTACTGTGAGACAGTGACCATTTCACCTTTGTGACCCAGCCCTCTAGTCATGGGCTCCTCGCTGTCCCAGAGCACAAAGCATTCTCTTGCCTCAGGGCCTTTGCACCTACTGTTTCCCTCCCAAGAGTACCCAAACCCAAAATGCCTGCTAGGCCAAACCCCTCACCAACTCCAAGTCTTCCTGCAGTTCTCCCTTCTCAGTGAAGTTACCCATTTAAAACCACAGCCCTGGGCTGGGAATGTAGTTCAGGGGTAGGGAGCTTGCCTAGCATTCATGGGGACCTGGCCCACCCTCTGGTACTGCAAAAATAAAAAGGAATAAAACTTCAGTCCCTCTCCACCTCATCAAAACTCTCACTCCCTGTAATGCTTTATTTCTCTCCATAGTGCTTTTCACCATCGGACATGTTTTATATATATTTTTAAATTCTTATTAATTTTTTAGTTGTAGGTGGACACAATACCTTTATTTTATTTATTTATATGTGGTGCTGAGGATCGAACCCAGGGCCTCACACACGCTAGGCGAGTGCTGTACCGCTGAGCCCCAGCCCCAGCCCATGTTTTATATTTTAACCAGTGATTTGCTGAGTATCTGTCTCCCCCGCTAGCAGCTGGGTTCCGTGAGGTCAGGGGATTCTGTTGCTTTGTTCTCCGCTGTGTGCCAAGGGCCTAGTACAGGGCCTGGGTCACAGGAAGCGCCCAGCCAGATTGGCTGAGTCGACCATCAGAATGCATCACGACTGCACGTCTGGGTTATAAACACACGTGCAGGCACGGGTGGCCAGTGCACACAAGGAAGATGGGCTGTCTTTTTATTTCTCCCAACAAAAGAAAATCCCATAGCCACTCTTACCAAGGCTTCCCTGCATCTACCCCCAACCCCCAGCTGGTGCCAGGCTGGGGTCTCGCTCATCAGAGGTGCTCCACCCAGGACCTTGTGTGTGTGTGTTAGTGGGCATGCCTGGGCCTGTCTGGGTGGGGGTCACCGAAATGGCAGTCTCCCTCCTCTGCATCCATTCGCCCTACTCTGTAGGCCAAAAATGAGAGGAATTACCACATTTTCTATGAGCTGCTGGCTGGACTGCCTGCCCAGCTGCGGCAGGCCTTCAGCCTACAGGAGGCGGAGACCTACTACTACCTGAACCAGGTGAGCACCAGCAGGCTCCCCGGAGCCCCCAGGCCTAATCCTCCCATCCTATCACTCCAGGGTGGGCCAATGGAGCGGCTGTGGTGTCCTAATGGCCGATGAAAGTAACGGAGGTTTGGGGAGCATGGGTTTGGATTCAAGGGAGCTCATCACGTCGAGGAGGATGGGAATCTTCAGGGTCAAAGCAGAGGAAGAGAAAACCTTCCTTCCTCTTCATTTCTCTGGAGCCTAGAACAACTAACCAGCCTGGGGCGACTATATGGCCCTCTCTGTGCCTCAGTTTCCTCACCTGGGACATGGGGAAATAGAATGAGGTTTTAGTTACGGAAATTCATGCATGTGCTGAATTTAGCATTGGCCTGTGGCCCATGCTCCATAGACATGGGCCACTGTTTTAATTGTCATTATCAGTGGCTGCAGCAAAGGTTAACAGGAGACCAATCCTCACTATGCACCACACTTAAAGTCTATGAAGCCCACCCTGAGCCATCTCAGAGCTTCCTGGACCTTGAGAGTAGAATGACCACTTGAGGGACCAGCTCAGGCTACACTTCCCCGTCAGGGCAGGGTGGGGACTTTGAGGGCTCCCGGTGCCCACCCAGGGCCCTTGACCTCCAGCCTGTGCCCTGGCTCAGGGAGGGAACTGTGAGATCACTGGCAAGAGTGATGCAGATGACTTCCGCCGGCTCCTAGCTGCCATGGAGGTGTTGGGCTTCAGCGGTGAAGACCAGGACAGCATCTTCCGCATCCTGGCCTCCATCCTGCACCTGGGCAACGTCTACTTTGAGAAGTATGAGGTAAGGGGACATCGTGGCCATCTATTCAGAGACTTGAGAGCTATATTTCCCTTCCAGGTTATACTGTGTACATATTTGTGTTCTTTTTTTTTTTTATTCTCTGCTTTGGGGTTGTTCTTTTTTATTTTTATTGATCTATAAGGGCTTTTTACATATGTTAAGGAAGTCAGTCCTTTGTTTCTGTTATGAATTACAAATAGATTTTCCAGTTTCAATTCGTATTTTTATTTTATTCACAAGTGTTTGAGTATTTTTGTGTTGTTTTCTATGTCTTGTAGATCATTTTTTTGTTTTGTTTTGTTTTGTTTTGCAGGAATCTGCAAACCAAATTATTTTTTAATATTTATTTTTTAGTTATAGGTAGACACAATATCTTTATTTTATTTTTATGTGGTGCTGAGGATCGAACCCAGTGCCTCATGCATACAAGGCAAGCCCTCAACCACTAAGCCATAATCCCAGCCCCCAAATTATTTTTAAAATATTTTAGGCAGTTCATCTATGAATTTTTTTTCTTGCATAAATGTGGGACTTTTTATCATTTTAGAAGAAACCTCTCTAAAACTATAACAACTTTCTCCCATAATTTTTTTTTTTCGATGCCAGGGATTGAGAACTCATGGGTGTTTTATTACCACTGAGCTACCTTCCCAGCCCCTTTTATTTTTTATTTTGAGAAAAGGCCTTTCTAAGTTACTTAGGGTAAGTTGCTGAGGCTGGTCTCGAACTTGTGATCCTCCTTCCTCAGCCTCCCACCACACCCATCTCCCATAATTTTTTAAAAGAACTTTCATGGTTTCATGGATTTTTGAAATTTTTAAAAAAACATTTAGATATTTGATTCAAAAATTTATCCTAGTAAGGTTTGAGGTAGGAATCCAATTAACTTGTCTTCCAGGTAATTACTCAATTTTCCCCTCATTTGAAAAATAGATATTTATCATATCCTGAATTACCATGCGCACTTATATCTAATCCCAGACTTTCTAATGGACTTCATTAATCTATTTATGTACCATTTGCCTATGACCACGCTCAGTGTTTTTCCCCTGTGGTGCTGGGGACGAACCCAGCATGCTAGGCGAGTGCTCTGCCACCCAGTTACATCCCTAGCCTGACGCACTGTTTTAATTACTGCAACTATAATGTCTTCACTATATTGTATAGCCTCTTTCGCTCTTTCCTTTTTTCAGAATCTTCCTGGAAATTCTAGCTTGTTTCCATTTTTTTGTTTTGTTTGTTTGCAGTACTAGGGATTGAAACCGGGGGTGTGCTACGTTCAAACTAAACCCACAGTCCTTTTTATTCTTTTATTATTTTTAATCTTTTATTCATGTATTTGGTACCAGGGATTGAAACCAGGGGCACTTTACCACTGAGTCACACCCCTCGCCCTTTTTATTTTTCATTTTGAGACAGGGCCTTGAGAAATTGCTGAGGGTCTTGCTGAGTTGCTGAGGCCAGCCTTGAACTTGTGATCCTCCTGCCTCAGCCTCCCAAGTCACTGGGATGAAGGCGCACCCTCACGCCTGCAGTTTCTGTCTTTCATATAAATGTTAAACTCGGTTTGTCTAGTCCACAACATGCTGCCCTTGGTGTTTTGCATAGACGGATGCACAGGAGGTGGCCTCAGTGGTAAGCGCCCGGGAGATCCAGGCTGTGGCTGAGCTGCTGCAGATCTCCCCAGAGGGCCTACAGAAGGCCATCACCTTCAAAGTGACCGTGAGTCTGTGGGCACTGGAGACTCTAACAAAGCCTCCCCCCAGCGCCTGTCTCCCCCATTACAACAACAGCCTCCCCCCCAGTGCCTGTCTCCCTTACTAGAACAGCAGCCTCCCCGACCCCAGCATTGCCAGGCAGAGGGAGCGGGCACCCTGCCCTCTGGTCAGCTTCATGCCTGAGGCCAATCCCACCATCTCTCTAGCCTCCCTTCCCCAGCCCTTTAATCCCTGGGTGGGAGTAGGGGCATCCCGGAGGTGGTAACCAGCCTACTGTCACTCAAAGGTCCTGTCCCTCCCCAGGAGACAATGCGAGAGAAGATCTTCACCCCTCTGACTGTAGAGAGCGCTGTGGATGCCAGGTGAGGCCGCGTCCCTCCCTGCCTGGGCCCAGAGACCCCCAACACCCCGTCCCTCTGCCCACCAACCCAGTGCCTCCTCTGCCCCAGGGATGCCATTGCCAAGGTTTTGTATGCTCTGCTGTTTGGTTGGCTCATCGCCAGGGTCAATGCGCTGGTGTCCCCGCAGCAGGACACCCTGTCCATCGCCATCCTGGATATCTATGGCTTCGAGGTAGGATGGTGTGAATGGGTGAGGAGCAGGGGACACAGGCAAGGCCTCATCTCCCTCAGGCATTCCTGGTTGGTCCCCTGAACACAGAGGCCCCTGCCTATCGGGCTGGATAGGGACCCCAAAAAGGCCCAGACCAGAACTTTGCCCTGGGGAAGCTTCCCAGTGGTGCTCAGTGAGGGACAGACTTTGACAGGCTCATGTGATCAGACCCATAAGGTACCAGGCACTTCACTCATTCACTTCCCCATTACGATACCCCAGTGAGGCAGGTATTCCCCATTTTGCAGACGGGGAAACTAAGGCATGAGGTGAATGCTCCAAGTCACACAATTCCAAAGTGGCAGCACCAGGATTCAAACCCAGGCAGAAGGCTCTGTGGCCGGGGCTTTTAGCCTCTACCTAGGCTATAGGACCTACAGCTTCAGGCGCCATCCCAAGGGTGGCGGAGCCATACAGGGTTCTGTGCAGTGAGCTATTTGAAGCTTCAGCCATGACAGGCAGAGAGAACCCTGGGCCTGGGCTGTGGAGGTGGGGATGGCTGGGTTGCTGGCCAAGGAGGGGCCAACCCAGCCTCCCCATTTCCCCGGCAGGACCTGAGTTTCAACAGCTTTGAGCAACTGTGTATTAATTATGCTAATGAGAACCTTCAGTATCTCTTCAACAAGATCATCTTTCAGGAAGAGCAGGTGGGTGTGGGGTGGGGTGCATCAACTCTCCTGTTTCCTTCCATCCTCGCTGGCCAATGGGCCTCCTTGGAGATTGGTTCTTTTTCTTGAAGGGCAATTCCCAGGTTGTCAGGAGACAGTGGAGGGAAAGGCATTCTAAGCTGGGATCAGCACAGGTGAAGACCTGTGTGCTGGGGGTGGAAAGTGCTGGGGTGCTGAGCGCAGAGAGGAGTCCTCTCAGCAGGGGGGCTTCCTATCCCCTGCTGGGCTATTCCAAGCAGAGGGAACAGCAGGGCCCTGAGATGCTTCATGTTGCACTATTAGGGGGTGAGCTCCCTGTTTCAGGAGGTATGCAAGCAGAGGTGTCCCAGCCATCCTCCTTCAGACAAACGTAGCCCAGAGAGTAGAGTGAATGTGCCCTGGGAAGGGCTAGGGGGTTGAGCCTCTGTCATCTGCTGCCCCCAGGAGGAATACATCCGAGAGCAGATCGACTGGCGGGAGATCACCTTTGCTGACAATCAGCCCTGCATCAACCTCATCTCGCTGAAGCCCTATGGCATCCTACGCATCCTCGATGACCAGTGCTGCTTTCCCCAGGTGACCACGGGGGTTGTGTGAGCCTAGCCAGGGCGCTGAGATCTCTGAGTCCCACATCCGCATCCTACCCTGAGTCTTTCATTGCTCTCTGCTCTGACTGGGGGTGGGAGTGGAGCATCAGGAAACCCAACCTACCATTCACAACCTGGGGTGATTTAGGATGGAGAGGGGGATGTGAGTGTCCAGAGGAGGGGGCTGCATCAGCCTGGGAAGTCCCAGAGGGCTTCCTGGAGGAGCTAACCTTGGAGTTGAGCCTCAGATCCTGATTGTGCAGGCAGGGTGCACAGGCAACGGGGCTGGGAGAGAGGCAAGCTGGGAATTGATTCAGCCACATCTATCTGCAGGGGTCCACTTAGGCCCCCAGTATCTGGCTGATGCACTGTCCCCACCCCCAGAGCCCCAGGCAGCCATGAAAAGTTGTGAGTTGTTCCCTGCAGTGTCCTTTGGGGATCAGTCAGGGCTGGAGAATTTGCCAACAGGGTCCCAGGACCTCTGCCCACCCACTATCCCATCTGTCACCAGGCCACAGACCACACATTTCTGCAGAAGTGCCACTACCATCATGGCGCCAACCCACTCTATTCCAAACCCAAGATGCCGCTGCCTGAGTTCACCATCAAGCACTATGCCGGCAAGGTCACCTACCAGGTAAGACCTGTGACAGCCAGCATGGTGCCGTGGCTGCCCTGCGTGTTAGACACAGGAGCACAATGTGGGACCAGCCACACTCCCCTGGTTCTAGTCCTGGTCCTTCAGCTCCCCAGATGTGTGACCTTGGGCAAATTTCTTACCCCTTTTGAGCCTTAGTTTCCTCATCTGGAAATGGGATCACAGTGCCCATGTCCGGATGAGGATGTGAGAAGCCTAGAATGGGATATGGTAAAGAATAGCTATTATTAGCTGGGCACAGTGACACCATGCCTGCAATTTCAGGGACTGGGGAGGCTGAGGCAGAAGGCTTGCAAGTTCAAGGCCAGCCTCGGCAACTTAAAGAAACCCTATTTCAAAAAAAAAAAAAAAAGGACTGGGGATATACCTCAGTGGTCAAATGCCCCTGGATTTTACCGAATAAATAATAACTATCAGTAGTGATTTCACTGTAGTCACCGTCCTATTTTCTGTGACACAAGAGGTGTCACAGGCTAGGTTTGCAAACCTCTGTCTTCATCTGGGTCTTATTTTCCTCATCTGTAGAATGGGCAGTGAGAGCAGGGTGAACCGCAGACTGGTGGTGTGCAAAGCCAGGCTTAATGTCTCCTCCCCAGAAGTGAGGCGGGTGGTGGGGGCTGGATGGGAGGGAGGCCCTAGCAGACAGAAAGAGCCAATCCCTCCTAGGGTGGACAGCAAGACAGAGGCCGGGGAGGGCAAGGCCACGGCCATCCAGGGGATGTGAACCAGCCCAGAGGGAGGAAATAAGCCTCTGAATGCCTGCTGGGCGGGCTATCCGTCTACCTTGCCCCGGATTTCCCCGGGTCGGGATGGGGATGAACTGGGTTTGGCCCCTGCTGCACTCCTGGCTCCCTCTTTTAGGTGCACAAGTTCCTGGACAAGAATCATGACCAGGTGCGCCAGGACGTGCTGGACCTCTTTGTGCGGAGCCGGACGCGGGTGAGCGAGCCTGGCCTCCAGCCTGGCCGCTGCCCTTGTCCCGCCCCTAGCATGGCCCCGCCCACAATCCAGCCCCGCCCACAAGCCAGCCCCGCCCACCGCCAGCCTGGCCGCTGGATATCAGCCCTAACCCCACCTGGACCTTGCCCTGTATTTTCCACCACACTGGCCCCGCCTCCTGAATGGTCCCCAGGCCCCTGGCTCTGCTTTTTGCCCCGCCTACCCTGTCTGCCGGCCCCGCCCCAATCCTTCACTTTCCCCCTCCCCCTTCCCCTCCTCCTCCCCCTCTCCCTCCAAAATTTCTTATTTACCTGAGGTGCTGAGACTCGAACCCAGGACCTCACACATGCTAGGCATGAGCTCTTCTGCTGAGCTACAACCCTAGCCCCATGTGCCCATTCTTGCCTGCACCAGATAGTTCCCTGGGCCCCAGACCCATGAGGCCCTGTCAGAGCCTGGTGGCTCGATTTGGGTTCCTTGAAGGCTTAGAGAGGTCCCCAGCCCCAGCCCCACTCTGACCCCATCACCTCCCCTGTGGCCCTCCACTTCCTTCTCTGTCAGATTGGCACCTTCTTCTTTAGGTCTGGGTTCAGCCCCGGCTGAACATCAACCAGAGTTCATGATCATGCATGTCACAGGTGGAGGCCATACACACAGTCCAGGACTGTATGTTCCCCAGAGTGAAAAGGGAAAGCCAGCCTAATTATGGGAGGGGTCTCCAAGAAACTGATGAAGGTCCTGTTTTGAGCTGTTTATAAGCCAGGATGGTGGAGAGGGTAGGAGTCTACTTGTTTTCTGGATTCCTTCAGTTTGGGGAATTAACTTTTTTTTTTCCCCCTATCTTTTTCTTCATTTCTCTCTTTTGGCCCCTACCTTTCTGTCTCTGTTTCCCTGCCTGTCACCTTGTCTTTCAACGCCTTGACCCCTGCCTTGACTGGCCACCCCCCAATCTAGGTGGTAGCACACCTCTTCTCCAGCCATGCCCCTCAGGCTGCCCCTCAACGCCTGGGCAAGAGTAGCTCTGTCACCCGACTCTACAAGGCGCACACTGTGGCTGCCAAGTTCCAGCAGTCGCTCTTGGATCTGGTGGAAAAGATGGAGAGGTGGGTAGGGACAGGTGGGCAGAGGACCCAGCCTCACCTTTAACCCACCCCATGACCCTCAGTGACTGAGCACCTTCCTTCTGGCTTCTGTCCAGGTGCAACCCCTTGTTCGTGCGTTGCCTGAAGCCCAACCACAAGAAGGTAAGTGAGCACTGAGCACCTGGGAGAACCAAATCTTCCTACCTGTGCTAGAGGACCCTGAGCAAATGGCTTGGCCTCTTCCACCACCTGCTCAGTCTACCTGCTCAGTTCACCATGGACAGTGCCTTTGCACACGAGTGAGCAGAGTCCCTCTCTGGGCGTCTCTACAGGAACCAGGTCTCTTTGAGCCAGACGTGGTAATGGCGCAGTTACGTTATTCAGGGGTCCTGGAGACTGTGCGGATCCGCAAAGAAGGCTTTCCTGTGCGGCTTCCCTTCCAGATGTTCGTTGACAGGTACCTCCATCAGAATAGTTCCTAAGCTCCACAGACCCTTACCCAAACCCCTGTGGCCCTGGAAATCCACAGCCCGGAGAGCATAAGACTTTGACATTCACAGTCGCTCACGTTGTACACTACACAAGACTTTTGCTAGCTGTTATATGGTAAATGTATTTTTAGTTTTGCCTTTTTTCACAGTTGTCTCTGTGTTGATTCCACAGAGGTGTGATTTTAAGTTATTTTGACAAGCTTCCAGCAGATGGCAGTAGAACGTCTTGTTCTACTGAGATCTCTATCCCGATTTTCTGATATCTAGAAGTAGCCTTGAGGCCAGAGTACCACTCGCCGATGATCAGATGACCTGAGTAGAGCTACCGCTGGGACTGGGGCTTCTGGACCCAGGGGTTGAGGGTCGTAAGCCTGGGTCAATCAGGCATCTGGGGTAGGTCTCAACCTCAGTCTGAGTGTGGGTCTTGCAGGTACCGCTGCTTGGTGGCCCTCAAGCCCGACCTGCCAGCTAACGGGGACCTGTGCGTGTCAGTGCTAAGCCGTCTGTGCACAGTCATGCCCAACATGTATCGCGTCGGGGTCAGCAAGGTGAGTGCCGCCCATGCTCAGCCCTTAGTGACCTCAAGTTTCATGTCCAAGCTAAAGAGTCCTGTCCCAGAGTCAGTCCAGATGGGCTGGACGTACAGAATGCTGGTCCCGCTGCTGGACCTGTGCTCGGGCAGTTCTCTCTTTCACCTCCCTGAACTTGGCCCTGCTTCTGGCGTCTGCCCTGTCCCTCTGTGTCCTTGGACTTGCAGGGTGGGGGTGGGGTTCCGGCTTCCTGGCTCTCACCTTCCTCTGTGTCTTCTTCTTAGCTGTTCCTTAAGGAGCATCTGCACCAGCTGCTGGAGAGCATGCGGGAGCACGTTCTGCACCTGGCAGCCCTCACGCTGCAGCGCTGCTTCCGGGGCTTCCTTGTCCAGAGGCGTTTCCGCTCCTTGCGCCGTAAGATCATCCTCCTGCAAAGCCGGGCACGAGGCTACCTTGCCAGGTATGTCCCCGGGGAGGGAGGACTGCCTGCAGGACTGTACTCAGGGCTGGGAGAGGCTGTGCCTGAACCCACATAGTAGTAAGCTGTGGAGTTGTGCAAGCCAGGCCTCCGAAGGAAGGATGATCAGAGTCTCTGTGTCCCTGTTTGGGGGAGACCCTTCCCACCCATGCCCAGGCCCTCTTGATTGGCAAGTGGGAGAACCCATCCAGCAGAGAGGGGCCCCACCCTGCATCTCAGGGACTCTGGGACTATAACATAATGAGAAGGTTAAATCCAGGCCCTGCCACTTAATTTGCTGTGGGATAGACTTGGTGGCCCCCACCGGTAATCCCAGCGATTTGGAAGGCTGAGGCCTCAGGATCATAAGTTTGAAGCCAGCCTAGGTAACTTAGTGAAACCCTATCTCAAGTTGCTGGGATTACAGGTGTGTGCCACCACACTGGGTACGTGAAACCCTATCTCAAGAGAAGAAATAAAAATGGACAGGGATATAGTTCAGTGGTAAAGTGTCCCGGGGTTCAATCCCAAGTACAAAAAAGAACTTTTATTTTGGGGCTGGGGTTGTGGCTCAGTGGTAGAGCACTCGCCTGGCACGTGCAGGGCCCTGGGTTCGATCCTCAGCACCACATAAAAATAAACAAAATAAAGATATTGTGTCCAACTACAACTAAATTAAAAAAAAAAAACACTTTTATTTTTCCTGTGTGACCTTGGTTAAATCACTGCCCCTGTCTGAGCTCCAGTTTCCCTTTGTGCCAAAGGACCTCAAAGTGTAATGGAGGCACTGTCCGCTAGGCAAGACTGATAGGGGCATTTCTACTTCTTGGTCACCCTGTCACCCCAATCTATGACCCTCTCTGCCAGGCAGGGCTATCAGCAGATGAGGAGGAGTCTGATGAAGTTCCGGTCCTTGGTTCACGCCTACATGAACCGCAGCCGCTACCTCAAGGTACAGGTGCCAGCCCTCTCTGGGGGTCCCTGACCTTTAGCCTCAGTCTTGGGCTCAAATCCCTGCTCTGCCGCTCCTGAGCAGCCCCCTCTGCAGCCTCAATTTCCCATCTACCTCTTGGGGTTGTGCAGAAGTTTAAATGAGATATTGTATGTGAAGGATTTGGCCTGGTGCTGGGTTCACAATGGGGTCTTCAAATAATGCATCGCGGTTAGAATTTGTTGACCTGAACATCCCTGAATACGGTCTGGCTCTTAAACTTTGATTAAACCAACCGGAAAGATCAACGTCATTCATTCCCGAAGCATGGGAAAACCGCGTGGCCTTTACTGAAGGTCTTGTGGCCAAGCAGAGGAGAGATGCCACTGCGCACTGCTTGGACACTTTCCAGAAATCCTTCTTCGCGGGTCTCCCCGAAGGTTTTCTCCCCTTGCCCTTCGCTGTTGACGGTCTCTGGCTGTCCTCCTGTCTCTTCTGTTTCTCTGGCCACACCTCGGTCTTCTCTTGACCCTCTGTGAAAGGGGAGCAGTAGCCTCCAGGCTATGGGAAGCTGCCCCCTGCTTCTCAGGCCAGACGCTGCCTTGTGCATGCTGGCCCGAACCTGGCCCGGGCCTTGGGGCCCACCGTCGCCTCTGCCTGCCGTTCCCTGCCTTGACCATCTGCTGTCCTGCAGCTGAGGGCAGAGCAGAGGCGCCGGGTGGAGGAGGCACGGCTTCGGGAGCAGGAGGTGGGTGTGGGGTCTGGGTGGCCGCAGGGGACAGGGAGGGAGGCTGGCAGGCGGGGGTGTGGCAGGCGGTGCCCTCACCACTTGCTGTCTGTCCCTCTAGGAGCTGAGCAAGCGGGAGGTGGTGGCTGTGGGGCACCTGGAGGTGCCAGCAGAGCTGGCTGGGCTCATGCAAGCTGTGGCAGGTGTGTTTACACTGGGCAGGGGGCAGAAGGTATGGGGACAAGGGAATAGCCACTTCACACTCTCCACTTTCCATAGGCCTCAGGCTGGCCAGAGTGCCCTGTGTGGCCCCTGTGAGGACTCCCCGGCTCCAGGCCGAGCCCCGAGTCAAATTGCCCCTGGATATCAACAATTACCCCATGGCCAAGTTTGTCCGGTGCCACTTCAAGGTAAGGGCTGGCATAGGTCAAGTGGACACTGACCAATCAGATCTGACATTGTCCTCACCCTGGGACAGGCTGGGATAGTGAGGGTCCTCTAGAGCTCAAGGCAGAGATATTGACCAACCAGTCTTGGAATATTCTAGAAACTGAGTAACTACTACATATCAGTGCTGCTCTGAGTTCCTGGGAAGGAACCAGATAAGACCTCATCCAGCTCACCAAGAGCCACCATCGGCACCCTGACAGCTCCCCATTTCCCCATCCGGGTGTTGGAGACAGGTGCCCTGCCTCAGGGGCTCCTGTGACCCCACCTGGCATGGGGGCAGTGGGTCCAGTTGTGCCTGTCAGCCCCAGCTCTGCCTCCTTCTGTTCCTTCCCCATGCCCCCCAGGAACCTGCCTTTGGGATGCTGACAGTGCCCTTGAGGATGCCCCTCACGCAGCTGCCAGCCGAGTACCATGCAGAAGCCGTGAGCATCTTCAAGCTGGTATGGGGCCTGGGCTTCCTGACAGAAAGGCTGCCTTAGACTGGGGCCTCCCAGGGTTACCAATGACTCTTCTCCTCAGGGGTTTCCTAGTCTGAGCGGGGAGGCAGATCCTGAGCCTTGCCAGTGACCAACATCAGGAATAGAGGAATGCACGGCTCTAATTTAGCCCCAGGCAAGGTCAGAGAAGGCCTCCTGCAGGAGATGGCATTGGAGCTGGAGGGAGTTTGCAGGGAGAGTGCAACAGGCACAAAGAGAGGAGGAAATTATTGTGGTCAGAACAGAGAGTTAAGAGGGTGAGGGAGGAGGTGTTTCCTGAGGACCTGATTGCTGAGCCAGAGCTTGCATTTCATCCCAAGGACCACAGGAGTCCAGGAAGATGCTCCCTGGGAGTGATGTGGTCAATCTGAGTGGTAGAAAGAACCCAATATGGTCAGATCCAAGTATTATAAAGAACCCTTTGAGGTTGGGGCAGTGGCACATGCCTGTAATCCCAGAGGCTCTGGAGGCTGAGGCAGGAGGATCACAAGTTCAAAGCCAGCCTCAGCAACTTAGCGAAGCTCTCACAACTCAGTGAGACCCTGTCTCTAAATAAAATATTTAAAAAGGTTAGGGATATGGCCCAGTGGTTAAGTGCCCCTGGGTTTAACCCCCCCACACACCAACATCAATAAAAATAAATAAATCCGTGAATGAATTAATTAAAATTAAAAAAAAAATAAAGAACCCTTTGAGGCCTAGCAGGAGGTATGGAGCCATCCGGAAGCCAGGAGAACAGGTGGGTTACTGGGGCTGTGTGGGGCGCCTAGAAGGTTCCTGAGCAGAATAGGAAGTCAATATGTATTTTGGATCTTTTTTTTTTTTTTGTACTGGGGATTAAACCCAGAGGTGCTTAACCACCAAGTCACATCCCCAGCCCTTTTTATATTTTATGTAGAGACAGGGTCTCGCTCAGTTGCTTAGGGCCTCGCTAAATTGCTGAAGCTGGCTTTGAATTCGAAATCCTCCTGCCTCAGCCTCCTGAGCCACTAGCATTACAGGCTGCACCCGGGTGTGCTTTGAATCTTAACCTTTCCCGTAGTCGGGGTGAACTGCCCTGTCATTCGGCACAGAATATGGCAGTTAACGTTGTACTATGAGGTACTTTCCTATGGTCAGAGGACCCAAGGGAGAGGTGCACGTGGAGGGATGGGGGTGTGGCAGGAATAACCTTCTGAGAGGCCCAGGAGAGTCTTTCTGTGGCCAGATCCTGCGTTTCATGGGCGACCCCCACCTGCACGGTGCCCAGGAGGACGTCCTGGGGAACTACATCGTGCAGAAGGGGCTGACGATGCCTGAACTACGGGATGAGATCCTGGCCCAGCTGGCCAATCAGGTGTGGCACAATCACAATGCCCACAATGCGGAGCGGGGCTGGCTGCTCCTGGCTGCCTGTCTCAGTGGCTTCGCACCTTCCTCACGCCTCGACAAGTTCCTCCTCAAGTGAGTGGGACCCGGAGGGGCCAGGGTGGATGGGACTGTGGTAAAGGGCAGACCAGGAGCAGCATCTTTGTGCGGGGAGGCACGGGCACTGATGTGGTCCAGTCTCCACTGGGCTGGGCTCAGTCTCCACTGGGCCCAGTGCAAGAGGAAGGACAGATTTCACTGCAGAGGGTAAGAGTCAGGTCAGACTGGATAAGGGACTTCCAGGACCCAGAAGTAGGCAAGACGAGGGCATGGCGAATTTGGAAAAGAGCATGGACCTCTCGGGTCATGGGGAAGAATGGGGGCGCTTTAGAAGCATGAAAAGTAGACTTGAGAGGCCTGAGTTCAAATCCCAGCTCAGTCATGGGTGAGCTTTGTGACCTAGGCCAAGTTATTTCACCTCTCTGGGCCTCCATTGGCTCACCTGTTAAAGAGGGATAACAGCAGTGCATACTTCATAGGCTGTTGTGAGGATGAAGTTCTTAGAACAGAGGCAGGCAGGTGGTGAGTGCTGTGTGGACGCAACCATGACAAGGGTTCTGGATGTTGTCATGCTGGGTGCAAAGCATGATTTGCAAGAGAAGGGACTTGGGCAGACCTTGGACTAAAACCTAGGACCCTTTCAACCTCACCTTAGGGCTCTGGGCCAGCCTGGACCTCCCTTAGGCTCTGACTCCCTCCCATCCATCAGGTTTGTGTCTGATTATGGGCAGAATGGCTTCCAGGCAGTGTGTCAGCACCGTCTCATGCAGGCCATGGGCCGGGCCCAACAGCAGGGCTCAGGGGCTGCCCGCACCTTCCCACCGACCCAGCTTGAGTGGATCACCACCCATGAGAAGGCCAACATGGCACTGGATGTGAGCTGCTTCAATGGTAAGCTGCTTTGTCCCTACCCCTCATTCTGCCCATCCACCCTCGGTCCCTCATGGAGGGGCCGCTGGAGTCCGCTGGGCTTAGTCACCCATTCTGGGGTCAACAGTTGTCCTGAGAGGCTCTGGAGCTGGCAGAGAGCCTGCTCAGAGATGCCTCTGCAGGAAAGATATACGGGGTACAGGAACTGAACCCGTATGGGCAGGGAGGGAGAGCCCGGATACAGGGACTCAGGGAAAGAGCTGGGAGGCTTGGGAGGAGAAGGCAAAGCAAGGCAGCCCTGTGAGACTTAATTGCAGATGTCCCAGGCTGAGTCCAGCGCTTGCTACCACCCCAGGTGACCAGTTCTCCTGTCCAGTGCACTCCTGGAGTACTGGGGAAGAGGTGGCAGGAGACATTCTCAGGCACAGGTGGGATCCTGGAATACCCCACCCAGCACATCTCTGTACCTGGGAAGAAGGGAGGGAGGGAGGGGGAAGAGGCCAGGTCCCCCAGGGTCCTGAGGGTCACCATGGTCATGCTTGGGGTTTGATTCATATCCAAGGGTCTCCCCTAGGTAGGTGCCCCGTTTCCATCTCTCCACATACTGTCACCAGGGGCCTGGCTGAAGGCTGGAGAGGATGGACAGTGGCCATGAAGAATGGTGTCCAGTGGGCAGAGCTGGCTGGCCATGACTACGTGCTGGACCTAGTGTCAGACCTGGAGCTGCTCAGGGACTTCCCTCGGCAGAAGTCCTACTTCATTGTGGGCACGGAAGGGCCCATGGCTGGCAGGGGATGCCCAAGAATGTGGGTAGCTATGTGGGCCACCTTCACACAGATGGCCTCTCCTGGGCAGCAGGTTCTGCTTGCCTAACTCTTGGGAGAGACTGAGTTTAGAGGGGTTTGTGGTGGTTTGTATTTGATTTTGAGATGGAGTCTCACTGTGTTCTCCTCCCTGGCTGGCCTCGAGCTCCTGGGCTCAAGTGATCCTCCTGCCTCAGCCTCTGAGTAACTGGGACTATGGGTGCATGCCGCAGTGCCCAGTGGTGTTCTCTTTCTCTGTGTCTGTCTGTCTGTCTCTCTCTTTCTCTTTTCTGTAAGTGCTGGGGATGGAACCCAAGGCCTTGCACATTCTAGGCAAACACTACCACTGAACCCAGCCGTTTTTATTTTTATTTTCCGATGGTCTCACTGAGTCACCCAAGCTGGTCTTGAACTTGTGATTCTCTTGCCTCAGCCTCTTGAGTCTCTGGGTTTACCTGGCTGCTGTTCTGCTTTTTAAATGAAGAAAGTCATCCAATTCTGGGAACAGAAAATGTCGGGGGGCTTCTGGTAGAGCTGTGGTTCTCTTAGCTGCTGTGTATTCCCCTCTCCCCCTTAACAGGGTTTTTGGGAATAGCTGGGACTCAGATGAGGATACACCCCCCAGACCTCAGCCTCAGCATCCCATGCCTGAAGTACCTGACTCTGATGGGTACAGCAGCCACAATGAGGATGGTACAAGTGGGGAAACTGAGGCCCAGAGAGAGACAGCCACCCACCAAGGTCAATCAGCAATGGCCACCATCACTGGTGGGGAGGGAACCCGGGAGACCGTGGGGAGGTGGAGACCAACAGGAAGAATGAACTTGCCCTTTTTGTATATCCCCCCATCCAGACTCGGACAGCCTTGGAGAGCCCACTGTGCCCCATAAGGGGCTTGACTGCTACCTGGACAGCCTCTTCAACCCTGTGCTGTCCTACGGGGATGCGGTAGGGACAGAGGGAGCATTTGCAGATAGACAGCAGGCTCAGAGTGTACCCCTGAGTCACATCTGTGCCCAGAATGACACGGGAGCTTCTCACAGCCAGGGTCATGCGGTGCTGTGTCCTCTCTGGGTCTGTGTTGGCCATGGGAGGAAAATATGAGGGTGTCTGGAGATGCCACCACCTCCGGTGGAAGCCAGCTCCCGGTGGGAGTGAATGACCTTGATCCCTGGGTCCCCCAGGTCCCCTCACCCTGGGGACTTCCGGAGCACCACAGCAGTCCCTGGATGATACACAGCCCTGAGCAGGGCCTAGCTCCTCTTTGAGCCTCAGTTTAGAGAGATGGTTGTGGGGAGGACGGGTTGGGGACTGCACTGGCAGAGACCCAGGAGTCATACAGACACTTGGCCAGTGGGAGGTCCCCCTGGGGGGAGGAAATGACTGGTGTCAGGTGCCGGTTGCCATGGAGCCTCAGGAATACAGCACAGAGGCAGTCACTCGAGCCACCCGCTGTCCCCAGGACCTGGAGAAGCCAACAGCCATTGCTTACCGCATGAAAGGGGGAGGCCAGCCTGGCGGAGGCAGCGGTAGTGGTCCTGAAGACACCCTCAGGAGACCCCCAGAGCCAAAGCCAAAGCCAAGTCAGTGCCTCTCACTAGGGTGGTTCCAGGGTGGGGCAGGGCTGGGGCCACTCACTGGCCTACAAGCACCTTTATGTGCTAGGCAGCCACAGGTGGGAGTGGGAGGACAGGGTGCATTGCCCATGTCTACCCGTGCCCCCTCTCGGCTCCTCCAGTACCAGGCCTGGATGCCTCCACGCTGGCTCTGCAGCAGGCCTTCATCCACAAGCAGGCCGTGTTGCTGGTGAGTGAGGGACAGACTTCCCGGGGTGGGTGGCAGACTAGGGACCTGCCTAGTCACCACCACGGCTCTTTCCCAGGCCCGGGAAATGACCCTGCAGGCCATGGCACTCCAGCAGCAGCCTCTTAGTCCTGCCCTGAGACACTTACCCCCAGAGGTGAGCCTGGCCCATGCAGGGTAAGGGGGCTGCTTAGAGTCACCAGCTGGAAAGAGGAGTGCTGTGCTGCTCCAGGACATCATTGTACCTCTCTGAGCCCAGAAGCCCCATGGCCCATGTGGGGCAGAGACAGGGTCCCTGAGAGTAGTCTGGTCCATCTCATGCCCTGTTCTCTGCAGAAACCCTTAGCACCAGAGGCACAGCCGAAGTCTGTGGGCACTGGTCCCCCTGCCAAACCTGTACTCCTGCGCTCCACTCCAAAGTCCCCGGCCCCAGCCCCTTCAGCCAAGGCCCCAAGGCTCCCCACCAAGCCCGTGGCTGTCCCCATTCTAGCTCAGGGCCTGGCTTCTCCACAAATCCGTGAGTGTCCACCTCAGTTTGGGGGCCTTTCCGGGAAAGGGGTGGGATTGTGACTGTCTGCTGTAGGCTCATCCTCTCCCCCACCCTCCCCCCCAATCCACAGCCTCACCCTCCCGGGACTTGGTCCGTTACTCCACGCTCAACTCAGAGCACTTCCCGCAGCCCACCCAGCAGATCAGAAGCATCATCAGGCAGTGCCAGCAGCCGCACGGAGGAGGCCGTCCCGAGGCCCTAAGGTCAGCGCTGCCCCCAAACCCAGGGGACCTGGTCACCCACTGTGCCTGAATGTCTACTCTCCCGTGCACCTGCCTGCAGCCTCCACAGTGCCCCCCCCAGCTCCCTCCACAGAGGGAGTTTCTTCATGCCAATGGGTCCAGATGAGCCCCGGGAGCCAAGGGAAGCCCAGACTGCTGTTCTCAGCGAGGTTATGCGACCTTAGGCCAGTCTCTGATCCTCTCTGGGTTGTTATTCATAATTATGAGGTTGGTGGAAGAGGAAGTCCTCTCCACCAAATTGTAAAAATGTGGTGAGGAGAGGGGAGATTCAATGTCCACCCCTGCTTGGTTCGTCTCTTCCTAGCAGGAAGGATGGAAGGGTGTTTGTGAAGCGGCCAGACCCCCATGAGGAGGCCCTGATGCTCCTGAAGGGCCAGATGACTCACCTAGGGACAGCACCTGGCACCCAGGTGAGAGGCAGGGTGGGGGGCTGCGCCCAGCAGGGAGAGAGACAAAGAGGAGCCTCCAGGGGAACTTCAGAAACCAGCTACTCCTACAAGCCATGGCCCTGCCTCTACCCGCTCCGTGGGGTTTGCTGGTTGTCCCCTGAGCACTCTCTTTGGGGTAGAACAGGTGTCCAGAGAGACGGTGGCCCTAGTGAAGCCAGTGACCAGTGCACCGAGGCCATCCATGGGACCCACTCCAGGTGAGAGGGCCAGGATGGAGGGGGGGGCAAGCAGGCGGGGTGTCCAAGTGTGTGAGTGGTTCTGTGAGCACAGGTGAGTCTCTGTATGTTGGAGTCATGTGTGTCTGTGTCCCTGAGCGTTGTATGTGTTAGCATTTAAATCACCCTAACTTTAGTTCAGGCCCATCCTGGTCTCATTTAATCCTACTAAAACCCATCAAGGCAGTACCATTTGTTCCTACATGGTATAGATGGGGAAATGGAGGCAAAAAGAATTTCAATTGTTTGCCAAGGTCACACAGCTCAAGAAAGTGTCAGAACAGGGCTATCAATGCAGGCCTCCTGCCACCACAACCGGGAACCCTGATCTTTACTAGCCCCGTCTCATAGCAGCCACAGTGACCTGAAAAAATCTACAGATCAACTCACACTGTGTCCCTGACTTTAAGAAACCGCTCCAATGGGTTTGGGGATGTGTCTCAGTGATAGAGCACTTGCCCTGCATGCACAGGAGTGGGTTCAATCCCTAGTACTGCAAAACAAAGCAAAAAACCCACAAACAAAGACTTCCAAATGGATCCTGCAATGAACTCCAAGCTCTTCACTGTGCTCTTTGAGGTTCTCCTGAATGATCTATCTGCCCACCTCCGTAGCCTCATCTCCTCCCACCAGAGCCTTGTACATTCTGTTCCTGAAAACACCAAGGCCCCTCCTACCTCAGTGCCTTTACACTTGCTCTCCCCTCTGCCTAGAATGCTCTTCCCTGCGATCTTTGCATATCTGGCCCCCTCTTGTCATTCAGGGCTCAGCTCAAATGTCCTCAGAGAGGACTTGGACTGAAAGACCCTCAAAATTCAGCTCCCCAGACTTTCCTAAATCACGCTGCTCCACTTCCACCCCAGCTCCTAGCAGTAAGAGCTTTGTTCTTTCTGTTCCACCCAAACCTGCCATGAGACTGAAGTCAAGGGCAGGTGCCTGCCTGTCTTGTTCACTAGGGCATCCAAGGCCCCTAGTGCAGGCTTCTGGGTGCTCTCTATATCTGTGGAATAAAGGATTGGGTTGTAAAGTGTGCCCATGTGAGCAGTTGTGCCTACTGAATCTGCCCTGGCCCCTTTCTTGGCATGAGGTTGCCACCATGTCCCCTACTCCACCCTGACTCTCCCACTTGGTCCTGAGAGGTGTCTCCCCTGCTCCCCTGCACTCTCCAGTGCAGCCTTCAAGATCCCTGGAGCCCCCCGAGGAACCTATGCAAACGCGGCTGCATTGCCTAATCAACCCCAATTTCTACGGCTACCAGGATGCCCCCTGGCGGATCTTCCTGCGCAAAGAGGTACCTGGCCAGGCTCAGGAGACCTGAGCCAGGGAAAGGGCTGAATGGGAGAGTGGAGGGAGTCGGGGAGTTGGCCCAGGAGAGAGAATCTGATGGGCAGAGTTGAAGCTAGGAGTCAGAGTTAGAACCAGGGGTGAGGCTGGGGGAGAGTCCGGCTGTGGCTAGGGTTGGGGGGGCCGTGTGCAAAGCAAGGGAGGGAACAGTCTGTCGTTACTCACTGAAGCCCTACCCCCACAGGTGTTTTACCCCAAGGACAGCTACAACCATCCTGTGCAGCTAGATCTCCTGTTCCGCCAGGTGATGTCCCCTCTTCCCCTCTGTCCCAGTATACTCAGCAAGGTAATGGGCCCATAGACTAGCAGCCTGCACTCTGGGATTTGGGGTCCTAGAGGTTGGGAAGCTGTTCTACACAATCTCCCTCTCCCATGGATAAGGTCAGTGGGTCTAAGGTAGGAAGGACTCAGAGGTCAAATCTAAGTCATCCCCTCCACACACACACAAGATAGGTAAGGAGACTGAGGTCTAGGAAGACCCAGCCCCCCCAATAGATGGCAAAGTTGAGGAGAGAGGGTTCCTGTAAGTGAGCTCTGATTTATGAAGACGATCCAGCTTACCGATGACCCCACGACTACAAAATTGGACTTCTCCATTCCCATGCACCTCGAACAGAACAGCGGGCTGGGGAAGTCCCTGGTATCACCTGCATCATGGCTTCTTCCCATAGATCCTGCATGACACGTTCTCTGAGGCCTGCATGCGCATCACTGAGGACGAGCGGCTCAGAATGAAGGCCCTGTTTGGTATTGCAGGGGGAGGGGGGAAATTGTTGATGGGCTGCCAGCCAGAGCCACTGGCCAGCCCTTTCCCAGAGGGAGGCCAAGGCTAACAAGCCCAGCCCCAATTTGCCTCCAGACACGCCCCTCCTTGCTCTGCTATGGCCTCTTACATGGCTAGGCTGCAAGTTCAGGGTTGGCAATATCCGACACATCGTGTCCATCTCTGGGTTTCAGTTTCTCATTCTCCATACTGGCCAGTTATCTTTTTTTTTTAAGAGAGAGGGAGAGAGAAGGAGAGAGAGGGAGAGAGAGAATTTTAATATTTACTTTTTAGTATTTGGCGGACACAACATCTTTGTTTGTATGTGGTGCTGAGGATTGAACCCGGGCCGCACGCATGCCAGGCGAGCGCGCTACCGCTTGAGCCACATCCCCAGTCCCCTGGCGAGTTATCTTCTTGCCAGATGTCGGTCTTCCTTCCTGATCTCCCAGATGTGGGCTGGCAAGGGAAGGGTGAAAAGGGGAGTCTTGATCAGATTTGGCCTCCTTTAGCCCAGAACCAGCTGGATACACAGCGGCCTCTGGTAACGGAGAGTGTGAAGCGGGCGGTGATCAGCACTGCCCGAGACAGCTGGGAGGTCTACTTCTCCCGTCTCTTCCCCGCCACGGTGCGAACCCCTGTCTGCCTGCTCCCTACCTGCCCAGAGCGTTCAGGACAGAGGGTAAAAGACCCTCACATGCCCCTCATCCTTAATCCAGGGCAGTGTGGGCACTGGTGTGCAGATCCTAGCGGTGTCCCACACAGGCATCAAACTCCTGCGGATGGTCAAGGGCAGCCAGGAGGCCAGTGGGCAGCTGCAGGTCCTACGTACATACAGGTGACTGACAGGCAGATGTGGGGCCAGTCTCCGGACTGGCATCTTCTGCTTTCTAAATACCTATGATGTGCCAGGCTCTATACCATGCCCATATAAGAGATGGAGAAACTGGGTCTTGGAGATAGAAGTTACCTGCCTCAGTTCAGGTGCGCAGGAAATGGTTGAGCTAGGAGCCCATTTCGTTCTGCCTCTGGGGCCACACAGCAGCCCCGCCTCCACTCCAAGACTCCCTGCAGTGGGGCAAATGGTGCTGCAAGCCACCAAGTCTTGAGGCAGCTGAAAAGAGAAATGGTAGTCCAGCCCTGAGACCTACCTGAGGGCTCCAACTCTTTCCCTGTCTCACTTATCCCTTTCAACATGAGATCAGGAAAGAGTCTTAATCACTAGTTGGGTAAAAGCTCCCTGCTTTGAAGGATGGGAAGAATTTGGTCGGTGCATGAAAAAGATTAGTGTGTTCAAAATCTGGGAGGTTGGACTGAGGGACCAAGGGAGGGTGCCAGAGCACTGGTTTAAAAGGTAGTAGGAGATGAGCAGAATCTACTGTTGGGAGTCAGAGGCAGGAGTCCTTGGGTCCCAGGAGTCTAGTGTCGGGTGAGGCTACAGGAATGTGATGGGGCTACAGGAACAGAAGGACTATAAGGGTCTGGGGAGAGCATCCTTGTGGCCTTGGGATCCTGCCCTCATGCCACCTTCCCATCCTCCAGCTTTGCAGATATCCTCTTTGTGACCATGCCGTCACAGAACATGCTGGAGTTCAACCTGGCTAGTGAGAAGGTCATCCTCTTTTCAGCCCGTGCTCACCATGTCAAGACCATGGTGGATGACTTCATTCTGGAGTTGAAGAAGGTCAGGATCAGGGCTGGGGTTGTGGCTCAGCGGTAGAGCACTCGCCTAGCACATGCGAGGCCCTGGGTTTGATCCTCAGCACCACATAAAAATAAATAAAATAAAGGCATTGTGTCCAACTACAACCATATATATATATATATATATATATATATATATATATATATATATATATATATATATTAAGGAGGTCAGGATCCTCCCACAGATAATACTGCCCAGGGCTGAGGGCCCAAGAACAAGGCTCTCCCCAATGCCCGGCCCCTGCCCGTCTCCCCACCTGTGACTGGGCAGCCCCCAGGCCCAGTACCTGCTGGGGAAGGCTTCGATGGGAAGCTCTGGAGAGGGATTGAGTGGGTTGGTGATGGGTGTTCATCAGATTCAGGCAAGGCTCCTCCTTTCACCTGGCATGACTTTCTCCCTTCTCACCTAGAGAAGGCTCCCTTCCCTGGTGTGCTGGGGAGATAGGAGCCCTTAGGCCTCTCTGGGGAGGGTGGGGTGGGGGACTGTAGCCCCTTACCCTGCCCCTGGCCACCCCAGGACTCTGACTATGTTGTTGCTGTGAGAAACTTCCTGCCTGAGGATCCAGCACTGCTGGCCTTCCACAAGGGTGACATTATCCACCTGCAGCCCCTGGAGCCACCTAGAACAGGTCAGTGTCATGGGGGTGGGGTAGGTAGAAGGGAGGCCTCCCTGGTGAGTGCTGACACAAACCTGGCCCACAGGCTACAGCGCTGGCTGTGTGGTGCGCAAGAAGGTGGTATACCTGGAGGAACTGCGCCATAGAGGCCCTGACTTTGGTGGGTACCCCAGGGGTGCCCCACCATGTGGAAACTCTAAAGAGGGTTCATGCTAGCTCCATACATTCACAATATAGATGTACTGTGAGGGTTTCTTTTCTCCTTCTCTCTTTCTTTTATTAGTACTGGGGATTGAACCCCGGGGTGCTCTAACACTGAGCTATGTCCCCTAGCCTTTTTATTTTTTATGTTGAGACAGGGTCTCACTAAGTTGCTGAGGCTGGCCTTGAACTTGTGATCCTTCTGCCTCAGCCTCCTGAGTCACTGGGATGACAAGAGAACACCACCACACCCAGCTGGATGAGGGTTTATTGGTGCCCCCAAGCTGTCTGGCCTGGCAGTGTTTTCAAAGGTCTCTGCCATGGCCTGGCAGGACCTGCTGGCAGCCATATAGCCCAGCCCTCTGCCTAAATAGATGACCACGGGGTTTGTAGCCAGACTCTTTGTGTCTTCACATGCCCTGCGATTCCACAATCTTTTGCTGCACCTCTCACTATAGTCCAGTGGCCCTAAGGGAATCCCTTCCTGTTTCTTCCCATGTAAAACGGGGGTGTGGCTCAGTGGTAGAGCACTTGCCTAACTTGTCCTGGGTTCCATCCCCAGCATCACAAAAACAAAAGAAAAAACCGGGTGGGGGTTCGATGGCTTGGCCTCCCCTACAGAGCTCTAGGGAGAGGTCAACGAAGTACCCAAATATCCCTAAAGGGGCTCCTTCATCCCAAGACAAGATCTTCCAGTTTGTCTCTGACCCTTTCCATGACCCCTAGGCTGGCGGTTTGGGACGATCCACGGGCGCGTGGGTCGCTTCCCTTCGGAGCTGGTGCAGCCCGCCGCAGCCCCAGATTTCCTGCAGCTACCAGCAGAGCCTGGCAGGAGCCGGGCTGCCGCGGTGGCCGCAGCTGTCGCCTCTACAGCTGCAGCTCAGGAGGTGGGCCGCAGGAGAGAGGTGAGCCCGGCGGGGGGCAGAGACAGCAGGGGCCAGGATGAGTCAGACTGCAGCCGGTGGTGAATGCTAGCAAGGTTAGCTAGGGGCGTGGTCAGTCCCTTGAGGCGTGGCCAGCCCTGGAGTAGGGCGAGCGAGAATATGACCAGAGATGGTTGGAATTGTGACCAAATGGAGTAGGGAAGGGTGGGGGTCAGTTGAATGCGACCTGAACCAAAGGCAGGGGACCAGCCTTGGGCTGGCCGGTAGGTAAAGTCAACCTGGAGTGGGATGGGGCCAGGCTCGTGGGACGGGGGTCTAGCTACCGAATGGAATTAGGGAGAGTCAGGTCAAACTTAGGAGTGAGGGGCAGGATCAGCCAATGCTATGCAAGAACTAGCCTAGTTCGTGGGGGCGTGGCCTAGTGTGTCAAAGGCGGGGTCAGCCCGGCAGGAGGTGGGTGTGGCAAACTGGAGAGAAGTCCACTGGGTTCAGGTGGGTTCAGATGCATGGGCAGAGGAGGCCGTCTGGGTTGTCTGGGTTCTATCATCCAGGCGTTGCCTTGAATGGGCTGTGACAGGAGGACAAGTGGGGAGTGGCTGGACAGGCCTTGCTAGCTCTAGCTCATATCTGCTTACTCCCTCCCCCCTCCCCTCCCCTCCTCTTTCTTTCTCTCTCTCCCTTCTCTTAAAGGGTCCCTCAGTCAGGGCCCGCTCTGACCGTGGAGAAGACACCCTGGCGCTCCCACCATATACAATGCTTGAATTTGCCCAGAAGTATTTCCGGGACCCTCGGAGGCAACCTCAGTGAGTGGTGGCCCCAGCCCTATTCCTAACACAAAGGAGGGCTTCTTGCAGTGGATGTTGGCTGTCCCCCTTCTGGTTGACAGGCTGCCACCAAGGTTCGAGGCCCACCTTATGTCTCAGCCTCTGGATCAAGAACATTCCTAAGTGGGAAAAGGATGTAGCCAAAGGCTGGGAGGCAGAGCTGGTCAGCAGTGCCCACCTCCTGTTACAGGGATGGCCTCAGGCTGAAATCCAAGGAGAGCCGGGAGTCCAGAACCTTGGAGGACATGCTCTGCTTCACCAAGGTGTCCATTTTCTCCATCTGTAAAATGTTGGTGCAGGGGGGCCCCCTCCCCATCCCCAGGACAAACAGATTGTCCAGAGTAAGACCCTACAGCTCTAAAACCCTCCAGGACACCCCCCCACCCCCCCCCACCCCCCCGCAGCGGCAGCATCTGTCCCCAGTGTCAGGCCTGGCTCCCCTTTTGTAATGTCAGCCCTCTACATTGTCATCGTATGATCTGGAAGTATAATATGGTCCTCTTCTGTTCTGACATATCCCTTCATGGTGACCTGGTCCTTCCCTCCTCTCACAGACCCCGCTCCAGGAATCCCTTATTGAACTCAGTGACACCAGCCTCAACAAGATGGCCACCGACATGTTCCTAGGTGTGGGGGTGGGACGGCAGCCACCACTTGGTGGGAGGTAGCACTGTGTGATTCCTGCCTGTCCCAACTCCTCTCCCCACCCCCCAACTCAGACATGGGACACTTTGAAGAAAATGGAAGCCCCCAGAGGTCTGTGGACACAGTCACCCAGGGAGGGACTCAATTCTTAAGGCCCCTTGGGGATGGGCAGCTGGGGATCTTGCTAGGCCTGAGCAGGGTAGGTCTTCCCCCACAGCTGTGATGAGGTTCATGGGGGATGCCCCACTGAAGGGCCAGAATGAACTGGACATGCTCTGCACCCTCCTGAAGGTCAGTACAGACAACTCTGCCCCATGCTCCCTTTCTGCTCTGTGACACAGTTTCCCTATCTATCACCCTGAGTTGGAGGACATTGGATTGGGAAGCTTCCCCCTTAGCCCAAAGCCAAATGCAACCTGCATGTGGGGAGGGAGTTGGGAAAGGGACACCAGGACTCCTTCCAAGTGCCCACCCTATTCTTCTGTACCTGGTATATAGTATCTTTGACCTGTGACCTAGTTTGCTCTCTTTCAGCTTTGTGAAGACCATGAGGTCATGCGGGATGAGTGTTACTGCCAAATTGTGAAGCAGATCACAGATAACACCAGCTCTAAGCAGTGAGTCACTTGAGCCTTTACCCCCTGATCCCCACACTGTGTCCCTGTTCCTGGATGTACCAGCTCAGCCTCCTGTCTCCCTGGGCCTACCCCCCCTACCCCACCCTAGATTCTCTTCCCTCACCTTCTTCCTCACTCACATTGTTTTGGGGGTTAGTTTGTCTGGGATTTCCTGTTTCTGCTCAGTTTCCTCATCTGTAATGTACAAGTCCAGAGACCCAACTAAAATTGGTTCAATCAAAAGAGGGAACTTACTGGTTAAGACAGCTGAAAAGTCAGTGAGTATATGGCTTCAGGAATAGATCCAGGTGTCGTTAGAAAGAAGGCTTTCCGCCTTCCTATGTCATTTCCAAGCAGCCTCTCAGATCTGCAACATTTTCCCAGCTCAGCAATCCCAAGGAAAGCAACAGTAACTCAATATTTGTTGCAAAAATTCCCAAACAGATTTATTGGCCCAGGTACATAACAAGCTCATCCCTCAACCAACCACAATGGCTGGAGAATACAGAGTGCAGATTACCTATGCCTGGGTCCCATGCTTGTCCCAAAACCAATCACCAAAGCCAGAGGGAGTCTGAACTCTCATTGGCTGGTCCTGGATCAAATGCCCATCCTAAGCTAAGCACGGTGGCAAGGGTGGGAGGCTGCAGTGCTCTCTAACTGCCAGACCTGACTCTCAAGCCCATCTCCAAACCTCAGGTATCTAGAGAGGAGTGGGTGGTTTCCCAAAGGAAGCCTAAGTGCTGTCCCCAGGCATCAGAGATCTCCACAATTGAAACCACCACACCAGGACAGGATGAAATGTCTACATTTCACTCATGCAGGGACAGTGCACATTAGGCGCACAGTATATGTGCTGACCTTATGACCCTTGGACACACCTGCCTGTCCCTAGGCCTTCCTACTGTGAACCCTGCTGGGGTTCTCTTATGACCCTTGGACTCACCTGACTGTCCCTAGGCCTTACCTACTGTGAACCCTGCTGGGGTTCTGCACAGCCCCAGGAGGTTCCCTGTGCCCAGAATCCTCCCCAGACATCCCCTACCAGGAGAAGCCATCCCAGACCCTCATCCCCTTCCTCTCCTACTCCCACCTTGACTTCCCAGAAAGAATATACTTTCTGGACAGCTTTGGGAGCCCCTCTGCCCTGCTCTCACTGAGCAACAGGGTACATATCCTCAGAGTACGAATCTTTCCTGAGATCTGGAAGTCTTTGGCTCCATCCAGGAGACTCCTGGCACACACATTAGTACAGTGGCCACCTGTGATGCGGCCCCACATGTGTGTCCTTGCAGGGACAGCTGCCAGCGAGGCTGGAGGTTGCTCTACATCATGGCTGCCTACCACAGCTGCTCAGATGTCCTCTACCCACACCTCCATCACTTCCTCCAACACGTGAGCAGGACCCCAGGCCTGCCTTTCCAGGGTAAGGAGCCAGTGCATGGGGGACCTAGGGTTGCACCTCTCACATGGGGGACAGGGCAGGCAGCCTGTGGGAGGGGAAACCTAGAGGACCTGACCCTTTTTTTCATGTACCCAGGAAATGTTAACTAATGTTAATTTACTCCCCCAAACATTTTGAGAGGTCCCAAAATATGACCTCAGGATGAGAATGTCAGGGAAAGTTTCCAGGAGGTATTACCCTGGGAAATGAGCAGGTGGAAGGAATTTTCTGGTGGACTGAGTTAGCAGGAGCAAAGATGGGAATGGGTGGCACATGGGAGATGGAGAGGAGGAGGCAGGCAAGAAGCCAGAGTACTCAGGTAAGGTCCTGCTTCTCCAGCTGCTGGGCCCAAAGTTGGTGGCGAGGTCTTGGCCTTAGCCCCTTGCAGTAAGGAGAAGTAGCCTCCTCCTCACTGTGCTTCCATAGCAACCCCAGGGGCCCTAAGAAAGAGGCAGCCATGCTGGAGACAGGGCTTCTCACCCTCTCTGCCTCTGAAGCTTTCTGTTTGCTTCAATTAACAAATATTCCCTGACCCAGAGATAAATAGACCTAGCTTCCCAGGGAAGGGCTCCCAAATAGGAGAAGACAGCAGAATGTCCTAGAACTCTTGATGCCCTCCCGAGGGCAAGGTGTGGACATTGATTAATCTAGAGACATGGAGCAGTGATGCTGGGGTCTTCTACACTGGGATGCCTGGATGAGACAGGATGATTGACATGGTGGTTCCTGCTGGCAGAATCAGAGCACCACTGTTTCCTAGCCACAGAGCCTATTAGGGGGTGAGCTCCTCAAGAAACAGCTCAGGGTCACAGCTGTTTCTAGACTCATAGATAGTCAAGGGCAAGACAGAAGGCCTTGGGCTGTGAGTTCGAATACAGTTCCTAACCTCTAGCTCTTGACCAAGGGCAAGTCACTGTTCCTTGCAGGGCTCAGTTTTCTCAGCTGTCAAATGGAGGTATAAATGCTTGCCACACAGGTTGTGGAAAGAACACAGTAAGTCCATCACAGTGGCACACACCTGTAATCCCAGGAACTCTGGAAATTGAGATGGGAGGGTCACAAGTTTGAGGCTAGCCCGGGCAACTTAACAAGACCCTGTCTCAAAAAAAAAAAAAAAAAAAAAAAAAGAGCATTGAGGATATAGCTCTGTGGTAATATGCTCTTGGGTTCAACCGCCAGTACATAAAAAATAAAATACAGCCAGTTCAGGGCTGGAGTTGTAGCTCAGTGGTAGAGTGCTTGCCTAGCATGCATGAAGCACTGGGTTCGATCCTCAGCACCACATAAAAATACAATAAAGATATTGTGTCCACCTAAAAAAAATGATAATAATAAAAAAATAAAATAAAATACAGCCAGTTCAAAGCTGATGACCAGAGGAGACCCTTTCTCCTACTGTTGACCTTGGGCAAACCCTGTCTCCCTGCCTCTGCAGGGATTGCCAAAGCCTGTGAGCAGAATCTGAAGAAAACCTTGCGTTTTGGGGGCCGTCTGGAGCTCCCCAGCAGCATGGAGCTTCGGGCCATGTTGGTGAGCCTGGGCAGGGGCCGATGATGGGGGAGGCAGTCATGATGAATAGGAGACAGGAACCCAGCCCAGAGTCTCTTCTGTTGGGTGCTAATGTGCCATGGTGCACAGATGGGCCCTGTTAAGTCCAGGTGCATAAGGCTTCCTATACATTCATGCGCCAGATCTCCTGGCCTGTGGACTCCCATGGCAGGGAACAAGCACTATCCCAGATCCCAGGGCCTAGCCTCTTATCCTTCTCTTGCTTACCACTCCCACCACCAGGCAGGCCGCAGTTCCAAGAGACAGCTCTTTCTTCTTCCCGGAGGGCTTGAACGGCATCTCAAAATCAAAACGTGCACTGTAAGTGAGGGATTGTCTCTGGTAAACAGGTGCTAGAAAGTCAGGGACAGCCAAGTCCCTGTGTGTGTGTGTGTGTGTGTGTGTGTGTATGGAGTGAGCCCCCAAGGGTACTGAGTCCCTCACAGATCCAGACTTTTTTCTTGTCATTATTCCCTAGACAGTATGACAACTATTTATATGCATTTGCATCTTTTGGGGTATTATAAGTAATCTAGAATTGATTTAAAATATTCAAGAGGATATGAATAGGGTAGATGCAAATACCGTGCCCTTTTATAGAAGAAACTTGAGCATCCTTGGATTGTAGTATCTGTTGGGGTCCTGGAGCCCATTCCCTATGGACATTAAGTGATGACTCTATTTGTCAGAACAAACTGAGCTTCCAGCTCAGGGTCATACTGTAAATAAGGGACAAAGGCAAAAATTGAACCTAAGTCTCAGACTCCAAAAACTGAATTCACTCCCTGCATGATGATGTTCCTCAGAGACCTGAAAGGATCCTGCATCTCCATGCAGAGAGACTAAGGAAATCTGCTCAGCTTCTGGGGCCTGGGTGGAGCTGGGAGGACAGAGGTGGGGCCCAGATAGCACAGTCTCAGTGTTCCTGCCCTGCCCCAGGTGGCCCTGGACGTGGTGGAGGAGATCTGTTCTGAGATGGCCCTGACACGCCCGGAAGCCTTCAATGAGTATGTGATCTTTGTTGTCACCAATCGAGGTGAGTGGCCAAGAGAACTGAGCATGCTAGACTCTTTCCCATTGCTAGGCCTTTACCCACGTGGGACCTCCACCCAGCCTTGAAAGCCCAGGGTCTGGGGCCACTTTCTCCCCTAAGTTTGGAAGGACCTGTGTGTGTTCTGAACACCCCCAGCCCTTCATCTGTCCCACTGTGCTTTGTTTTGCCTAAGTTTGTCTCCCCCTGCTATAAGATTGGGGGTTCATGGAGTGCAGGGACCTCTCTTGAGTCTTCTCATTGCCCCTTGGGACCTTTTCAATAGGAAGATCCAACTCTCAGGGAGCTTTTATTGTGGGAAGGAGCCTAAAGGTGCAAGAATTTATTCTTGCTTCTTGCCATAGGAGGCTCCTCCCAGGCCTAGGACCCTTAGGGGACTTTCATGCAACCCAAAGCCCCTTCCATGTGCTGCATGTTTGGCCCTGAACCATGTTCCCTACCCCTGCCTATAGGAAGAGGGGATGACAGATACTATGTCCCATGCACAGTTCAAAGCATTTAAGGCCATAAAATCCTTTTCTTTTCTTTTTTATTTTTTCAGTACTGGGGATAAAACCCAGGGCCTAATGCATGCTAGGCAAGCTCTCTACCAGTAAGACATACCCCAAACCTCCTAATGCTATAAACTCCTCTCCCCTCCTCCCCAACAAGTTCTAGAGATTGAATCAGGGCACTCTACCACTGAGCAATATGCCCTCCTTTTTTATTTTATTTTTTTTATTTTGAGAATGTCTTGCTAAGTTGCCCAGGCTGATCTCAAACTCATGATCCTCCTACTTCAGCCTCCTGAGTAGCTAGGATTACAGGCATGCTCCCCGGCACCCAGCTATAAATTCTTTTAATCCCCCCTCAACAAGCCATTTGCAAAGGGGGAAATGAGGCTGAGGGAGGCTGTATTAGTTTCCTGTGACTGTTGTAACAAGTGAGCAAAACTCAGTGGCTCATAACAACACAGATTGTTATCTTACAGTTCTGAAAAGTCCTGAATTGAGAGGGCAGTCAGGGGGCTGGGGATATAGCTCAGTTGGTAGAGTGCTTGCCTTGCATGCACAAGGCCCTGGGTTTGATCCTCAGCACCAAAAAAAAAAGAATGTATTGTTTGGGGCTGGGGATGTGGCTCAAGCGGTAACGTGCTTACCTGGCATACGCGGGGTGCTGGGTTCGATCCTCAGCACCACATAAAAATAAAATAAAGATGTTGTGTCCACCGAAAAACTGAAAAATAAATATTAAAAAATTCTCTCTCTCTCTTTTTTAAAAAAAGGGGGGGGAGGGGAGCAGAATACAACAGACGCTAGTATGACAGTATGTAAAAACGTGGATGTGTAACTGATGTGATGCTGCAATCTGTATACAGGGCAAAAATGGGAGTTCATAATCCTCGTGAATCAAATGTATGAAATATGATATGTCAAGAGCTTTGTAATGTTTTGAACAACTAACAATTAAAAAAAAGAAAAAAAAAAACAAAAAAAGAAAAAACAAACAAACAAAAAAAAAAAGAGTGCAGTCAGGGCTGTGTTCCTTCTGGAAACTCTAGGGGACCATTCATTTTCTACCTTGTAGAGGAAACCACATTCCTTAACTCCTGGCCCCTTCTTCTAACTCCAAAGCCAGCAGTGTAGAGTCTTCACATTGTTCTCTGTCCTGGCCACCAACCTCTGATTCCATCCTCACATCTCCTTCTATGACTCTGACCCTCCTCTAGGAAGGACCTTGTGCTTACATTGGACAAGCCAGATAATCTCCCCCTTCTTGAGACCCTTAAACTTAATCATGTCTGCAAAGTCCCTTTGCCATGAAGATGTCATATTCCAAGTTCCAGGGATTAGGATGTGGACATTTTTGGAGGGACCATTATCAGCCAATCATAGAAGTTCAGTGATTTAACCAAGGGCACACAGTGGGGATTTGAACCCAGTCAGTTTGACCTGAGGATTCTGGACTCTTATCATGTCAGACCCCTCATCTTTGGTAAAATAAAAGTCCATTCAGGGAGAAAAACTCACATCTCTTTTCCAGGCTTAGACCCCAGGCCATCCTATCTCCCACTTATACCACGTGCCAGCAAGGGTCTTTCCTGAGGACGGTCTTCAGAAAGATACCCACTGGTGTTCATGGGCTGCGTCCTGTTGTGCATGTCCTTGTCCCCAACCTCCTCTGGAAAGTGCCTGGGATTTCTTTAAGCATAACCCAGGGTGTTTTCCCAGACCCAGGCAGGCCACTCTTTAAGGTGACCTTCAGGCCCTTTCCTTGGGAGAAATGGAATATAGTTTGTACCTTTGAATTGGAGTTATTCCCCTCTTTAGTCATCAGTGTTTCAGTGAAACACGGGGCACCCTATTGTATAAATATACTCCCCTTTAATGAAGAAAGTGTGTCCCAGCGAGGGGAGGTGGCTTAATGGAGGGGACATCTCACCTGAATGATAGGTTGGAGTCTGTGCCCTTGCTCCATACAGTTACATGCGTGTACAAGTGTGCCCCCACCCAGCCCTGCCTCCCTGCTCTCTTCAGGCCAGCATGTGTGCCCTCTCAGCCGCCGTGCCTATATCCTGGATGTGGCCTCAGAGATGGAACAGGTAGATGGCGGCTACATGCTCTGGTTCCGGCGTGTGCTCTGGGATCAGCCACTCAAGTTTGAGAATGAGCTGTATGTGACCATGCACTACAACCAGGTCAGCACACATGGGCCCCTCTATGGCTCTGGAACCTCGTGGGCTTCAGAGAGTCTGTGAGGTTAGAGGCTGCAGCCTGTTTTTGCAGAACTGGTGCCAATGCTAATGCAATCCCGTGTACAAAATACAAACACTTAGCATTTGTGGCCACACAGTGTCGCTGTTGAAGCCCTGCCCTGCACAATCTGGTACTCAAGCTTCCCATCTTGACTAGTGGAATGGGAAAACCTGATACAGATCCTCAAGTCCCACCCCAGATCTATCGCATCAGAATCTCAGGGGTTCAGCCCTGCCTTGTGTTTTTGCAAGCCTCCCAGAGACTCTGGAGCATGCTCAGTTTTGAGAAGCATGGATCTGATGGATACGTATGTGCATCACATTGTGGATACTCCGCCTTTACTAGCCCACACTCTTCTTACCTCACTGTGGGGACTCCCTCATAAACTCCAAGGACACCATTTTCACAGCTCCCCCTCAAATGCCTCTGTCGTCATTCCCCCAAAACCAGTGGAGGATAAGCTAGAATAATAACTGCCGGTCTCCACACTCCCTGTAGGTGAACACCTGGGTGTGCACCTGCCTGGCAGCCCCTCATGCATCTGTTCCCCACAGGTCCTGCCTGACTACCTGAAGGGCCTCTTCAGCAGCGTGCCAGCCAGCCGGCCCAGTGAGCAACAGCTGCAGCAGGTGTCCAAACTAGCTTCACTGCAACACTGTGCCAAGGACCACTTCTACCTGCCTAGTGTGTAAGCACCTGCCTATCAGCCAGAGCAGACAGGCACCCTGGCACCCTCAGCGCACCCCACCTTCCTCAGAGTTGCCCATCCCGGGCCCCCAGGATCCTCTCTTGTACAGTAAGGCTGTCTGAGAAGGGGCTGTCCTGGCCCTGGGGCCAAAGTCCTCTGGCTCACCATAGATGCTGGGACAATTGGCATTAATAACTCAGAGCCAATTTAGTGATAAAAAAATATTTTCTGCATATGTTTTGTCTTAACTTCTTTTCCAACTATTCTTTCCTTTTTCTTTTTTTTTTTTTTTTTTGAGGGGGGGATTGAACCCAGGGGTACTCTACCACTGAGCTACATTCCTAGCCCTTTTTATATTGAGAGAGTCTGAGGATCTCGCTAAGTCACCAAGGTTGGCGTCAAACTTGGGATCCTCCTGCCTTAGTCTCCTGAGTTGCTGTGATCACAGATGAGAAAGCTGAGGCCTGGAGAGATTATGGCTTACTGAGGTTTAGCCAGCTAGTAGGTGAAGGAACCAGGAATGGTTAAATCTGGGGATGCTAGGTCCAGATGCGAGGTTCTTACCACAGCGGTGCAAAGAAGGCCAGATGTTACCAAGGAGTGGGAGCTCCCAGGGGTGGGAACTCCCAGGGAGAGAGGGCTCCCCTGACTTTCTTCCAATCTTGCCCTGTCAGCAGCCCAGGGCAGCTGGGATGGACTGGGACTGATGTTGATATTTTCACATGTGCCAAGAGGCAAAGAGCCTGCCTTGAGGCAAAGTTGTGATCCTCATTCTTCAGCCTCCCAGCATTCTTCTGCCTCCTGCTCTGACCAGCCCCTTGGTGGTTGCTTTGCCCTCTCTTGTGTCTCCCCCACCCCTGTGTCTCTCTAAACCTCTCTGGCTTGGGCTCCTCTTTGGGGACGGCAGCTACAAAGGATGAACCTGCCGTGGGTTCAAGTCTCCCCACCACACATACTAGTTCACGGTTGCTGTGTGGCCTTGGACTGCTCTGTGGACTTCTAAGAGCCTCAGTTTCCTCTTCTGCAAGCAGGGATCTTGGTGGTACCAGCCCTGGCGGGGCCACCCACCTGCCGTGTACCAAGGCACCATGCGAGTCCTTGCACTCCTATCTTCCCCTTCTACTTTCCCCAGCGTTTAGTCTCCCTGGGACACATAACACTCGTTTCCACTTTGCATCACACCTGCCGTGCAGTGGGGATTAAGTGTAAGGTGCTCAGGGCCGCTGTCCCCTCCACACGCAGGCGGGAGGTCCAGGAGTACATCCCGGCTCAGCTCTACCACACAACAGCCGGCTCAGCCTGGCTCAACCTGGTCAGCCAGCACCGGCCACAGACACAGGCACTCAGCCCCCACCAGGCCCGTGCCCAGTTCTTGGGTAAGAGCTGGGGATGCAGGGGGTATTGTCATGAGGGGCTTTACTAAGGGGGGATCCGGGAGGAGGGGGAGACATAGTTTTTCCTTTTGCACAAAGGCTTTTCAGTGGCAGGTGAGCTGCCTACCTATTGGGAGAGGAGACTTTTTTTTTTTTAATTTAAAGACAGGGTCTCATTGAGTTGCTTAGCACCTCACTTTTGCTGAGCCTAGTTGTGAACTCACGATCCCCCTGCCTCAGCCTCCCACGCTGCTAGGAGAGCCTTTTTTTTTTTTAATGGTACTAGGGATTGAACTCAGGGGCACTGAACCACATCCCCAGCCCTTTTTATTTTTTATTCTGAGACAGGGTCTCACTTGCTTAGGGCCTTGCTAAGTTGCTGAGGCTGGCCTCAAAGTTGTGATCCTCATGCTTCAGCCTCCCAAGCTGCTGGGATTACAGGCATGTGCCACCACGCCTGGCAAAAGGAGACTTTTTTTTTCTCAAAGACATCATTGGGGTGGGACTGTGGGTGACCTTGGGCAAACTGAGAGTGGGAAGTGAGGAAGAAGGGATAGAGGAAGAGGCCAGAGAGGTGAGAGAAGGAAGGTAAGGATGTTCTTCAGGCCAGCCATGCATTTTAGGGGCAGGGCTATCATGGATGGGCCCGGCCTAACACGGTAACACCCGCTCTCCCCCACTGCAGGCCTGCTCAGTGCCTTTCCTATGTTTGGCTCCTCCTTCTTCTTCATCCAGAGCTGCAGCAACGTTTCCGTGCCAGCCCCCTGCATCCTTGCTGTCAACCATAATGGCCTGAACTTCCTCAGCATCGAGACCCATGTAAGTGGCCTCTGCCTGGCTCTGCCCATCTTCCCCCATCCCCTCTGTCCTCGGGTCCCCCACCCACCCCGGGAGCCAAGATTGCCAGCTGTGGGAGCCCAGCTCCACCATTTCCTGTCTGCATAACCTCCAGCCATCCTCTTCTCCTCTCAGAGCCTTGCTTCCCATCTGGAAAATGGGAGTAATGGCAGAACCCACTCCAGAGAGTGGAGGTGAAGGGGGGTGAGGTGACACACTCTAAGGCTTGCTCAGGCTGCCTTAACAACACACCACAGGCTGAGGGTGTTGCTCTGCCATGTGCAGAGGCTGAAAGTCTAAGATCAAGGTGTCTGCTACTCTGGTCTCTTCCTTGTCCTGCAGATGGCTGTGTCCCCACATGGCCTTTCCTCAGTGTGTGCACATTCCCAGTGTCTCTGTATCTAGAGTTTCTCTCTTCCCACTTTTTTTTTTACACTTTACTACTGAGTAATCCTTTCTGTTTTGTTTTGAGACCAGGTCTCACTAAATTGTGAAGGCAGGCCTTGAACTTGTGATCCTTCTGCCTCAGCCTCCAGAGTAACTGGGATCAGATTTATTCTTTTGTTGTTGTTTTGTGGTGCTAGGGATCAGACCCAGGGCCTTGTGCATACCTTGCTCTACCACTGAGCCACATCCCCAGCCCTCAGATCTCCTCTTCTTATACAGGTGTTGTGCACCTGTAATCCAAGTGGCTCAGGAGGCTGAGGCAGGAAGATCATGAGTGCAAAGCCAGCCTCAGCAATGATGAGGTGCTAAGCAATTCAGTGAGACCCTGTCTTTAAATAAAATACAAACTACGGTTGGGGATGTGGCTTGGTGGTTGAGTGCCCCTGAGTTCAATCCCTGGTATCAAAAAAAAAAAAAAAAGAAAGAAAGAAAAGAAAAGAAAAGAAAAAACAATGGATTAGAACTCACCCTAATAGCCTCATTTTAACTTTTTCACCTTTTGTTACAGTCTTTCATTGCTGTAACAAAATACCTGGAAAAAAAAGAAACTTAAAAAAAGGAATATTTATTTTGGCTTATAGTTTCAGAGTTCTCAGTCCATGGTCAATTGGCTCCATTACTTTGGTGCTGAGATGAGGCAGGACATCATAATGGAAGAGCATGGCAGAGGAAAGTGTGGCAGTCAGGAACCAGAACGAGAGCAAGGACTGGGGATGAGATGTAGTCCCCAAGGCCACATCCTTAGGGATCCATTCCTTTCCATGCATTCCCACCTCCTGCAGTTTCCACCACCTCCTGGTAGTCCATTCAGCTGTCAATGGATTAATCCACTGATGAGGTCAGAGCCTTCTTGATCCAATTTACCAAAAGCGCCACCTTTGAACTTTGCTGCATTGGGAACCAAACCTTTGATACAAGAGCCTTTGGGGGACATTCCAGATCCAACCATAACAACAACTTCATTTTTTTTTTGGTAGTACTGGGGATGGGATTCAGGGTTTTGCACATCCTAGGCAAACACTCTGCCACTGAAGAACCTCTCCAGACCCTTAATCACCATTTTAAAGTCCCTGTCCCTAAATAGAGTCACATTCAAGGTATTGGGACTTTGGGCTTCACTGGGTATTTGCAGAGGTCACAGTGCAGCCCATCACAAATAGAACCTGAGAGCTCCTTTCTTAGGCTTGCTCCTAGAAATAGAGTGTGAGATGAGGATTCCAAGGCAGGTGGCTTATTTGGAGGAGATTTTAGGAACACTGGAGGGTGGAATTAGGACAGGGAAGGGGTGGAGACAATAAAGGCCCCGTTACCACACGAATTGCCAATGTGGGTAACTGGAGGGTAACTGGAAGTCGGTCCAGCTGGGGGGAGCCCTTGTTACTTACCACTCCCTGTCAATCATTAGTCCAGGGCTTCCTCCTGCTGCATTAAGTCTCCATCACTGTTCCTTTCCCTGAATGTGGTCCCTTTGTTTCTTGGGCCGGAAATCAAGCCCCAGACAAAGGGATACAGATGTTCATGAAAGCAGCTTTGATGTGAAGGTCAGGACACCAACAGCATCCATGACATCCCATATCTCCAGCATTTTGAACAGTGCCAGCAGATGCATCATTTGTACTTGCTGAATTAGTTTCACAGATGAGGAAACCGAGGTCCAGAGAAGAATAGTGACATGCTTGAGGTTGCACAGGAAATCACTAGAGATTCAACACTTGGACTGGGGCCTCCTGTGTTCCACTGATCTGATTTTCAGGGGGAGGTGATAACAGTGATTGAGACTGTCCCTGTCTTCCTCCTGCACTCCCAGGAGCTGATTGTGAAATTCCCCCTGAAGGAGATCCAGTCTACACGGACCCAGCGGCCCACAGCCAACTCCAGCTACCCCTATGTGGAGATTGCGCTGGGGGATGTGGCAGCCCAGCGTACCATGCAGCTGCAGCTGGAGCAGGTGGGTCCTGGCTCTGTCGCACAGGCTCTCACTCTCGTGTTCCACTCACCAGGTTCTTCTCTCCAGGACAGGTTAGATCCTGGCCATGGCCAAAGTAGCATCCAGCCCAGCTCAGGGAACAGAACTGCAGGTCATTTTGGTGGTCTTCCAGGGAAGCAGCTCAGTAGTGGGACCATGGAATAGGACTCAGGCTTCTGCAGAAAGGTGAAGAGTTTGGTGGGGCACTGGGGAGATAGATCCAGGGAAAGGGAAGTCCTGGAGTTCTTCAAATATTAAGCGAAAAATTGGGGGCTTGTTTCTGAGGGTACGAGGGAGCCATAGGAGTTTGGTGAATGGTCAGGGTCATGGGAGGTTTGAGGAAGCTGACCCAGGCTGAGGCATGGAAGCTGAATCATGGGACCCAGGATGGTGGTTGGAGAAAGGGGGCTCCCCTGTGATAGGGGAAACGGAGGCCTGTCTGCCCTGGGCCTTCTCAACTGTGGCTGCTTCTTAAAAAGGCATGGGTGACTTCTAGGCTCCTGTCCAAGTTCCACAGCCCTCAGGGCAGGACCAGAGTTTCCACTCTACCAGAGAGACAGGATGGAGGCTCAGAGAAGGGGCAGAGCTGGAGATGGGGCCCACACGTCTGCTGTGTCAAGCCTGCCACATCCCCCATGGAGATCTGGGTCCAACGTCAACCTCTACGACAGGCCTATCTTGGAGGGGCTGATTTCCCAGGAAAGAGAGAGGGGCTTCCACTGCACCAGCCCTGCCTCTGAGGAACAGGACCAGAAAAAAAACCCCTTGGAAATCTGTGACTCAGGACCAGGCTCCCTGTCCCTCTCCCATGCTCTGTCTGCTCCCAGGGTCACTCTGAGCCTCCCTCTGACAGCCTTGGCCTCTGGGCCTGCATTGCTTCCCAGAACCTGCCCTCTAAGCTGTTGTGTCCTTCTGTCTCCTCGCACCTGCCCCAGCACCTTTTCTTTGGCTCGTTTTCTACCATCTCCTCCCCAGACCACCTGTATATTTGCCTTCCCACTCTCTGCCCCAGGCCCTTTGCACTCACTGTTCCCTCTACCAAGAATGCTATTCCCTTATTTGTCCTAGGGCTCCTTCCTTCCCTTTGCTCAGGTTTCAGCACAAAGAGCCCCTCTTCTTAGAAGACTTCCCTGACCCTCTGTGATGAATCACCACCTCTACTTCATTGGCCCTCATGATGGCTTACAGATCAGTTAGGTATTTGTTTACTTACTGTCTGTCTTGCCCTCCAAGATACAAGGACAGAGCTATGGCTGTCTCCTTCACACTGTGTCCACAGCACAGTGTCTAACATATAGTAGATGCTCAATGCATGTTTGTTGGCTGGCTGGCTGAAGACCTTTTTGGCTTCTCCATTTCCTTGTAGCCCTCTCTGCAAGGAAGCTGCTACCTCTACCTCCCTCCTGTACATGTGGGGGGTTCATTCATTCATTCATTCAACACATAATCATTGAGCATCTCTGTATAGCAGTTTCTATATGAGCCCTGAAAATACTGATGTGACTGAGACCCCTGTAGTAGCCCTCACAGACCCTGGAGTCTCAGATATGAAGGAATCTCTCCGTAGGTCATAAGCAGTACTAGGAGCATGTGCAGGGGACCCAAACTACACAGGAGGTAAAGGCTCCAAGGAGTAGGTGATTTCTGAGTGCAGCCAACAGACCTGGTCCCCTTCCCACCTACCTCTGACAAGCAGCATGAGGGCATCTCAAGACAGTCCTGTTTATCTTTGAACCCCAGTTTCCATACCTGTCCAGCTGGGCTACAGTTCCAGCAAAACCTAGAACACAGCAGCATGTGGGCAGGCAAAAGACTGACCACAGGGAGGACTCCCATCTTGCACACACTCATTTCATTAGCTGAGGTGGCCTCCAGGGTGGCAGATAACCTTCACAGAGAGCACTTCAGGGTGACTACAGGCCCCTACCACCCAGGTTTAAATCCTATCACTAAGAGGTCTGGGAATCAGCAATTCCATGGCTTGAGGCCTCAGTTTCTGCACTTGTACAAATGGCCCTGAGCATCTCAGTGAGACCCTGTTTCTAAATAAAGTATTTAAAAGGGCTGGGGATGTGGCTCAGTGGTTAAGCACCCCTGAGTTCAATCCCCAGTAATCAAAAAAAAAAAAAAAAAAAAAACCAAAGAAATAAATAAAAAGGGGGTTGGGTATGTAGCTCCCTGGTAAAGTGTCCCTGGGTTTAATTCTAAATACTGCCCCTTAGGGACACTGCAGGAGCCCTGTATGGTGGCAGGGGGCTGAGGCAGGAAGGTTGCAAGGTTGAGGCAAGCCTCTGCAATTTAGCAAGATCCTGTCTCAAAGTAAAAAATAGAAAGGGCCAGAGATATAGCTCAGTTGTAGAGTGCTTGCCTGACTAGGATGCAGAAGACCCTCTAATGCAAAAAAAAAAAAAAAAAAAGCAGGGAGGTGGATACTTCAGGGATTAAATAGAAAGCTCTCTAGACAAGGCCTGGCACAGTCCACACTTAGTAAGTGCTGCTATTATTTTATCACTCTCAGCTCCTATCACTCTAGGAATCCCAGGGCAGGGTGGGGTGGGCTTTTGATATTGGCTTTGGTCTGTGCACCACACTCCCAGGTCAATTTTCCACAATTCCCTTGTGCCCTCTCCTGCCCTGCTCCACTTGGGAGACCTGAGTCTAGGTCACGGTTTGTTCTAGGCTGGGGTGCCAGGGGTAACCATGGCAACCCATCATTAGAAACTGTTCCCATTTATTGACCAGAAGGGTGTGGTACTAGGAATGGAACCTGAGATCTGGTACATGCTAGGCAAGCGCTGTAACACTGAGTTACCCCTCAGCCCCTTGGACCAATATTTTTTAAATGTAAAGGATTCATGTGAAATCAAATTTCACTGATTTGATTCCCTAACCACTGCTTGTGAGGAAGGCCCTGGTATATGAGACCTTCACCAGGTGTGGTGGTGCACGTCTGTAATCCCAACAACACAGGAGGCTAAGGCAGGAGGATTGAAAATTCAAAGACAGCCTCAGCAACTTAGCGCAGCCCTGAGCATCTCAGCAAGACCCTGTCTCTAAGTAGAATATTAAAAAGGGCTGGGGATGTGGCTCAGTGGTTAAGTGCCCCTGGATTCAATCCCCAGTAACAAAAAAAAAAAAAAAAAAAAAAGAAAAGAAAAGAAATAGAAAGGGGTTTGGGGATATAATTCAGTGGCAAAGTCCCCCTGGGTTTAATTCTAAGTACTGCCAAAAAAAAAAAAAAGAACAGAGACCTTATTATAGGTGAGGCTGTGAGAGGCTCAGAGAGGTAAAACAAGCATCCCTGGGTCATGCAGATCACACACAGCAGCATCACCAGATGTATCTTGTCCCCTACTTGCTTGTCTCTTATGACCCGCAGCCCTTCACTCCATCTTCCAGCCACCTCCCAGCACCCAGGGAGGTGGGGATGAGGGTCCCTATGCAGATGGTGGTCCCCACCTCTTTCCAAACCACATCTGTTATGCATGTCCCACACCAAGCTGGGAAAGGGTTAGTGGATGCAGGACTCTCGCTGTGTCCCCTGCAGGGTCTGGAGCTGTGTCGAGTGGTAGCCGTGCACGTGGAGAACCTGCTCAGTGCCCGGGAGAAGCGACTCACGCTGCCCCCCAGTGAAATCACCCTCCTCTAACTCGGCCCCCAGCTCTCCAGCTGCCTTACCATCAGAAGACTTGCCACGTGGCCTCAAAAGAGCCATTGGACCTCTCTGGACCAGTGATCTCCCCAGAACCTTAGGGGAGATCAAGGGAGACAGGAGGTGAGACTTAAGTCCCCAAGAACCCATGAAGACTGATCCAGAGTTGGGACAGAAGTACAGCATACAGACTTGGATCAGCTAGCAGGAGGAACTTTCGAAGGCTGGCCGCAGTGAAGTAGAAGGCAAAACCATGCAACCTCCTGCCATGTGCCTGCTACAGACCCTGCTCCTGGTTCCCACCTATGGCAAGGAAGGCCCTCTCCAGTGGCCTAGATGTGGTTGCCTTTGGTTGGATATTTGAATCTGTTCCAGCTCTACATCCCAGCCCTCTACACGTCCTCCTCAGATGCCCCCACCTTGCACTGCCTCAGCCTGGATTTGTGACCTTGGTCGTTTCTGTGCAAATAAAAGGCGTGCCTGGTAGCTATTTCCTCCACAGAGTTGCTAAGGGATTAGAAAACAAGCTTGAGGGAGGAGGCTAGAGTTGAAAGCATAGCTTTGCCCCTGGCTTACATGCCTGTGAGCAGCATTTCTTGCAGAGATATCTGCACTTATCTCTCTTCACAGACCCTATCTCCCCATTCTGCACCTCTTGGGTAGCCCCAAGCCTAGGACCCTGTCACTAGATGAGCCACACAAGGTTCACAAGTGATGTAGCGGAGAGGGAGAATTTGGAAAAGCACTTTCCAGGGAATGATGTGTTAGGGTTGGGTTTTGACGGAAGAGTAGGAGTTTGTTAAGAAGAGGTGCTGGGCATGGTGGCACATGCCTGCAATCCCAGCAGCTAGGGAGACTGAGGCAGGAGGATCAAGAGTTCAAAATCAGTCTCAGCAAGTTCCTAAGCAACTTAGTGAGAACCTGTCTCCAAATAAGATATAAAAAAAGGGCTGGGGATGTTGCTCAGTGGTTAAGCACCCCTGGGTTCAATCCCCAGTACCAAAAAAAAAAAAAAAAGAATAGCTGGAAGGAAGAGGGACAAATATTCCAAACAGAGAAAACTGTATTTGTTCCCTGCTATATCCATCCCCTGGAACCTATAATACAGAATAGGCACTTAAAAATTACTTGTAGCTGGATGGCGGTACATGCCTATAGTCCTAGCTGCCCAGAAGGCTGAGGCAGGAGGATCACTTGAGCTATGAGTTACCTCTGGCTTATTGCCTGTGAGCAGCACTTCTAGTAGAGATATCTGCCCTTACCACACCCCTGAAAAAAAATGAATGAATGTGGACGGAAAGTACTGGTGCTTTGGGAACCTCAGAAAGGGGAGAAGTAGGCTTGGGAATGGGAGGAGGATAGTTAGGTAAGGTCATACATAGTTCTAGGAGTCATGGATGGCATTAGAAAAAGGATAAATTTGCTCATTCAGCCATTCACTAATTATTAAGTACCTACTGTGTACCAGGCATATGCCAGGCATTAGAAATGTCTCCTAGTAAAAATAACTACAATCAGGACAAGACCTATGAGTAGGTGCTAGCCAGGTGATGAGGGAAGAGACTGGCTCATGCAGGGGCACTATGATGGACATTATTAGTGCCAAACCCTGAGACTGAAGAAGCTGGCAGGGTAGATTGGGTACAGTCTTTCAGGCTGTATTATGAATTTAGGATTTCATCCCAAGACCCATGAGGAGCCCTGGAATGTTTTCCAGTGGAGAATGGGGTGCCCAGATTGTATTTTGAAAAAGATTTTCCAGCCAGGTGTGGTGGTGCACACATGTAATTCTGACTCTGGAGGCTCAGGAAGGAGGATTGCAAATTCGAGATCAGCCTGGGCAACTTAGTGAGATCCCATCTCAAATTTTAAAAATAAGGACTGGGAGTGTAGCTCTGTGGTGGAACACCCCAGGATTCAATTTCCAGTAAAGTAAAAGTAAAAAAACAAAACAACAACAAAAAAACCTTCTAGGCAGGGAATGACTGGAGGAGGCAGGGAGACCAGAGAAGGAGGCTGCTACAGGTGCAAGGGAGTCTGGGAAGCTCTGTGGCGTGGATCCTGGTGGAGGTGGCAGGGGTGCGAAGAAGGTGATAACTTGGGAGCAACAGAGGAGGTCCAGCTGGCAGGGCTGAGGGACCAACTGGACCATCTCAGCATGCAGAGGATCAGAGAATAGCCCTTGACACAGATGCCCAGGACTGTTCCACTTTGCACCACTGCCTGGGGTTGGTGTTCCACAGCAGCAGATGCTGAGATGAAGGAAACAGGAAAGAAGCCAGAAAATATGCTATTAATCAAGTTAACCCCTGTTGCAGGGCTTAGGCCTTCAAATGGTTTACCTGGTTGTCCTCTGGGTTTTGTGCTCAGCCCTAGGGTTTGCTCAGTATGGTGACCCCACAACAGAACGTACTGGGATCCAGTGCGAAGCAGCCCCAAGACTTCTCCTCTGTTCCCCCATTTCTCAAAGTGTTGTAGGATCACTAATAACTTTTGCCCTCAAACCTTTCTCCAGTCAAGCTAAAATATGAGGCTCTGGGAGGAATGAAGTGGCAAAAAACAAAAACAGAAGCAAACTTTTATGTTTATGAACATAAATGGGCCACTGTGCAACAGAGGCTACTCAGAAGTAGGAGAGTGGAAACCGAGAGGAAATCCTCCTGGCTAAACTCTGGTCAGAGTATACCTTTTTGTTTTGCTAATCTGAGGATTGGAGCTCTCCCACTGAGCTGCATCCCCAGCCCTTTTTATTTTTTTGAGCTAAGTTGCTAAGTCCAGACTTTAATTTTGTGAGCTAAATAAATGATTGAGGTGCAAATTCGGGGGTGTTTGTTACACAGCACTGGATAATTAGACTCAGGGTTTTGGATTTTAGGACCCTGTGCATTGAGGCACAAGCTCCATGTGGTAATAGCTGTTCTACTGAATCTGTGGTGGCGTCAGCAAAGTCGAGCCCTCCCACAAGAAGGTCACAATCCCCATAAGGCAGAGTACCAGAAGAGCCCTGGTGATAGGAGAGTCAAACCCCAAGTGCTCCCATCCACTGGGTTCGCTATCTGGGCCAAGACACACAGAGATAGGAATTCCAGATTGATGTGAGGAAATCCACAGCACAGGAGACCAGAACTCAGGATTCCTGGCCCAAGACTCTGCTTCCTTCTTTATAAACTGGAAGTGCCAGCAAATGGCTTGAGGGTAAGTACTTCCTAAGTAGTCATCATTATTTTTTGGTACTGGATTGAACCCAGGGGCCTCAATCACTGAGCCACATCCTTAGCCCTTTCTTATATTTTGAGACAGGGTTTCACCAAGTTGCTTAGGGCCTCTCTGAGTTGCTGAGGCTAGCTTTGAACTCAATGATCCTCCCGCCTCAGGCCGCTGGAATTACAGGCATGTGCCATCATGCCCAGCTCTAAGTGCCCAGAACAGGATGCAAATGGATGTCTGGAGTGGACATAGTTTCCTTTCCTTTTTTTTTTTTTTTTTTAATTATTCATGTAAAGTTTATTTTCCTAAGTCCTCTTATGTCCTTGTAAGCAAGCTTTTCTCATGAATACCCCATGATAGTAGCAAATTCAGCAACTGCCCCTCTAGGGGTGGACATAGTAGAAACTTAATAAAAGTAGCTTTTAAAACTATGTGCCAGGTCCTGTATGTATACTAACATATTTCACCCTGAAAATACTCCAGTGTGACAGATATTATCATTACCACTGATGTACATGAGGAAACCCATACGGAGGGGTGAAAAGTCACAAAGCCGTAAGTGGCTCAGGGAAGGTTCAAACCCAGCCATCCTAGCTCCAGAATCCATGCTGTTCCTGACAGAGGCTCAGAGAAAGGAGGGGCCTGGCTCAAGAGCACAGTCAAGAAGAAACAAATGGCAACTTTGGATGCGACTTCTGGGATGGGAGGAAAAGTCTTAATCTAGAGAAGAGGCGATTCTCATTTGGTAGGGCTGGGATCCCTGAGGGAAATCTCTAGGAAGGCTTTCTGGGAATGGCTGGTGGTAAGCTCCCCATCAAGCAGGTATGAAAGGCAGTTTAGAAATTCAAGGGCAGTGGGCTTCTGAAGGACCTCAACCCTCCCAGACCAACTGCCCATCATATAGGTGAGGGCTTTGCCCAGGTGTTCACATCGAATGGTTCAGGCAGGAGGGGGTCCTGAGTCCAAGCCACCTGGCCTTGCCCTTGGCCACTTTCTCAAGACCTACAGCTGTCTTCCTACCAATACCATCACTACCTGCATCCACTAGGCTGCAGGAGCCAGATTTACCCTAGGATTCCTGTCTGCCCCATTTCCCCTTTCTTTTTCTTTTCTTTCTTTCTTTTTTTTTAAAATATTTATTTTAGTTTTTGGTGGACACAATACCTTCATTTTATTTTTTTAAATGTGGCGCTGAGGATCGAATCCAGTGCCTCCCGCTTGCTAGCACTTGAGCCTCAGCCCCAGCCCAGCCCCCCCCCCCCCCCCCCCGCCCCATTTCCCCTTTCACCTGGGCTGCTGCTGCTACTTGGAAGGGAGGGTGGCTAGGGTCCCAGCTTCCCCTTCTACAGGCCCTGCTGGCCTGGCCTTGCCAAGTAACTACACAAGCATCCCCATTTTCCAACAAGGCTGATGGGTCCCTCAGTTTATAGTTGGGAAAACTTTTGAGGCCTTGCCTCAAGATCAGCAATTCCCCTCTGCTTCTTGGATTCATTACGTGGATTCATTTCACCCTCGCGAGGTAAGTACTAACACTACCTTCATTTGGCAGACCAGAATCAGAGAAGGCTGGCAGACAGAGGTGAATCGAGTTTCCCTTAATCAAAACGAAGGACACGGGTGGAGGGAACTGACATTCCAGGTGGCCTAAACTGACTGGGCAAAGGCCAGGAGGAGGGACGGGGTATGTTTGTAGACCTGGCCGGGAAAGGGCAGGGCTGTGGCCCAGTGTGTGGAAAGAGGGCAGCGGAGGCCAGGCCGGAAGCGCCTAGCAAAGAGGCTGAACCTTATCCTGGGGAGCCACAGCAGGTTTTCGAGCAGAAATCCCAATTTGTTGGAGCCGCCCAGCCCATCATCGCAGGGCCACGCCTTCGCCTGGACAGCCCGTGCCCTCGGCTTCCAAACTTTCGAATTGTGTCTAGTAAACATCCACAGTTCAGCCTCAGTTCGCCTACTGGTCCACTTGGATGTTCCCCCCCAACCCCAGCGGAAGAGGGTTTCCCCTCCCCCCGCATTGCCAGTGCCAAAGAGGAGCGACGCCACCAGGGCGCGTCCCCGCCGCGCATGCACTCGCCACCGCCGGGACGTGACTCGGGGAACGTCCACTCCGGGCAGCGGCGGCCGCGGTGGGGGAGGTGCCCTCGACAATGCGCGTCTAGCTTCTATGGCCGTGGCCGTCTGGGTTCAGAGCTGGAGCCCAAGGTTCTCGGTCCTGCAGTTTGGGAAGCGGCCGCCTGTTTCAGAAGTTCCTTAGGGGTCCTGAGAGCTTTATTCCGGTGAGGTCTCCATTCAGGCACTTATTTAGCCATCCATCGCCCTTTAAGGGGTCCTCGCCGCCCTCCTCGCAGCTAATTAAGAGATGGACGCAGTAGCCAAGGAGACTCCCTGATTGACAGGCATGATTACCAACCGACTAGTGAAAACTCCAGTCTGGGCCCGCCCGGCGCGTGGCCGGCGGCCCAATTAAAAAAGTGGAAGCGCCAAAGGGGGCGGTAACGGGGCGGTGTAGGTTGTGGCGGTTCTCCGGTGATTGCGCGCTGGGGATTGAGGCCTCTACGGACATTCGGACAATGCCATGACGCGGCATAGCAACAGTGTTGACAGCGTGAGCGCACCCCAGCTGAGGGAGCCCGTGGGTCTGGGAGGCGGCGCGGCGTGGAGGAAGGTCGCTGTTTGAGAGTGCTCTCTCGAAGCCCTTCAGAGAGTGGGGGAGGGGCGGCGGACGACGAGCGGCCCCTGTGTGCGCTTGCGCCAGCACCTCCGCCGACCGGGCCCGCACGCACGCGCATGCCCCTAGCGCGAGGAGCCGCGGTGGCCGGCAATACTGCGCGTGCGCGCCGAGAAGCCCGCTAAGGAGCGGCGCTTGCGGACGTCTGGCCGGCGGCCCGTGACGTCGTGAGGAGAGCTTTAAAGTGCGGGCCGGGCCGGGCGTCTGAGGGTCTGGCTGGGAGTCGGGCCGAGCCTACGCGGCAGCCCTCTGCGGCATGAGGCGCTTCTGGCGCCCTTGCCCCCCGGGACGTGGAGAAGGTGGAGGAGGAGGAAGCCCCGTTGTCGCCGCCGCTGCATGACCTGCCGCTACTGAGTTCCGACCCCGCTCCTGGCCCCTAGACGCCCCCCGCTGGGTCCTGAGGCAACGCATGGGGGTCCGGCACTGAGGACCCCGTTCCTTCCGGGGGCACCGGGGCGCGTCCCCCAAGAGCCATGCCTGGCCGCCCCGCCCGCCCCGGAGGACCCTAGAGTAGCGTCGCGGGGGCCATGGCGGCCGCCAGCGGCTACACAGACCTGCGTGAGAAGCTCAAGTCCATGACGTCCCGGGACAACTATAAGGCGGGCAGCCGGGAAGCCGCGGCCGCCGCCGCCGCTGCTGTAGCCGCCGCGGCCGCCGCCGCCGCCGCCGCAGAGCCTTACCCAATGTCCGGGACCAAGCGCAAATATCAAGAGGATTCTGACCCGGAGCGCAGCGACTACGAGGAGCAGCAGCTGCAGAAGGAGGAGGAGGCGCGCAAGGTGAAGAGCGGCATCCGCCAGATGCGCCTTTTTAGCCAGGATGAGTGCGCCAAGATTGAGGCCCGCATCGATGAGGTGGTGTCCCGCGCCGAGAAGGGCCTGTACAACGAGCACACGGTGGACCGGGCCCCGCTGCGCAACAAGTACTTCTTCGGCGAGGGATACACATACGGCGCCCAGCTGCAGAAGCGTGGGCCGGGTCAGGAGCGCCTCTATCCGCCGGGCGACGTGGACGAGATCCCCGAGTGGGTGCACCAGCTGGTGATACAGAAGCTGGTGGAGCACCGCGTCATCCCCGAGGGCTTCGTTAACAGCGCCGTCATCAACGACTACCAGCCCGGCGGCTGCATCGTGTCTCACGTGGACCCTATCCACATCTTTGAGCGCCCCATCGTATCCGTGTCCTTCTTTAGCGACTCCGCGCTGTGCTTCGGCTGCAAGTTCCAGTTCAAGCCTATCCGGGTGTCAGAACCTGTGCTTTCCCTGCCAGTGCGCAGGGGAAGCGTGACTGTGCTCAGGTAACCCACCTGGGAGGAGGGGGCGGCCTTGCACCCGCTGCCTTAACTACCCACCCGGGTTCAGAAAGCAGCGGCCAATAGGAGCCCGTCCTTTAAACGGTTCTCGCCCATCCTTCATTTTGTAGGTTGTAGGGAGTAGGGGAAGGGGTTTGTGTAGCGAGCAAACAGGGCTCAGGAACCAATGTCGAATTCTGCACCTGTAGCTAGCTTTCACGTGACCACGGGCTTAACTGAGAATTAGTCCAATGTCTTTCCAGAAGGTTAAGATATTAGGACTCTGTTTTTCTTATGAGATTTTAAGCATATCTCCATTTCCAAAGCAGTGTTTAAAAAAAAAGTTACTATCGAAGTCATTCCTGCTCTGTTGTTCTTGGTTTTCTTAAAGGAAAAAAAAATTAGTGGATTCCTTAACAGAAAAATACAGGCAGAGGGCCCCTGAGAGTATTTAATTGACAGAGTTTCTCCATTCCCTAGAGGGGGAATGACTTCCCTGGAGTCGAATAATTCAGTGGTTGGGCCAGAAGTAAAATACACCACACTCTTAATTCTTTCCTCTTAAGTTATGGATAAGCCCATTGGTCCTTTGTTAAGAACGTGCTGCCAGTTACTGGGACCTTATAAAGTACACCTGGGCTCTTGACCAGGTATTTGGCCTTATAGTTTGTGAGCAGTAGATTTCACAAACTGAAAATTGACTTGGTTTCCTGGCCCCAGGGAAAATTGTCTACCAGAACACTTTTATTGTCTATGTGAAGTGAAAATTATTTGGAAGCTACCTCCTTCCAATCCTGGAAAAGGTAAATCTAGTAATGCACTTTAATAATCTTCAAAACCTCTTAGGAGTTCTAGTCTATAGCTTAACTACCACCAGGTACAGGATCAGGACAAACTAGGATTTTGTTGTGAGCAGCTTAACCTCTGAAGTGCAGTTGACGCCATAGGCCACAGTTGTGGGGAGAAGCAGGGTCCCAGGAGCCCTCTTAATATCAAAAGAGCAGGTCATCTGTCATTTCAGTTGAACATGATTCCTTTGATTATTGAGGATGGCAGCAGAGTCTTGAGATGCCAAGCACCTCCTGATGGGAAAATCTGGGAAGGCATTGGTAACATAAGCAGTACTTTGGATCCTAGAGAACCACTTAGCTGTCAGATGTTTCCTTGTCTTTTGGACTTTTGAGCATCTCAGGCCTGGGTGGTGTTTCCAGATGGATGCCTTTTAAGATGGGATTTCCAGGGTTAGGTCCTCCCTGGGGGCTTGTTATAGAAGGCAGGTTGGGGCTCTGATTTCTGGGAAGAGCTCTCAGTGCTAAAAGAGCTCATACAAAGACTACTTGGTCTCTTAATGAGATATTAATTTTCTACATAGTCATAGACCATTAGGGTTGTTTTCAGGAGGCCCATCAGTAATTGACTGCTTAATGAGGAGATCCAAGGCATTTTGTGACTTTGAGATACTTAACCCCCAAACAAATGCACAGTCCTGGATTGAAGAGTAGACATTTTAGGGTTTTTTCTTTTTTTTTTTTTTTTTTGGACGTTTTAAATTCTTAATATGCAGGTCTGTTAGTGATCCGCAACCGGATTGCATCATCAGGAAAATTCCATCTTTTCTTTAGTAAAGTTTTAAAGCTTTTCTAATCTCTTCCAACCCTTCCTGGATTCAGACTTAGCTGTAGAGTTAGTGTGGGAGGGCCAGCCACGTCCTGAAAAATACTGCCCCAGGCTTTGGATCCAACTCTCCTCATTTGCTTTGGGATCTTGTGGGCGGTCTCAGACCTGGCTTTCTTATCCACAAAGTGGGGATGATGCCAACTTCTGAAGCCTTTTAGAATTAAATGTGGTGATTTGGTGTTAAGTACAGATTTTGGCACAGTTTGGACACTTGAATGGATGCTTACTTTCATATACAACAATTTAATGAGCTTCTGCTTTCTTGGTGAGGAAGGGGCTAGGAATTTGGTGGATCCTGAAACATGACTCATAACTTTCAAATAGTCCAAACTCGGTGAACACCTCAGACTAGGTGATAGTCACAGCCCAGGCAGGTAATTGCAGGAGTGTGCCGAAGGGTCATCTTATTATAAGCTCCATAGTGTTGGAAGTTTTGGGGGTAAGTAAGCTGCAACTTGGAAGTTTTTGAGACTTGGGAAGTTTGGGGACTACACATTAGCCATGCAAAACAGGGTTGGGGAAGCATACAACAGCAGAAGGTTTGGCAGCAGTAGCAGGGTATGACCATAGGTAAGGGGAGGGGTAGGTGCTGCTGTGAGGCAGATGTAATTCATTAGAGACTGGTAGCTGATGCCTTGGTGAAGCTCAGCCTCTTGGTGAACCTCTTAACAGTGCTACTGTTGCTATTCAGGGCTTGTTAATTCTTTATTTTTGGTAGTGGCCCTGGGGATTGAATTCAGGGGTGCTCTACATCCCCCAGGACCCTCACCTGCCCCCCTTTTTTCCTGAGACAAGATATCACATACTTGCCCAGTCTTGTCTCCAGCAAGAGATCCTCCTACCTCAGCCTTCTCAGTTCCTGGGATTATAGGCAAGCACCACTATGCCCAGCTTTGCTGATTCGTTGTTGTGAGGGCTGTCAACGTATTGTAGAAGTTATACAGTGTACCTGGCCTCCTTGTGCTAGATGCCAGTAGCACTTTGTGTGTGTGTGTGTGTGTGTGTGTAAGTGTGTAAATATTAAGTCTTTATGTATGTGGTGCCGAGGATCGAACCTGGTGCGAGTGCTGTACTGCTGAGCTATAACTCCAGCCCCGCCAGAGCACTTTTTATGACTACCAAACATGTCTTCAGATACCACCAAATTCCCTGAGGGTGAGAGTTGGGGAGTAGACTCATCTCCAGTTGAAAGCCACTGCCCTAAAATTTTGGATGCTCCCACTAATTTAAATCATCTACCACCCTCTCATTTAAAACTCAGCTTACTTGGTGTGCAGATGGATGAACACCTGCCTGTTTATAGTGCCCTCATCAAATCTTGCATGTAAGCTAGTAAGAGAGGTGGTGCTTTCTCTCGCTTCCTGGTAGGAGTCTCAATCCAGGCAGTGATATGCAGTAAAGCTGCAGATCAGAAGGAAGGGTCTGACAAAACAGGTGTTCTGCATATGCAGAGGGATTGAAGCATTTGTCACCTGAAACTTCGGTTGTCATTTGCAATGGTGTTTGTAATTGTCCAAGACAACGTGGCAGGAATGCAGTTCTTATATTTAATAGTGTTCAATGTGGATGTTGGTGTGGCAGACATTGACTCAGCAGTGTTTAAACCTGGGCACTTAAAGGAAGACCTCAGACCCTTCTTGGAAGTGTTTTATTATACTCCTTTCTAAACCCAACTGGCCATTGTTTTTTTTTTTGTTTTGTTTTTGTGTCCTCATTTGGGGGGGGGGGTCTGGGTGGCCATACTTTTTATTCTCTTATCTAAATAAATAACTCATCCTGTATTCTGTTGCCTATTCCTGTAAGGTGAATGGGGCAGATTAAAACAGGTCCAATTGGATTAATTAGAATAATAACCTCAAGACTAATTGCTTACATGCTTCTACCTTTATTCACAGCAGCATGATCTCTGTGTGGTGGCTTCATGCCCAGAGACCCAGGCTGTGGCCACGGGTCTGGAAGTGACTTGTTTTGCTCAGCCAGGGGTGGACTGTTGAGCTCAGCCTTTGCCTCCTGCACTTAACAGTTGGTATTGGGTAGAGTGAGCACCCCTGTCCATTTTGGGCTAAGAGCTAATCTTGTTCTGCTGGTTGAAAGCAAAATTTAGCTTTCTGGCTTAAAATAGTTGGGAAAGTAGGGCAGATAGGTCCTGGGCCACATCTCATGTGGAATCTTCTGTTGCCATGGGAGTGGGAGAAACTGCAAGATGAGGTCAGGGCTGTATGTTCTCAAGATGAACTCCTGGCCATTGGGATTGGCTATCCTTGCAGCTGCTGGTCCTGATGAGAAGGCAGGTAGTATTGGTATGTACGGTGACTTACACATATCATCCCAGGCTGAGATAGGCAATTGCAATTGCAGTTTTGAGGCCAGCCTGGGCAATGTTGTAAAACCTGTCTCAAAAAAAAAAAAAAGGTCTGGGGATGCATTTCAGTGGTAGATCTCTTTTGCCTAGCATGTGCAACACCCTGGGTCCCATCCCCAGTTGTGTATATACACATACACACACACAGGCAGAGGGCAGCAAAGGAGAGGAAGCTAATGTTGAAGCCTAGACCAAGCAGAGAATAAATAAGCCATAAAAATTTTAGGGCTGGGAAAAAAATTTTTTTTAGGGCTGGCTGGCAATTTTGGACTGGCACTTGGCATATAGCCTTTAGTGAGATACTGTGCTAGCTCTCTGGGGGGCACGGGCTTATCTTTGCAGACTTCTCCAGGGCATGTGTTCTTTGGTGATGCCAGCAAGGACCCCAGGACAGACTAGACTTTGTTAGCAGGAAACACAGATGGGCCTTTTTCTTTCTATGCTTGCTACCTAAACTCTTCCCCCCCCCACCCCAAACAAAAACAAAAGCAAAAAGATTTTTGGCAAACTTGGTGGCAATTCCAAAACTATCACTTTAGCTGTTTGACTTCGGGTAAATGACTTAACCTTTGTGAGCCTGTTTTCTTTTGCAAAGTGCAGCCAGTGATGCCAGAGTCACCAAAGAAGATTGACTTTTCTGTCCCCACTGCTGATTACTTGAAGTTTAACTAAAGGTGTCTCAGGAGATGAGCTGCCTTCTGTGTTCAGTTCCTATCAAATTGGGAAACAGCAGGTTGACCTTTTTCCCTCTGGATTCAAAAAGTCCCCAGACTTATCTGAAAGTTAAGCCATGTGTCTTCCTGGACACTCAGATCTGGTAAATAACTTGAGTCTGAGCTCACAGTTATGCTTCTGTGTCCAGGTTTCCTACCTGCTCTCCTCCAGAAACCTAGGCTCACAAGACTGAGAAGCTTATCAGTGGTGGGGCTGTCTAAGATAGGTAGCCCCAGCCAGAGGGAGGCTGTCTCTAGACTCTGATCTTGACCAGTCCCTCCATCTCTAATCTGTTCTGGTGTAGGCTGAGAGGGCATGTAGTAGACAGGGTATGGTGGGCATCTTGGAAATGTGCCTTAACAACTTGATCTCCAAAGCTGTCGCCAGAGGTCTGCATAGTTATAGATTTTTAGATTCCTCATTCTTGCATCTCATCTCTATTTTACAGATATAGGAACTGAGACTCCAAAAGTGGTAGGAAAAGTTTGGCTTAGTATGCATTTCATTTTTGGTCCATTGTGTACAGAGTTGAATAAGGCCTTAGAAGGCTCTGTCTTGTAGGGAAGATACAATCTCCATAGGCCAAATGTAGTAAAAAGTCCTAGGAGGGTGTGGTTGAGGTTTTGGGAGTAACCCTGCTTGCGGGAGCTCAGGGAAAGCTTCCCAGAGAAGGTAGATGTGTCACCTTCCTTAAGAATCACTCTAAGGTCTAGTAGGTGACAGAGATAGATCCTGTTGTTACCCTTTTGTGTTTTGGATACTAAGGATTGAATCAAGGGGTGCTTTCCATTGAGCTATATCCATAGTTTTTTTTTTTTTAAAGACAGAGTTTTGCTGAACGTCTCACTGAGTTGCAGAGGATGACCTTGAACTTGGATCCTCTTGCCTCTGCCTCAAATTGCTGGGGGTGTGCCACCACACCTAGCTAGGCCTTATTACTCTTGATACTTCTTGCATACTAATTGCTGCTGGGGTCGGGGCCCAGTTAGGGGAGGGAGTAAGCAAGCTGGACTGCACAAGGTATTTCCTTCTCTCATTTCCCTGTGAAAACAAAGGAGCAGGAGGCACTGGAACTTTTCTTCATGCCAAGGTTAGGGCTGGATCCATGGCATATTAAGTTTCAAGCTGGCAGACTGGGACTTTCAAACATTTTCTCTTGTAGCGAGTAGGTTCCTAGCAGTAAATTATACTCTTGTGGTCTCTGCTGGGCACTTGCTGCTGAAGTTTGGCCAGGAGAGCTTCTTTTGGTCAGAACTTTGAGTTCCCACTCGAGCCCAATACTTTGAAGAATAGTCAGTGGATTGTCAACAGTTGCCAGGAAGTTCTAGAAGACCAGTGCTAATGAGCCCTCCAGGTGGAGTCCATGCCAAGGGGACCTGTATCAGCACATTAATTCTGAGGCCTGGGCTCAGGGCAAGAGCCTGGCATAGCTTATTGTTTGCTCTGGAGGCCTTTAGAGGATGGGCCTGGAAGCATGGAGGCAATCAAGCTTTGACAAACATCTGGATTTGCTCCAGAATTACATTAAGAGTAGTGGTTCCTTGTTAGAGATTAGAAGCTAGAGCCCTAGGTCATGTCTGTAGTCCAAGTTAAACAGATTAATAGAACTTGTTAACAACAGGGAACATTGCTTGTAGCTAGCACTGCAGGTTCAAGCCTTAGAAATGTACCTATGGACTCCTGAGAAGTGCTGTGTGTAGATTATATGGAACTATTTTACAACCCAGATCACCACTGTGAGAGTGATAAAAATGTGGGATGAGACCTTTAACTCCTATCCTTGGAATAGGGCCTAGGAGGTCTCTCCCTATAGAGAGATCTCTGCAAGGTGATCCCAGCTCATATCTTCTTGGCAGATGCTGACCCCAAGGCTCTGCCCCCCACCCCAGGGACCCTTGGGCAATGATTAGCAAATGGTAGGGCCCTAGGAACTTAATTCTCAAAACCCTGAATGTGTGGCCTCTCACCACCCCCTCCCAGAGGTATCAGCCTAGATACCTAGAACCCTGTGCTTCTGCCTGGAAGGGAAAAGGTGATGGCTGCCTCTTAAAAATTTTTTAGTCTTACCAGGTGGTAGTGCATACTAGTAATCCCAGCTACTCATTTGAGGCCAGCCTAGGCAATTTAGTTAGACTCCCATTTCAAAATATATAAAATGTAGCTCAGTGGTAAAATGCCTCTGGGTTCAATCCCCAGTGCTGAAAGTAAGTACAATTTTGTAGTTTTTTGTAATGACAATGAAATTATAAAGCTTAACAATGAATGCCCAAGAACCTACTGTTCTCCTTACTACAGATTAAGAAACTGAGATTTAGATTCAGTATGTAACTTAACTAAGTCAAGTAGGTAGTAGATGACAAAGTTCTGATTTGAACTCCTGTCCCTTCAACTCCCTAACACCTTTGGGGGGTTCCACAATTTTGGATGTGCACTTCTTAACAGTGGGCTGACACAGTAATAGTTATTGAGAAAGGGTTCTTTGATCAGTGCTCTAGTTAAAGTCTGCAGGTTCTTTTTCTGAAGTAATTCAGAATTATCCCTTTAACATAGGTTTTTTGAAAATAATATTTTCTAGTGGCTGTGGTTCTAGCATGCGTGAGGCACTGGGTTCAATCCTCAGCATCACATTTTTTTAAAAAATGAAGGTATAAAAAAAAAAATTTTTAAAATTTTTTTCCAAGTAAATTTTCTTCTGCCACCAGCACTGTCTCAAATGTACAGATAAGAGATATACTTTGTAGGGGTGGAGCCTGAATCAACCTGACTTTATTTTTACTGGTTCTTGCATCCAATTCTTATCCATAGTTGGGCCAGCCTGGTCACTTCAAGGAATCCTTCCCAAGCCTGTGACATTTCTGACAGTTAAGCTTGCTGCCCTTGAGAAGGAGCTGATCAACCCTGAGGAAGGTTTGTGGTCCAGGGCAGCCAGAAATTCCCTGAGCAGGTGGAGAAGCTGAGACTGCAAAACTTCTCACCAGGCCTATGGTTGGGCGAGTATTTGTCTAGGTAGATCTGCCACAGCTCATTGGAAGACTTGGGTTTGGGGTGTCTCTTGGCTGCTATGCTCCTGGTGAGAGCATATGAGAGGATTAGGAATTGGAGTTGCTAGAATTTCAAAGGGGAAAAGATGCTAACTGAAAAGAAGACAGTCATCTACCCACATTCATTGGTCTGTAAGCAGTTTTTAAAATCTTATAACTTGTTGAAAATAAATAGAAATTTGAGTGTGATGGAAATTCTTAAAATATCCCAAACACAGCTGTCTTCAAAATTGTGGATCCCCCCAAAGGAGGCTTTTGAAAGCTTTTTTCCAAGTAGACAAATTCTCCTTTGGAATGTGGCAGTCCTAGTTCTCCCTGGTGACTCAGTGTGTCAGCAACTGCGTTGGCTTCCTTCATTGTGCTGTGGGGTGAGGGAAAGGGAGGAAGAATAAGGAGGGGATAGCTCTTTGTGTCCTCATGGAGGTCTTCCCTGAGTCACTCCGGTTCTTTAGAGCCTCTAAAGATGCATTCTCTTGAAGGTTCTTTACTTATTTTAGTTTTGCAGAGCTGGGAATGAAACCAGGACTTCATACATGGCCAAGCAAACGTTCTACCACTGAGCTACATCTCCAGCCTTATGGGCTCTAAAAAAAAAAAAAAAAAAAAAAAGTTCCTGGCCTGTGCGGGGAGAATCCTGCCTGGCCTCTCTTAAGAGGCCAATGGGTGTCCTTTGCCTCAAGTCAGGTTTTTCCTTGAGTCGTTTTTCAGCAAAAGCTTCCTGGAATGTGGTATTTACCTTCCACATATGTAGATCTTTGAACCTTGCAAATAACAGGCAGGGGGCAGCCATAATACATGAGCTGTATTCTGGTCTCCCAGGTGTTTTGGTTTTCCACTCTTCATGGTTCCTTATTCTATGTTTCTTTCCAGTGGATATGCTGCTGACGAAATCACTCACTGCATAAGGCCTCAGGACATCAAGGAGCGCCGAGCGGTCATCATCCTCAGGAAGTAAGTACCCTGTGTTTGGTGTCTTCTGCGCCACCTGTAGGCCTGTCTGGAGATGTAGGTCTGGATTTCCTGAGAAATGCTTACACCAGTGGCATGGAACAGAGAAATCTGGGAGGGCAGAAAGCTGTTATGATCTCTTACTTTTTATTTGCATTCTGTGAGGAAAAAGCTGTTTTGCTTTTTCATCAGAAAATGAAGTTCTTTGTTTGGACTTTAGGACTGAACAAAAATCACATGCTGCCCAGTATTTATGGGCACAGTCTTGAGACAAGATTTGGGGAACACTTTTCCAAACCCCACCCCACTCCCAACCTCCTCCTCTCACCTCTTTGGTTCTGATTTGTCACATGTGTGCTCTGTGATTATTTTTAGGACTGTACTTTAGAAGCCTGCTTTAAAAAATGTCTGGGTTTTCACTCTGGGAGGAGCAGGGAGTAAGGAGACAGTGTAAGGTTCGAATGCAGTATTCAACTGGCTCATAGCTGTAGCTGTCTCCACTCTGGTAAGAGGATTCAGGGATGGATGTACTGATTAAAGTTAGTAAACCTGGCCTCTCCAGGGTTTTTTTGGTTGTCGTTGTCACTTTTCATACTGGGTAATGAACCCAGGGGCACTTGACCACTGGGCTGTGTTCCCCAGCCCTTTTTTTATTTTTAGGCAGAATCTTCCTAAGTTCTGAGGGTCTCTCTTACTAAGCTGTTGAGGATGGCGTCAAACTTGAGATCCTCCTGCCTTAGCCTCCCTACCGAGTGTAAGACCAGGTGTGCAAAACCAAGTCTGGCTATAGCTTTTTTTTTTTTTGGTCCTTGTGGTGAGCAGACAGATTTGTCAGCAGCCACAGCCACACAAACATTGGATCAGAGAAAGACAAGCCTTCTTTTGAATGGAGTTCCAGAGAAGATCAGGGATTGCCCAGACTCCCATAAAAGTCGGTGAGCAGAGCAAGACCACTATGTAGACTTGGGTTTGTTCAGGAGGTGGAAAGCCTGCTAACTTTTTTCTTCAAAATTTAAATAAACTTTATTTTTGTAGAACAGTTTTAAATTTATAGAAAATTGTGGTTTTACACAGTTTTTTAGTACCCTGTATCCCATTTCTTCTATTTTTAAAAAATATTTTTGTTTTGGTGCTGGGGACTTAGCTCAGTTGGTAGAGTGCTTGCCTTGCATGCACAAGGCCCTGGGTTCAATCCCAGCACCACCAAAAATGTGTGTGTGTGTGTGTGTGTGTGTGTGTGTGTGTGTTTGTATTTGTTTTAGTTGGACACAATACCTTTATTTTATGTGGTGCTGAGGATTGAACCTAGTGCCTCACATATGCTAGGCAAGCGCCTGAGCCACAAACCAAGCTCCTTAGTACATTTGTTTGGTATGTTTGTTATTAACAAGAAACTGCTAGTGGTTGGGATGTAGCTTAGTAGTAGATCGTTTGCTTAAGCATGTGCAAGGGCCTGGATTCTCTCATCAGCACTATGAAAAAGAAAATAAACAAGCGATTTTTCTTATTTTTTCCCCCTGTTCTAAGATATTTTCCACATTACATTTATCATATCACCTTAAGCTCTTCTTGGTTGTGATCTTTTCTCAGACTTGTCTTATTCTTTTTTTGGTACTGGGTATTGAGCCCAGAGGCACTCTACCACTCAACTGCATCCCCAGCCCTTTTTATTTTTTATTTAGGGTCTCACCAAGTTGCTGAGGCTGGCCTTGAACTTGGAATCCTCAGCTTCCCTAGTAGCTGGGATTATAGGCTTGTGCCATTGTGTCTGATTTTTTTTTTTTTTTTGGCGGAGGGTGGGGTACTGGGGACTGAACTCGGGGGCACTCGGCCACATTCCCAGCCCTATTTTGTATTTTATTTAGAGACAGGGTCTCACTGAGTTTCTTGGTGCCTTGCCATTGCTGAGACTGGCTTTGAACTCATGATTCCCCTAGTCTCAGCCTTCCAAGCCACTGGGATTACAGGCATGCGCCAACGCGCCCGGCCTGATTTAGGCCTTATTTTTGATGACACTGATTGATTAAACCAAAACATTTTATAGAATATCCCTCAATTGGTATTTGTCTTTTTTTTTTCCCCCCCCAGATTTTTAAGGTTGGCCTAGGGTTATGTTTTCTGGGAGGAAGACCACAGAAATAAAGTGCTAGTTTTACCATATGCTAAGGGTATATTCTGTTAAAATAACTTGGCACTGCTGATCTTGAACATCTGGTCATCTGCAATGTTTGTCAGTTTTTCAACTATAAAAATTACTGCTTCTCCTCCGTCCATGTAGAGTCTACATGAAGTAGTGAGGCCAGGCACTGTGATGTGCACAAGTATTCCAGCCCAGGAGGACCCATCACTTGAATTCAGGAATTCAAGGCCAACCTGGGCAGCATGGCTAGATCGATCTCTTAAAAACAAGATGCTGGGTGTGATGGTGCATACATATAATCTTAGCAGCTTGGGAGACTGAAACAGGAGGATCTCAAGTTTGAGGCCAGCCTTAGCTATTTAGCAAGGTTCTAAGCAACTTAGTGAGACCCTTTCTCAAAAAGGGCTGGGAATGTAGCTTAGTGATAAAGTGCCCCTGGATTCAGTTCCCAGTACCAACAAACAAAAGGGCTAAAGGTGTGGCTCAGTGGTAGAACACTTGCCTAGCATGTGCTAGACTGTGGGTTCATTCTCAGAACCAAAAAAACAAAACAAAAACCCCAAAAGTGAGGATTTAGCCTTACCTTCTTGAGGCAGGAGAGAAGTAGCCACATGAGTTATTTGTATTTCTTCTGCATAGGAGATCTGACTATATTCCAACACCCCCCACACACACACTTTAAAAAAAAAAAAAAATCCATTTGTTTATATCAGCATAGAGTCGGGGTATTTATGTTCAATTGTTCCAGCTTCAGCTGCTGGAAACTGTTGGTTTGTCTTTCTGAGCCCAGGGGTGCTACATCTAGGGTCTCCCTAAGTTGCTGAGGCAGATTTAAGCTTGTGCTCAGCCCCAAGTTGCTGGGATTATAAGAGTTTGCCATCTTTTTCTAAGTTGTAGAGGGACACAACACCTTTGTTTTTATTTTTATATGGTGTTGAGGATGGAACCCAGTGCCTCACACGTGCTAGGCAAATGTTCTACCACTAAGCCATGACCCTAGCCCAAGAGTTTGCCATCTTTTTAATTTCAGTCAATAACTTTGGTATTCTGTCTTTTGGTTGCAGAACTCCAGAATAAGGTGATAAAGGAGTCATCAGCATGGCTCTGTCACTTTGTCTAGCTGAAACTTTGACTTCTGTATTATTGTCAGTAGTGTGGATATGACCCAGACCTAGGTGGGATAGTTCTGTGGTGTAGGCAGAGCACCAGGCACATTTGGAAACTTCAGACACTTGGGTTGATTTGGTGGTTGGCAACCTCTCTTCTCTAGCTTAAGAATAATCCCAAAATTGATCAGAGGTTTTTTTTGTTTTTGTTTTTATCTTTTTTTTTTTTGTTTTGTTTTTGGCAGACACAACATCTTTATTGTATGTGGTGCTGAGGATCGAACCCAGGCCGCATGCATGCCAGGCGAGCACGCTACCACTTGAGCCACATCCCCAGCCCCTAATATCTTTATTTTGTTTATTTTTATGTGGTGCTGAGGATTGAATCCAGTACCTCACATGTGTGAGGTAAGCACTCTGCTACTGAGCCACAACCACAGCCCAAATAAAGTGTTTTTTAAATTACCTTTCTATTTTGTTTTCCTGTGGTTCCCAGCACAAACCAAAATCCAGAACCAAACCAGAATCCAGAGAGCACCTTCTTTTTAGCTTCTCTGTCATTCTCGGGCTTTACCTGCAGCAGGGATGGGTGGCCTGCCCAGGCCGTGAACCTGGAAGGGAACTCCTGGGGTTATGTAGAATCAGAGCAATAACTCCCAGGTGTTCCCTCCCAACCTCTCATAATAGCTTTTCCTGGGAATTTTTTTTTTTTCCTGCTGAGTTGCTTAGGGCCTTGCTAAGTTGCTGAGGCTGTCTTTGAACTTGCAATCCTCCTGCCTCAGCCTCCCGAGTTGCTAGGATTACAGGCATGTACCACCGCACCTGACTCCTTGGTAAATCTTTGTGGAGAATCTTATCAGTCTTCCAGATACTTCCTTCTTCTTGAATGGTGGCTTCCATATCTGGCTGGCTAGGACAGCTGAGTCAAATGCTTCTCAGCACAGCTAAGGGTCTGCACTATTAATCAGCTCCCCTGGAAACTCTGCCAGCTGGGCAAAGTGGTCTGACATTAGGAATGGCTGTTGTGAGTGACTGAGGTTCTTTGACCTTTTGACTTGAGTAGGCCAAAGAGCTATCCAGGGACTGGGCTTTGGTGAGAAGAGGGTGGAGACAAGTGGGAGGATATCCCCAGCTTTCCCAGGCAGTTGAGCTGTGGAAATGCCCAACTGTAGAGAACCAACCAAGAGGCCTAAGGAGAGGTACAGGTGTCTCTGCTGCTTGTAGAATAAAATCCAAGCATGTAGCCTAGTTTCTGGGGATTGATACTTGCAACTCCCAGGACAGTCCATAGACGTATTCCTGGGTTCTGTGGCATTGTGGCTTCTGTTGGCAGTGCCTTCTGATCTAATATATTCATCTTATGATCCATTCCCACTCCCCAAATGACCAACATGGAGACAATGAAAGTTGATTAACCTAACCATCCTTCAAGGGTCAGTTGTTGACATGCAGGAAACATCATACATACAACTGTAGCCCTCTCAGCATAAACTGTTTAGACTGTCAGCTCATACATTTGGCATGGTGAATTTCCAAATTCATTTTCTGTGGGAGCAGGGAGATCCCTGTTCATCTGGTTCCTAGCATGTGGCCCAGCCCAGAGGAGGAATCCTTCAATATGAGAAGAATGATTCAAGTGGAGAGAAGCAGCTCCAGAGTAGCTGCAGGGGCTTGTCTTGGAAAAGGACAGCTGTGACAAGTTGAAAAGGAGAATATTTTCACTTGGGCATCCAGGCACTGCCCAGAAATCATCACAA